GCGGAAGGGAGGTAAAAGTTGTTCCAGTGGATAATGTTGTGGGTTGATAGGTATGATTAGACTTTCCTCAAACAGCATTTGATAAGAGCCTAAATGGCAGGTATGGATAACAAGAGCCTAATGAACTGATAACCATCTTCCTATCTTAGTAGGTACGTTGCAGCCAGTCAGGTTAGGGGCCTCCTTTCTAATCTATGCAAAAGTCAGAGATTAGAATATCAAGGTAAGATACCAAGAGCTGCTGAGGGCATCGCAATTACAGACTCCCAGCATCTGTAGTTTAATGCCCATTATAAATATGTGAGATCCAAATCTATGTCAAAATGCAAGCATCAGCATTGGGAATAAGCACCAGTCCATGGCTGAGGCTCAGACCTGGTCAAACAAAGGGCCTTTTCCTTCATTGCTGAGGGCAGGAAGATCAAAACAGGAAGGGACAGAGATTGAAATCAGGGACAAAAGTAAGCCATCGAAAGGCATTTATCAAGGACAACGCAGATGTAAGCCAATAAAGAAGACTAAGAGGCCCAGACAAGACAGAAGTGCTTGGCTGACACAATATGAAAGGAATTTTAAATTGGCCCTAAACAATTGGCATTTCCTTCTTTGAAAGAATTTAGTTCCTGCTGCCAAGGCTTGCTACACAGGATGCAGGCCACATGGAAAAATCTTTACCTGTGCAAGTTTTCCACAAGGGACTGGTCATGTTTAAAAAGCAGACTACATAAACTAGCACATATGATCATGTTATCCTCTCTGCAGCACACCTGCTTGGACTATTGAGATCTTGGAGAGACAGAATGGGTAACACTACATAGAGAGATACACCGTTATAATTGTACAAAACACATGATGTTCTTCTTCACACCAGGCGCAGCTTTTAGTGGGCCAACTGAACAGCATCTCTCTTTCCTGGCAGACTTTTGTGCTGCTCCAGACTTTTGTGCTGCTGTTCCCATACCAAGAACAGCCTCAGGGTTACTTGTATCCTTCTCGTGTTTAAGGATGAAAGTGACTGGGCCAGAAGCTTCTTCTGAAGAAGCTTGGAGCCTCCACTTGAGATGATCCACCAGCAAGAAGGGCCTCAATCTGCAAACAGATGCGAAGGTCTCTATTTACAAGTGGGCCTACTTCAGAGCCAACCTGCCAGTAAAGAAAGGAAGTGGAGAAAGTAGTCTTTTGTGTACACATCTCAAGGGTCTTTCCAAAAGAAACGAGTCCCTCTTTGAAGAGATGCATGCCCCAGCGGCAAAACCCAGAACTGGAACTGCCCAGCGCAGAACTCTGCATGTCTGTTCAGAAATAAGTCAGTCCTACCATGTCCAATGGAGCTTAAGTGTGCATATGACTGCAGCCTTAATAATGGTCTGTGGGTGTTCTAAATAAATAGGAGGACAGGAAACATGACTGAGCACAGTTCATCTTACCAGTATTTTGAGAGAACATATATGGGGGAAATGCATAAGCTCTTTTTTATTTACAGACGTTGTGCTTTCTCCTCACCCCCGCATTTGTCTTCAAATTATTATGTGGGAAACACAGCCGGAGGAAGCACAATCTACTTGCACACCCTATTGTGCACTTCTGTAGAACATCCAGTGCAACCCAGTGACTCCACCTGGGATGTGCTGTAAACCACAACAGCCTCTTCTTGGAATAGAAAAATAGCTAGTATGGTGGCACCCAAAGGAGTACATTCCTCAGCTTTTTAATTATGTAAGAGGCTGTTGTTGAGTCCACTGTGTTATACATTAAAGGCTGCAAGATATCCAGGAGAGAATCCTAATTGTTTTTATCCGTAGATGCTGAGAACATGCAGTATTCTGCACACAAAGCTTTTTCAGGCTTCTCCATCTGCATCAATAGCAGGAGCCCCCATTGAATTGAATGGCAAATTCATGGTCTGCAGAGATGTCCACAACCAGACTGTGGCAAAATAATCCCACTCAATGTGCAGCCACGTCTCTTCTTGCTGTCGTATCGTTATGACATTCAACTCATCCCTGTGTGGACACCTCCTGTCCCCACCCCCACCATTTCCCCTTTGATGATAAAGACAGGGTTCTCCCCATTTTTACTTTAAGTCACGTTAAATATTATGCTTTGTTGGCAGTGCAGGGGCCAGTGGTAGATGGCCAGCTCCTGCAAGCGACTTGAGCCACAGCTCCAACCCTCGCCCGTGCTGGTGGCAAGAAACAATTGAGCGAGGAGGAGGGAAGAGAGGTCGGGTTGGGATGGCGAGAGGGCTAAGTGGCGAAGGGGTCCGCACCGTGCTCTACCGGCAACGGCTGAGGAGGAGAAGAAGAAGAAGAAGAAGAGTTTGGATTTGATATCCCGCCTTTCACTCCCCTTCAGGAGTTTCAAAGCAGCTAACATTCTCCTTTCCCTTCCTCCCCCACAACAAACACTCTGTGAGGTGAGTGAGGCTGAGAGACTTCAGAGAAGTGTGACTGGCCCAAGGTCACCCAGCAGCTACAGGTGGAGGAGCGAAGACACGAACCCGGTTCCCCAGATTACGAGACTACCGCTCTTAACCACTACACCACACTGGCTCTAGAGGAACACTAGTGAGTGTGAAGAAAGGAGGGGTGAGGGAGGGTAAGGAGGCTGCTCTTTCCCCCTTCTCCCCATGTCCTCATCAGTTGCACCAACAGCAATGCAGCTGCCATTTTGAGCCAGCTGCCTCCCTCTCATGCCAGATAGTGTCAAGGAAGGGAGGGGCTGCTCCTGGAGGTGGGGAGGATATTACAGTAGTGGCGAGGACACTGAGTCCAGTGAGCTGGAGGGAGGGGAGCAGGCGACGCCAACCAGTGAACCAGACCCACCCTCTGCCCGGCCAATGCAAACGTTGTCTCTCTCTCCGCCAAACCCACCCTCTGCCCGCGCAGTTTTGAGGAGGAGGAACTCAAATATGGATGGGAAAGTGTCCCATTTGAAGTACAAATGGGACAGGAGATACTTTAGTCCCAAAAAGGGATGCTCCCGTTTTTCTAGGGAGGGGTGGCAACCCTAGTTGACAGTTAAATGTTAGGGACAGACAGTTGGAGATCAACAGAGTGAAGTGGGTAGGCAGTTGGGAGTTGGTTGGAGAGAGATATGGAAGTACATTGGCTGGGGTGAAGTATTGCAGAGATTGGCTTGAGGGTAAAGCCATTTAGAGGCTAGTGTTAGAAGCAGTGGCTCTGGAGTCTGTGGAAACTGCCAACTAGCATCTTAAGACCCCCACACACCCCACCCCAGATAGGTATCAGATTTCCCTTTTGTATATGAAGTCCCCTTAATAAAACTGTCTCACATCCAAACACATTACTAGGTGGCTTAAAAGCATTCTGAGAGAGAACTGGTGGCAGCTCAAAGACTGAAGAAACGCAGACACAGGTACTTGTGGTGTAGACAAGTGAGAATGAGGGACCAAGAATCCCTGACACGATGGTGACAGAGGTAGCAGCTCTCCAGCAGAGGTAATAGTCATTCATTCCCCAATTAGATATTTGAATTGCAGAGACTTGGGAGTTTGGAAGCTCAGGTTTACGAAATGATTACATTCCACTAACAAGGCCAGGCTTTGTCAACCTAGTTGCCCTTTAGCTGCTTTGGACTGTAATTTCCAACATCCATGGCCAGCACTGGAGAAGGTTGAACAAGGAGCTCCTAAGAGACAAAAACTGGAGCACTGATTTTCTACTTATGAGGACTAGGAACTAGGGAAAGTTGGAGGCAGAGAGCATGCATCATACTAATGAAGCACACAAAAAGCAGACATGTAAAAATAAACTACAAATCCAGCAAGGAATATTGATTTGCACCTTCACATGCATTAAGGCGCTCCCTGAGAAAAACTACTAAGAATGTAAGGAGGTCGTGACACGTGTTTACGTAGGAAGACAAGGTCAGAGGATATACTAACAATGCAAAGAGGTGTGTTGTAATAAATATGAAAAGGGCAGGTTTGTTGGGCCCAAATGTCCTGTTCCCATCCAAGAATTCCTTTCTCCTCATTAGCCTTTCACCTTTGGACAGCCAGGGCATTAAAATTCTGGCTGAAGCATTAAGGAAACCAGTTTGGTGTCCTTAGCACAGATTTATCCATATCACAAAACAGTCATATAATTTGGCTCGAGTGTTAAATGCCTGCTCAGGAAAGAGGCCCTTGAAAAAAGGAGAGGGTTGTTGCTAGTCAAATCTGCTAAAAGTTCATTCAGCATATTATCCATGCTTTGCTTTCTTCAAGAAGTCATATTTGTTTATTCAGCAAAACTAGAGGCAACAGCTCCTTTACGCTGTATCTCGTATTTGTATAGAATGGGGGGGGGAGGAAACATTATAATCATGTGGTGACTTCCTTGCTAGAAGACCCCCATTCTCCTAACAAAGAGAGAGCTGCAGTTTACAGAGTTCTCTGGAAATTGTAGTGTTGTGAGGGGACTAAGGGTCTCTTAACAATTCTCAGCACCCTGAACAAACCATACTTCCCAGGATTCTTTGCGGAAAGCCATGGCTGTTTAAAGTGTCTCAGATGTTCAGTGCAGATGTTCAAGGCCACAGGACTCTTGGACAGATTCACATGGCTGCCCCTCTGGACGTCCTTAACAGTTATTACTTGTAAAGCTTTAAACAGCTTAGGACCAGGCTACCCAGAGCATCACCTTCTCCAATGTGAATCTTCCTACCCACTTCATCAGCCCCCCCCCCCCCGCATGCCTTGCCCCCATCCGATGTACAGTTGGGAGTGAAGTACCTGAAAACCCTAAGTACACCATATGACAGAGCTTTTAGTAGGGATGTTAGTCTCCTATATTTTAAAAAGTGGAAATGCTTCTAGTCCTGGACAGTTTACACATGTAGGCTTCAAAATGAATGCTGAAAGTATTTCTCAGTGCTGGGAAATCAAACATCAGGCAGTAGCCTCAAGAGTCCTTCAGTGCAGTACTGTACTAAGAAGCCTGTGCAGATGGTTCTGTAATAGTAGTTCATCCAGCACAGAAATTCAAGTCTAGAGTATGGCTTATGTTACTCATCCCATCACAGCTTTTTTTTTAATGGGATATTTTCCAATGCAACTAGGAAAAGAAGCTGCAGAAAACCAAGACAGACAACTTTCTCAAGGAATTACAATTTGCAAAGGAAAACATAATTCAGACAATATGGTCCAGATGAGGTGAGTGTGTTCAAGGCCCACTTCAGCCATTGTGAAAGTTGTATTTTCTCAATGACAACTTCCCTATCTGAGGAATAGGAATACTAGTGAACCACCTCAAATCAAGAGAACTAAATGTTTATTATTATATTATATGTTTATTATATGTATTTTTAATCCCATTTCTTTTTTCCTAGGATGTCTCCCTGCCACATCTTAATCCATCTTAAAAATGGAAGATCGGAGGTGAAAGATAGTGACTTCAAACACTGTGATTTAGCTGCAATGAACAACCTAAGGCTTCCGCACTCCATGTTTCCCCCATGCTTACAAACTGGGCTGGACTGACTGAATTGATGAATTAATCAGATATTGGTATGGCAGCACAGTAGCCAATGACGACCTCCTTACTTTAGTGCAATTAACCTCACCTTTACCCTTAAAGCATCCATCTTTTGAATATGCTTGCAGTATCATGAAATAGAATCATAGAATCATAGAATCATAGAGTTGGAAGAGACCACAAGGGCCATCGAGTCCAACCCCCTGCCAAGCAGGAACACCATCAGAGCACTCCTGACATATGGTTGTCAAGCCTCTGCTTAAAGACCTCCAAAGAAGGAGACTCCACCACACTCCTTGGCAGCAAATTCCACTGTCGAACAGCTCTTACTGTCAGGAAGTTCTTCCTAATGTTTAGGTGGAATCTTCTTTCTTGTAGTTTGGATCCATTGCTCCGTGTCCGCTTCTCTGGAGCAGCAGAAAACAACCTTTCTCCCTCCTCTATGTGACATCCTTTTATATATTTGAACATGGCTATCATATCACCCCTTAACCTCCTCTCCTCCAGGCTAAACATGCCCAGCTCCCTTAGCCGTTCCTCATAAGGCATCGTTTCCAGGCCTTTGACCATTTTGGTTGCCCTCCTCTGGACACGTTCCAGTTTGTCAATGTCCTTCTTGAACTGTGGTGCCCAGAACTGAACACAGTACTCCAGGTGAGGTCTGACCAGAGCAGAATACAGTGGCACTATTACTTCCCTTGATCTAGATGCTATACTCCTATTGATGCAGCCCAGAATTGCATTGGCTTTTTAGCTGCCGCGTCACACTGTTGGCTCATGTCAAGTTTGTGGTCAACCAAGACTCCTAGATCCTTTTCACATGTACTGCTCTCAAGCCAGGTGTCCCCATCCTGTATTTGTGCCTCTCATTTTTTTGCCCAAGTGCAATACTTTACATTTCTCCCTGTTAAAATTCATCTTGTTTGTTTTGGCCCAGTTCTCTAATCTGTCAAGGTCGTTTTGAAGTGTGATCCTGTCCTCTGGGGTGTTAGCCACCCCTCCCAATTTGGTGTCATCTGCAAATTTGATCAGGATGCCCTTGAGTCCATCATCCAAGTCGTTGATAAAGATGTTGAATAAGACCGGGCCCAAGACAGAACCCTGTGGCACCCCACTAGTCACTCTTCTCCAGGATGAAGAGGAACCATTGATGAGCACCCTTTGGGTTCGGTCAGTCAGCCAGTTACAAATCCACTGAGTGGTAGCATAGTCAAGACCGCATTTTACCAGCTTCTTTACAAGAATATCATGAGGCACCTTGTCAAATGCCTTGCTGAAATCAAGGTAGGCTACATCCACTGCGTTCCCTTCATCTACCAGGCTTGTAATTCTGTCAAAAACGAGATCAGGTTAGTCTGACATGACTTATTTTTCAGAAATCCATGCTGACTGTTGGTGATCACAGCATTCCTTTCTAGGTGCTCACAGACTGTTTGCTTAATGATCTGCTCCAGAATCTTCCCTGGTATTGATGTCAGACTGACTGGGCGGTAATTATTTGGGTCCTCTCTTTTCCCCTTTTTGAAAATAGGGACAACATTTGCCCTCCTCCAGTCTGTCGGGACTTCGCCTGTTCTCCAGGAATTCTCAAAGATGACTGCCAGTGGTTCTGAGATCACATCTGCCAGTTCTTTTAATACTCTTGGATGCAGTTCATCTGGCCCTGGAGACTTGAATACATCTAAGCTAGCCAAGTATTCTTGTACTATCTCCTTAGTTATTCTGGGCTGTGTTTCCTTTGCTGAATCATTTGCTCCAAATTCTTCAGGTCGGGCATTGTTTTCTTTATCGGAGAAGACTGAGGCAAAGAAGGCATTGAGGAGTTCAGCCCTTTCTGTGTCCCCTGTTTGCATTTCACCATCTTCTCCTCTGAGTGACCCCACTGTTTCTTTGTTCTTCCTTTTGCTACGGACATACCCATAAAAGCCCTTTTTGTTGCTTTTAACCTCTCTAGCAAGCCTGAGTTCATTCTGTGCTTTAGCTTTTCTGACTTTGTGTCTACACATGCTGGCTATTTGTTTGAATTCCTCTTTGGTGGTTTCCCTTTTCCATTTTTTGTACACATCCTTTTTAATCTTAACTCAGTTAAAAGTTCTTTAGATAGCCACCCTGGCTTCTTTAGGCACCTTCCATGTTTCTGTCTCATTGGTATTGCCTGACATTGTGCTTTTAGTATCTCCTCTTAACAAACTCCCAGCCATCATGAACTCCCTTTCCTTTTAGTATTACTGTCCATGGGATCTCACCCAGCACTTCCCTAAGTTTTATGAAGTCAGCTTTCTTAAAGTCAAGAAATTGAGTCCTAGTATGCTTGGCTGCTCCTTTCCGCTGTATAGTAAACTTCAGAAGAGCATGATCACTTGCGCCTAATGATCCTTCCACTTCTACCCCACTAACCAGGTCATCAACATTGGTTAGGACCAGATCTAAAATGGCTGTTCCTCTTGTTGCTTCTCCCACTTTCTGGACAATGAAGTTGTCTGCAAGGCCAGTGAGAAATCTGTTTGACCTTATGCTCTTGGCTGAGTTTGACATCCAACAAATATCCGGGTAATTGAAGTCCCCCATTACTACTATCTCCCTTCCTTTTGCATGCTTGGCCATCTGTTCCAGGAAGGCATCATCTATGTCCTCCGTTTGGCTTGGGGATCTGTAGTAAACTCCCACAATGAGGTCACTGTTATTCTTCTCTCCCTTAATTTTGACCCAAATGCTCTCACTTTGGTTTTGAGGTTCTAAATCTTGGATCTCTTCACAGGTATACACATCCCTGACATATAACGCCACTCCTCCTCCTTTCTTGTCTGGTCTGTTTCTCTGAAATAGATTGTATCCCCCATTATTACATTCCAATCGTGGGACTTATCCCACCAGGTTTCAGTGATGCCTATTATGTCATATTTAGTTTGCTGTACCAAGAGCTCAAGCTCATCTTGTTTATTTCCCATGCTTTGCGCATTAGTGTACAGACATTGAAGTCCATTAATCATTCCCCGTGACTCTTATTTAAGGATTTTTTCCTCCCACCACTAGGTCTGTGTGCTGTTTGCTCCATTTGGTCTATGACATTTGGATGATCATCTTCATCAATTGATAGACTCCTACCTTCAGGAGCACTGTCTCCCTCCCCCACATTAGTCAGTTTAAAGCCCTCCTGATGAGGTTTCTGAGATTTTTGGCAAAAACATTTCTCCCAACCGTTGTGAGGTGCAGCCCACCTAATAATTCAAGAAAATAGTATGTATTGTACTTATTCAGCATTTAAACTTGGGAGACAGGTGCCAGCTTAGTCCCAAGATCATATTCTTCAGTGATATTACGATGTTCTGAGGCTATGCAAGCCCACACAGGAATTCTTCATCTATTTACACTTCCCTCGTAATGGCATAATCCTGATCAGCTAGTGAGGTGAATTCATTTGCATCCCAAGAAAAAGCGGAAGTTGCACAACATGACCTCTTCCTAGTCACCTAAGTGACCTGTCAGAGGGCTGAATGTAGCTGAGAGGCCTAAGCACGTTTACTTGGGATAAACAGCAAATGGTTTGACAATTTAGATATTCCATCTGTTAAAAAAGAGAATATGCTCCTTTTCCCTCCCCTCTTGTTTTGTTTTCAAAGAGTCCTATGTTTCAAGGCGATATTTTAAATAACCTTTTGAAATACCTGCTGTTGTTGAAAAAGAAATCTATGAACGGCGTAATTTTTACTTGTATTTGGCACTCCTCGAAAGAAACGAAAAGCAACCTCTGCAATTTATGCACCACAGCCCGGTGTGTGTTTACTCAAAAGTGCATCCTGAGTTCAATAGCGTTTGCTTCCAGTAAATGGGCATAGGATTGCAATTCAGTTTGTTTTTATTGGTTGCTGGAGTATCTTGTTAAATTCTGTACACCAGGGGTGGGGGGAATCTTTTTCAGCCTGAGGCCCACTTGCCATTGGTGGGCAGCGCCAGAGGCTAAAGTGGGCAGGGCAAAGAATTTAATGCTTACCCTCATACAGTAGGCTGGTTTCACACTCACACAACCCTCTCTATCCTTCATGCAGATGAACAAGAGGCATTTTCAGAGGTCAAAGGCACATTCCAGCCAAGTAAAAACACTCAAAGAACAAAGAAGGGCCAGTGAATGGTGTAGTCTGGGGAGTCTTCCAAAAGTCTGAGACAACTAGAGGGCCACATTTGGCTCCCAGACCAGAGGTTCCCCACCCTTTTTATACAAACTAAACAGGACCAACTTTACAATAGGAACTTAATTCTGAGTAAACATGTATAGGTTGATGCTGTCAGTCATTTAGAGCAGGGTTTCCCAAACTTGGGTCTTCCACACCACCTATCACCATCCCTAGCTAGCAGTAGTAGTAGTTGGGGATGGTGGGAATTGTAGTCCAAAATACAGCAGGAGACCCAAGTTTGGAAAACCCTGATTTAGAGCAACCAACCATCTCCAAGACAAGCAGCTTTCCTGATGATATTGTACATTTGGACATTTGGAAAGGACACATCACTCCAGCTTCTGATACCCTTGGAACAGTTCTGGCCACAATCTGTGGATCTGGAAAGGAGTTTGTTTTCACATATACTGGCTGAGTGAGGAAAAGTCACTATGAGGAATTGCCTTTTGATTTACATTTCCAAGCAGGGGTAGGGAACATTTTCCACCACAAGGGATGTTTCATGAGCCACCTTCTGGGGGCTGCATATCAAGTGATGGTTGTGTCTAGAAACAAAAAGATGTGGCTTTCACCTTTGTACAGTGGGCTGCATTTCTAGCCATTCCACACCTCTCCATCCACACAATTAAGGGGTATTATCACAGTTCAAGGACAAATTCCAGCCAGGCAAAAACCACACGAGGAGGACGTGGAGCAAGGCCGGGGGTGGATGTGGCTTACAGAGTATCTCAAGGTCTGGAGGGCCACGTATGGCTCCCAGGCCTGTGGTCCTCTGCCCTGACTTCAAAACCAGAAAACAATCTTTTTCAGTGACAGACTTGCCTGGGCTGATTTATACTAGTTACAAATGGATGACTAGACAAGGGGTGGGGAGGGACTCAGACCAGGAAAGATTAACAAATGTTTGTATTATACCAATGTAAGTTAGAATAGTGGCACTGTAGCTCACAATATAATGTGCCAAAGCCAAGACAGGGCATTAGGTTTTGATGAGCTTTCCTTTTAATTAAAAGTATTTAAATTAAGGCACTTTGCCTCTGCCCCTGAAGATGTTTTGGAAACTTCAGCTGGTGCAGAATTCGGTGCCCAAGTTTTTCACCAGGGCAAGATAGTTTGCGTATATTACACCAATCCTGGCCTGACTGTACCAACTGCAAATTAGTTTCCTGGCCCAATTCAGAGTGCTAGTCTTCACCTGTAAGTCCTTAAACAGCTCAGGATCAACTTTCTCCATATGAATCTACCTAAGATCATCTTCCGAAACCCTTCTTCATGTTCCTCCTCCATGAGAGGTCCAGAGGGTGACATGAAAATGGGTCTTTTCTGTAGTGGCTCCCCATTTGTGCAATGCTCTCCCCAGGGAGGTTCGGCTGGCACCTTCATTATATACTTTTAGGCACCAGGCAAAAACATTTCTCTTCAACCAGGCCTTTGGCTGATTAACATTCTATGTTTTTTTAATGTGTTTGCGGCATGTGGGGGCTTATCGGATTGGTTTGTTCTTGTTTTCATTATGTATTTCGTGTTTTCATTTTGTATTTTCATGCTGTGAACCACCCTGAGATTTTCGGATGAAGGGAGGTATACAAATTTAATAAATAAAATAAAAATTCAAGAGATTGCACCCACCTCTCTCAATTAAACTTGCTTTGCTGCTCAATATTTTAAAGCAGCATCAGGCTCATTTTTTTACAGGTTTGGGCTGGAAAGACCACTGGGGGTGATTCAATATGTCTGCTGCAGTTTTCAGGACTCCCAGTTCTGCCTGGGTACACAGCAGGCCCTGCAAACCTGTGACCCGCCAAGTTAAACACAACTCGCCAACCAGCATGCACTAAGTGGCTCAATAAATTCCTGGTTCTTCTGCCTGCCTGGAACTGCAAAATGGGGGAGTCGTCAAGAATCTGGCAGGCGACTATAAAAGGTTACTTGGCTGCAATCAACTTGATGGGTCACAAATTAGGCAGGCCTAGAAAATGTTGGCAGTGAAACCTAGAGTCTGTCTAACAGATTGAGAATGCAATCTTTAGCACACTTCTACTTTGGGGGAGCAAAGGGCTGGCAAAGACTGTTATTAGGGCAGCAAGGATTTCATCTACGTAAAACGGGACCGCAGTAATACTACAGCTGAAAGCTGAAGTAGTGAATGGGATAGCTCGAACTATTTTGGGGAGCTGTACCTCTTGGGAGTTGTCCTTGTCGTTTAACCTGGAGCACACCCAAACTGAGCAAACAGCTACTTAACTCTGAGCAAGCATGCAGAGGGTTTCACCGTGAGACTCTGCTAGTTTCATGGGCTGCATGAGATTGGTGAGATCTACGGGCAACTTTGCAATAAAGCGGAGGTAAAATGTAAATTCCAACACGTTGTTTAAGGTATCTGCATGTTGGAAGTGTAATTTCAAGACGCTGCCCCCCTCCCCAACCCTCCAGCCGGTACTTTTTTAGCAAAATAGATCCTGAAAACATTTATCACATGATCAATCTTTCTTATGTGCTCTTCAGAAGAGATGACAGGTGGGTACCAATTTTAGAAATCGTGAAGGATGCTTCCTCTACTCAGCATAAACAACAGGTTCACCACGGGAACATTTTGTGATGAAGAGCAGTATATAAATTTCACAGATTAAATAAATAAACAAAATGCATGGCCATGATTATTTGTGGCATCAACATACAGTAGTCGTACCTTGGTTTGCGAACAGCTTAGTTCCCGAACGTTTTGGCTCCTGAACGTCGCAAACCCAGAAGTGACTGTTCCAGTTTGTGAACTTTTCGGAAGCCGAACATCCAACAGGGCTTTTGCAGCTTCCAGTTGGCTGCAGGAGCTTCCTGCAGCCAATGAGAAGCTGCACTTTGGTTTTCGAATGTTTTGGAAGTCGAACAGACTTCCTGAATGGATTGCATTTGACTTCCAAGGTACAACTGTATTTTACACAATCCCAGCACAAGTAGTGGAATGGAAAAGCTCAACCCAAGAGTCCTGCATTATATTTTCCCACCTCAGTTCTAGCATATTTCAATCTGGAGCAGTTCTGACCTAGGTTTTTATTTATTCTTCACAAGCAAGAGCAAGTCAAGAAGCCATGAAAGACTCAGGTAGTACTCAATGTAAGTTCTTGTTTGATACTAAAGCTGTTGCCATAAAACCATACACTCTGCAATTCCCTCCATCCCTGAAGGATCTTACAGGCACAATCACAGTTCTCTTATTAGAACAGCAGTCAGGAGAATTTTATATTAATGGGGTAAATCTGTCAGGGGCTTTAAAACAAAACAAAAGGTGGATGAGGTGTAAATCCTGATAAAGGTCTATGGTGGAATCAAATCAAAGGCAGAAACAAAACACAAGTTTGCCCTCTTCCAGATTCTGGTCTTATTACATGACCACTTAGAATCAAGATTTCTGGCTGCTGCCTAGCACAGACTGAGAATTTATCCTAACCTAGAACACACATCAATTTCATAGCTAGTGCATGGGTTTTTCCGTATCAAAGTGTATATTGTTGCTGAACAACTATTACTGGTAAAAAAATATTGACCCATACATTTCTGAGTCCAATTCAAAGTGCTGGTTTTAACCTATAAAACCTTACACAGTTTGGGGGCCTATTACCTAACGGAAGGCCTCTTCTGACATGAGCCTATACAGACCCTGAGGTCATCATCTGAGACCCTCCTTGGATGGAGATGCAGAGGATTATGAAAAGAGAGGTGGCCTTTGCCTATAGTCTCCGCTGTGTAGAACACTCTCTGAAAGAATATTCACCTGGCACCAACCTATTTCCAGCACCAGGCAAAGGATTTAATATTTTCCCAGGCATTTGGTTAACATCATGGCTGTCTCTGTGGGCATTTTTGGCTTGTTGATTATGATGATGATGTGTATTTTCTAGGGTTGGCTTGATTTTTTTTTTAATCCACTGGTTATTTTATTGAAGGTGCTGCTTTTGCTTTTAATTCAGAATTGCTTGCATAGAATGTGTTTTGCACTGAGCTGTAAGTCACATCAAGACTTTTACAGTAGCAGGTGTCTAACAAATGGGATATATACAGAGAGATATAAGTTTCCCGCAGCTTTCTCTCAGTGAGGCCTGCTGGGAAGATCAACTGGATCAGCATAGGGGTTGTACCTATGCTTAAACATACAGCAATAAATGGAGTATGGCTAAGAGTCATATAAACACAGCTTTAAAAAGGACAGAGATATGTATGTCATAGATAGCCAGATTATCGATCTATCTATGACTATAAATCCTACTGATTTTAGCAAGATTTATTTCCAAGAAAGCATCCATTGGACCAGGCCACCTGTCAAATAAATTAAATGTGGATCTTAAACTTATCACAGAATTTAAGGAAGTAGGACCTAAATGGATTAATTCATGCCAGTCATATCTGAATATGTTTTCTACAATGCACCCATAAGGCATACAAAGTTTGTTGACAACTTCATATCTTGAGAGAAATTTCTCTCTCAATAAACCCACTTTTACAAGTGCAACCCAAGGAGGTGGGGGGGGGGAATAGTTTCACATTAGGATGTTTCTTACTTCATCTCTTTGTCCTGGGAGAATGCAACTAAAGAAACCACATTTAAAATCAGACATTAGATATGCAAATATGTGTTCAGATCAGAGATACAAAAATTATTCCAATGATTAATTATTCATCATAAAAAATGTCAATTAATAATTCTGAAGCATAATAGGCATCTTTCTAATGCATCTTTATTTTTGAGGCCTAAATACTGTTGAATATATGTATTTGACAGAATTCTTGCAACTTTTAAAAAATTCAACAAAGTAAATAAGAAACTGTAAACAAAGGGAAGGAAGGAATGCTAATAACCACCAACTTCACCAGAGAGAGTACCCGGAGTTGAATATCAGTGTCACGGGAGACGCAAGAGCGGCAACTGCCCCTTATATCCCAAGAATGAACACTAAAGGAATCCACCCAGGATTGTGTTATCCACTTACTTTCAAAAGGACAAACACACTTCTGATACACTTGCAAATATGCACAGATAGGAATGCAGGAAGCTGCCTTATACAGAATCAAACACTGGTCCATCTAAGCATGTATCATCTGCACTGACCAACAGCGACTCTCCAGGGTTTCAGGCAGGGGTTGAACCTGGTTGGTGCTGGGGATTGAACCTGGCACCTTCTGCATGCAAAGCAGATACTCTACCACTGAGCTACAGCCCTTCCCGACAGGAAGCTGCTTTGCCTTTTACCAGCACAATTTCACCTACAAGCCCAGAATACTCTCCTGTGTCTTGCAGAGGGTCCCTTCTGGAAGTAGATTACAGTCTCTTGAGAGTTGGATGTCCTTGTTTTAACAGAAGGAACAGGGATTGGACCTGGGGCATCCTGCAGAAGAAGCACATGCTTTGCCACTGAGTGGCAAATAACACAGAGGACCAGGCCAGGTTCAAGATACTAGTGTACAAACTCCAGAACAACTTAGGTCCAGAATGCCTTAACCCATGTCTCCCCAAATGATCACTGCGGTCATCTAGGGGCAGCAATATTAGTATTCCCACAGGGAATCAGAAGCACAACTTGTGTCGAAAAGGAGTTGGCCTTCAGTGTAGGGAACCTAGCTCTGTGGAACTCCCTCCCACTAGAAACCAGGGAAGCACAACCCCTGCCAAGTTTCAGAAACCTGATTAGAACTCTTTTTATTTTGGGAGGCCTCCGCACCGTGAATGCCGCTCTGAAGTTTTAAATCTCTGATGTTTCAATTTATGCTTTAAACTTTGTATGTTGCAGTTTTATTCTGTAAGTCACTTTGGGATGCTGATGGTGAAAAGCAGGGTGTAAGTTGTAATAAATATAAAAGTAAAAATTTTAAACATTTATTATATATCAGGATACATAGCCCAATCCTAGAACTGAAACAGGAGTGACCTGAATATCATATGGACAAAGCAGTGATTCATAGTGCTGTTTTGACATGGGAATGATACAATAATTCATCATGTGTTGCCGTTTCCAAGTCTGTGCATAAGAACTTTTTCAGGGGAGGGGATAGCATAGCATAGAGCAAACAATATCCTCCAAATGTATCTGCCATGTTTTTTAAAATGATATGCAAGTTATGTTAATCAGGCACAATTGTTCCCTCTAACAAGGAACTCGGTGCGCTCAGAATGCTCAAAGGAAACCTCAAGGTTTGCAGAAGTATAAAAAAGAAAACTAACAAAACAATCCCAAACTGAACATGCTCAGTCTTAACAGAACCCAGGACAAGAAAGAGATAGAAAACCACAGAGGGAGAGTAAATTGGCTACCTTGAGCACCTAAGAATTAGAAAAAGACATATCCAGGTGGCTGGCAGTAACCCTAAACAAGAACATTCCTGTTAGGTGCTGGAAAAAAGTGTCACAACATGTTGTGGTATATGTCCCCTTGTGAAAATATCTGATCCTTTTGCATTTTATAGTTCTGCAATGTGAGTGTCAGTACAAGATGCTTACACTTCAGCTAAAATGTGGCTGCAAAACTCAAGCACCAGCTGATCATCTTTTCCAAAAAAAATCTACCTATTATGAAAATATCAGGTGTCTGTACAAAAAAACAAACAACCAATCCTACAAAGTTCCAGCTGGCCACTATAGAGCTGGCCACACACACACTGTGCAATTCTTCTTACAATGCCTTCCAGAAAGAAATTTGACTTGGCTAAAGCTACTGAATTACTGAAATCTCCCTGTTCTAGGAAGGCAGCCTGGAGTTCCCCTTCTCCTCATAGCTAAAGAACAGGCACATACTCAGGTGTGAAGTGTGTCTGCACCAGACATGCATCCGCTGCCTGCCCGTGAAGTGTACTTGCAGCAAAATTAAGGGAGGGGTAAGAGTGCAACACAGAAACCAGCCCTCAGCTACCACTTCTTTGCCTTGGAGGTGACACAAGTATGCCCAATACACAGCACATATTCACAGCTCGCAAATGCAAGCCTCTGAGCTCACAGATTGGAGGGTGAAACAATCAACCCTGGGAAATGCACAATTAAACTCCACCTATTTCATATACAAATCAATGCAAAAATAGTACTAAATTATGAAATGCTGGCCCTGCATTTGTGTGGTTTAGAAGCATTACTACTCCGTGAATAAATGTCTTTTCTTTCTCTTCACTGTGCTTGTGTTTACTCCCCCTAAAAAGGAGCACTTCATGAATGGGGCAGCCACTTTGTAAGGATTATGAATTTTAAGCAGACCAATCCTCCTCTTCCTCCAGGACATGCTGTATTCTTGAGATGCCATGTGTAGCAAGTGTTATATGCCGGGGGCTGTCTCCTTTCAAAGGAACAAGCCAAAAAGTGAAACTCCTTTTAAACTGCATCTTTAAAGAGAAAACAGAAAAAACGGCATACACTTTTCCTATTGCGGCTTGCAGAAAACAGGAAGGCCCGTTGCTTGCTGGGTACTATTAGGCAACCCAAATCTGCATGCCTTCAGTTGCAGGAAAAGAAACCTACCCAAGCAACCCCAAAATCCCAAATGTCAAAAGCTGCTCATCTGAATCCACCCAGACACAATGGGAGCGAGTGAGGTTCCCCTGTCATCAATATACCTCTAATTTCACAGACACTTTCTTGGCAGCCCGGGCCAGAAGAGAGCAGGCCAACAATCCTACGCTTAACTGGGTAACCTGCAGGATCCTCTGGAAGCGCAGCCTCGGGAAGGGCCGCGGCCGAGCTGGCCAAGCCCTTTCCCAGCGCCTTTCAAGAAAGAGTTCCCCACACACACACACACACACACACACGCCCGTCCGTCACCCTGAGGAGCCCCTGGCTCCGACCTCGCCTGCCTGCTTCGGCGGGCCCTCGCCATATGCGCGGGGAGACGGAGAGCGCGCGGGAGACGCCGAGGCAGAGCGCGCGCCCTTTTCTCATGCTAATGAGCCCCCGGCCGCCCTGGGGCGGGGGAGACTCGTGCGAGGGAGGGAGGGAGGCAGGTGGCCGCTCGCTCGGCTCCCACCGCAGCCCCCCGGCCAACCGGAAACAGGGCCGCGGCGTCACGTGGGGGAAAAGGAGAGCCCGGCCAGAGAGGAGCCGCTGGTGGCGCCGTCCGTGGACAGGCCGGGCCAAGGGGGGCCGAGGCGCGCGCTCCCCCCGCCGCCCGCTTCCCACGGCCCCTCTCACGTGGGGGATGGAGGCAATGGAACAAAGGGGGCAATCGGGGGAGGGCAAGGCAGAGCCCGGTGCCCGCCTGGCATCCTCTTCTTCGGCAGACACGTTTGGCTGGCCCCAAGGGTCCTCTTTACGCAGGGGTAAAGTTGCAGAGATGGGGAAGGGGAAAGACACGCGGGGACCATTTTTTTGCTCCTCAGCGCCAGACGGGGTCGCGTCCGCCCCATCCACCCAACGTCTGATTTGCTGAGGCTGCTAATTTGGTGGCTTGTGGTACTGAAGGTGGGGGGTTTTCTTTTTCTTTTTGAATTCCCAAGAGTGTGCTATAATAATGATGACAATGTAAATAAACAAACAAATAAATAAAATGAGGCTTACTTGAGCGTCAGCCCCCTTGAAACCCGTGCTGGGCATCCTTCTGTGTCAACATGCCCAGCCTCGTGCTGCAAATCTCACACGTGCGTCTCCCAAACCTCTCCAAGTTTACTCGAAAGTAAGTCTCTCCTTTTCTTTTCTTTTTCTCCCTCCCTTTTCCCCCCACGGCAACTTCCTGCCAAGGATGGGACTGGAGGCTTGGACGAAGCCAAGGCAAGGGAGACGCTTCGTTTGTCTGGGAGGGGGCGAAGCAGAGCATCGATCAGTTTTCCCTGCGCTTTCGGCGCTGATGTCAAAATCTTGCTTAGCCCAGGAAAAGAGCACTTGCATTCCTCCTGTAGCTTCACGAAGCCGCGCGTCCTAACCGCCGAGGTGAATGTTGTTTCTCCTCTTCTTCCTCAGTGGTGATAGGCTTCATTTTTATTAAAAAAAATTATGTTGCTATTTTCTGACACAAATCCTCAGCCCAAACCCCACTCTCTCCCTGTTTAGCAGCGCAATAATAATAATAATAATAATAATAAAGCATCCTTGCTATCAAGAGTTGAGCGGTTACGTACCACTCTTGCGAAAAGTCTCTCCCGGGAGCGTCCCCCCCCCCCGCGTTGTTAGCCTCCCCCGCCTGCCTTTCCCCCTCCCTCTTTCCACGCGTGTTTCGGGAGTTTGTGGAAACTAAAGAATGGCTCTGCGGGGGGGGGGGGACTTCCTAAGTGTCTAGGAATTATTTTGGCCGCGGCAGTGTATTTTCTCTAAATCCACGAGGACCTTCCCACGGTCTGGTTCGGTCTCTGTCCTCCTCGCAAAGGATTGCCCGTGTAACCCCCATTTATTTGAAGGGGGGGGAAGAAATCTAAAGCTTTGCTTTAAGGCGAAGGGGGAAAAATATTTGGAAGCAAGTTGGCTCTTCCCCCCACTACCACCCCACCACCTCGTGCCCTAGTTAATAATCTAGAGATGTAGGAATAATATATAAAGGGGTGGTAATGAGATTACATGTTAAGCACTTGCACTTCAGATAAAGGGGAGGGAGACGTGTAATCGAGAATTCAGAAATGGAGGTTGTTGCTATCAGTATTAGTATTATTGGTGTAGGTTCGCTGTAGCTCTTTCAGAAGGGTCACTGTGCTTTAGAGCTCCAGACCAGATCCGAAAAGACCTCCTTCAGATGAAAAAGACTTGGGATCTGGCTGCCTGGGATTGGTACTTCGCGTTCGTATTTGCAACAGGATCTGCTCACCCTCTTGTCCCTCTCTCCAGAAATCCAGAGGCGCCTCCGTCTAAAAACGAATGGTACCCTCCTCTCCGGGATAGGGATCGTTAGGTCAGTCAGTAAACAGTTTAGCTCTCCCCCCTCCTCAAAAGAGAAAAAAGAGGGAAGTTTTATCCCAATTCAATGCAAAGAACCAGAATAAAAGCCTGGAGAGGCTCTTCTCCCACTTGTCTAATTACTGAGCTTCATCTTTTTGCCATCATCAGTGGATCAGGATTTTTTAAAAAAGGGGAAAAAAGAGATGTTCTGAATTAATACAAAAACGACAGGTCTTAAGTGGAAGGGGCTCTTTAATAGTCACAGGTTAAGAAAAAGAAGTTTCCTTCGCTTCTTCCGGGCGTCCCACCGTTAGGAACCTGCCTTACCTGCCCCGGAGAAGGTGTCAATGGAAAAAAGCCCTCTTTGATTCGGATCGGACGGGGCAATTGGGTCCAGTTCGATCCGGAGTGTGGGTCGTGGCGGTATGGGAGGCGGGGGGGGGCTGCTCTCCGGATGACACCAGGAGAAAGCTTCCCGTCAAGCAAACCTGAAATGAGCGTTTGATTTAGAAGCCCGCTCCAAAGATCCCCGCGCTTATCCTAACCCCAAATGCGTGTCAACCAAAACGTCTGAATATTTCCTTCAAACACGGAACAAGAAATCCCAATGCGCGCGAGAGGCAGGAACTGCAAAGGAGAGGTGAGGGGTGTCTCTCTACATCCTTCCAGTTCCTGCTGAGCGGAGGATTTAGACCTATTTTCGGATGGCAGGGAGGAAATAAATTCTCCCCAAAAGCCTTGTTTGGGTTTATTTGGACCGTGTTCCCGCAGTTTTGGAAATGATTCACCCAAAGCTTCGAAAGAGAGGGAAGTAGGGCGTGTGTGGCGGAGAGGATGCGGTTGCATGTTCTGATTTGGGCTGCTTTTTATTCCTTTTTCTCCCTCCCTCGGCCAGCAAGGTGGCAAGAGTGTTACCCCCTCTCCCCTTTCCAAAATACGCATCCATCCCCCACCCCCTGGTCCTGAGCTTCAGGAGCCTTTTCCCTTTGGAGGCGGTGATTGCCAGGGACTGGAGCAAGCATCCCAGTCGCCTCGCTCAAGGCGCCCGTTCAATGCACAGCTCGCCAGCAGTTTATCTTAGCTTACTGTAAGTAAAAGTGGAGTGTCGGATCAGCGCAGAATTTGTTTCAGTTTCCTTCAGTGGGAAGGAGCTGGCGGGGTCGGAGGGGGTCTGCAGAGAAAGAGAGGAGCGCTCTCTAAGAGATTTAACTGTGGCCAAGCGAGGAAGATGCTGTCGGAGGAACCCAGTCTCTCTCTCTCTCTCTCTCTCTCTCTCTCTCGTGTGTGTGTGTGTGTGTGTGTGTGTGTGGGCAGCTCCTGTTTAGTTTCAGCATGGGATCATGCCAGCCAACCTCGCGGATTGGAACTTTCCCCCCTGGATGGGTGGGTGGGTGTTTCTTTGTAGGAAGCACTGAGATCAGGCAAAAAGTTATCTCGCAGAGAAAAGGAAGGGGTTGCTGCTGGAAAATATGGGGGACGCTGAACCCAGCAAAGGATCCCCTTCTTCTCTCCTCTCCCCGTCGCCCAGCCGGGCCTCTTTCATCCTCTCCGGGTGCTTTTAAGGACTTCGCCTGCAGCCGGTGGTCTCTCCCAACCCCAACCCCCCAGCCCCTCCGACGATGCGCCTGCAAAGCAGCTTTTTGATTAAGCAAACAGAAGAGCATTGGTTAAGAACACACTTTAAGTTGTGTGTGCTGTGCGTGTGTGTTTTAAAGGTTCCCCTGGGACCGTGGACTCGGAATTGGTTAATAATGTGCAGTACTTGCTAAATTGCTGACTTCCAGATGTGTGGGGGGGGGAGAGGAATATCTTTCTTGTTTAGGACCTACGTAACCTGATTGGATTAGGACAGGCGCGTCACATTGGAAACCTTTTTGAGTGATGATTTAATTAACCATACAGTAGAAAGCTGCCTTCGCCAGGAAATCCCTTCCCCATTTGCATAACCAATCCCCACAGTGCAAAGGTGGAGTCTCAGGGCTTAATTTTCATTTTAATCTTTGCCAAAGTCCCCCCCCCACCTCTCCGCGAGCGCACACACAAAAAAGACTTGTTACCCCCATGAAATGCAAAGCTACCCACTCAACTTTCTGCCCTTCAAGGGCCATCTGTGTGTAAGAGACACTGTGTGTGTGTGTGTGTGTGTGTGTGTGTGTGTGTGTGTGATATTCTAATATCAGGTAGAAGTCAATCTGTCTAAATCTTTGACTGCAATCCTAAAGAACAGTTACTGTGATGCTAACCTCACTGACCACAGAGGGATTTGCTTCCGAGTAAACAAGCTTAAAGCCACAGTTGCAAAAGTCCGTGAAAGCTACCTATATATTTCATTCACTGAATATGCATTCTGTCTTTATTTTGTCTGCTTGTTTATGGGTTCCGAGTCTTTTTACACCGCACTTCGCCCGTATACTCCTCTATACCTATTATCTCTGTTTCCTAACTGCCCCTCTGACTATCTCCTTGCAAGTGTGAAAGGAGAGCAGAAGGTGGGGGGAAGCAATTATTATTTCCCCCCAATTCTCAGCCTTTGCATACACCCCAAGAGAAAAATGTCGATATTTTCTCCCTCCCACCCACAAAAAAGAGCAGCAGGGACTTATTAACACACACACACGAGAGATCCTCGCTGCATTCACTCTCAAGTAAAAGTTGTATCTCCAGCAGAAGGTTTTGCCTCTAAGTAAGCGCGCTTAGCGGCTTTGAAACGCCCCATAAATTTATTTTTATTTTTTTAAGGACCAGGAGTTCATTGACCACTTGTTATATATCTTCAGCGCTAATTCAGCGTCTTCCTTTCTCCCCCTAAGTTTTATTATGAATAGTTTTGTTTTGTTTTCCCCGCCTGCCCCGTCACTCTGGCATCTGCAATTTGAAAGGGGCGCGAAGGAAAAGCAATCGAGGGAGGAAGCCCATAAACAAACAAACAAACAAACAAACAAACAAATGATCCCTAGATCTCTCTTTCCCTGCTGCAGATCCCGTCTTGCTCTATAGCCGCGCGCTGCGAGGAAGCCTGCGGGATGCGAACCGCACAGCCTCCGGGTGTCTCCTTGCAACTTTCAGTTCCTTTGAGTTGGGCTAGTTCTGTGAATGGTGTTCACCGTTTTCCGCCTCGCATCCAGTAGGATTTAGCGAAGAGGATAATGATGCCAAAGACTTGATGGCTGGGGAGGGAGGGAGGGAAGGAGGCAGGCAGGCCAGGGGAGGGTGGAAAAGAGGGAGGGAAAGGCGGAGGGGAGGGGGGAGGAGGAGGAGGAGAGAGAGAGGGAGGTGGAATTTCATTTCTTCCACTAAAGCGTTCGCGGAGACTTCAAGGTATAATCTATCCCAGATCCTTCCTTTCCCAGAGAGAAACTTGGCGATCACGTTTCCACATGATGCTCACGTTTGGCGCTCTTCAATTATCCCTCCCCACAAAGATAGGTGGCGTGTGTTTCAGGGTCCTCTCTCCTCTCTCTCCTACAGAAAAGAAAAAGAAAAAAATGTCATTAGAAGAGGCGTAACACGTCAGTCCGTCCCCAGGTTTGTGTTTCCTGGAGTGGCAGAAAGAGATCAGTCCTAACCTGCCCAGCAGGAATAACGGTCCCTTCCGACAACTCTTTCCGAGGCTTTTTGACCATTTTGTCCTCTCTTCCAACCAGCTACATCTCCCTGCACCTTTTTTTCTCCCCTCCTTCCTCCACTCCGCGGCTTTTTCATGCTTCTTCTTCTCTCCATTGCTGACCAAAACTACACACAAGACTTCGCAGGTACGTTCTCGGTTATATTTTCCTCTCTTTTCTATTTTTGCTCATTGTTGTTCCGCCTCTCCCTCTCGTTCTTTCTCTCTTTCTCCCCACCTCTTTTTCTTTTAAAAACAATTGCTGTCTTGGGGTCTGTTTTCCTTGTCTACAGCTAGGGAGGAAGTGGTGAGGTGGGGTGAGTTCTCATTTTTGAACTGAAATCTACATTTACTTGGGATCACTTTCTGAGAGAGAGAGAGGAAGGGAGTTGTTTCTGCCTGCAAACTGTTATTACCTAGGGTCTCCCCGCTCTCCCAGGACATATACCCACCTGGCTTACCAGGTGGAAAAGGTTATTTTGCCCCCCCCTCCATTTTTATTTTACGTTTTATAGTTCCCACCAGGAGTAGGAAAGTTCGCCTTTCTATTATTCCTCGGTCTGTTGTGGTTTTGTTTTTGTTTTTAAAGCAGCATTCCGCTCGCTTCTCTTCGTCCTCACGTTTACACATCTTAAAGTTTGCACGTACCTGTTAATGATTTTCAAGCTGTGAACAAGACCAACACAGGCACGGCTGGATAATAAGATTTTAGTTGGGGCTTTGCTTTAAAAAGAACTCCCAGCAAACCAGCCCCACCAAATGTATTATTAGCTGGCTGCAGCTCTTAGGGTTAGTGGCAGGCTTCTATTTAGTCTCTTCCAAAGCAACCAAGAAAGTTTTCTTTTCTTTTCTTTTCTTTTCCTGTTCTGTATGCTTAGTCAGTTTCATTTCTTGCTTTTATTTCTCTGAGACTGGGTGAAGTTAACACCTCAGCTTCTGGGAGTCTCAACAAGAAGTGAAAGTAGTGACTGCAACTTGCTTAAAAGTCGTTTGTAGCACAAAAATATTTTAAAAATGTAAAGAGGGAAACAAAATCAGAATTCGCCCAGGAAGAGACGAGGGCTGGAGTAGGGGGACTTTGGTGAGATCCCAATTTTCACAATTTTTAGCAACCTTTAAAAAAATGAATATCAAAGGGTAAGCAGGCAGTGAGAATCCTTGACGGTGATCCTCTCCATTGGTAGATTCTTAGAGAATTTCGCCACTTACCCAAGGATGCTTTCAAGGATCAGGTTGTTGTTTTGAATAATTTCTTAGCCTCCTGCTAGATCTTTTCTTTTAATGGAGAAGATAGTTGCTACAGAGTTAGAAGTCTCCAGCAAACATGAAATGGGGTGCTGATTCCCTTCGCTCTTCCACACACACATTTTAGTGGCTCAAGATGGGTTCATAGGCAGCTGAGTCCAAGACACAGGGCTGGCCTCGCTTGTGCCATCTTACACACAACACAGTGTACACACACCTTACACGCACAACACAGTGCATTTGAAGCTAATCTCCAAACAACACACTGCCGCAAGGTTTATTACATTTCATTTCTTCCTTTCTTGAATCGCCTTTAAAGTTAATAGGGAAACAACCACATAAAAGGAAGGGAAGAAATCCCCCTCCCCTTCTCCTGCCAGATCTGTAAAGTTCTGCGTTGTGCAGCCCATGCTTACTCGTAAGTAAGTTCCCCTGACTTCAGCGGGACTTGCTCTCACGCAAGTGCGGTGAGAGGTTTTCCAGCCTAAAGAGACGAGCCTGCGAGTCCATTTCTAGATGGCAAAAGCCTAGTATATAAATAAAAGGGGGAAGACAAAAGACGAGGTTAGGATAAATTTGGTCCAGGAGAGCAAGGGTTAATTGTCCTTGTTTTACAGTTTGCATCTGCTGCATCTTTTATAGTCTCTCTCTCTCTCTCTCTCTCTCTCTCTCTCTCACACACACACACACACACACACTACCCAGTTCGCCTTCCTTGTTTAAACTCGTCCTTAAGTCAGAGTATACTGGGTTGTGGTTGTTGTTGTTTGTGTTGTGCTGTGTGGGTGCATGTTCTGAAGCTTCAGCGTTTGCTTAGATCAGCCAGACAGCGAGGGGTTTCCTCGTTTCCCCAGTTTTGACAGTCTTAAAGCTCACATCCAGTTTGCGGCCGTGTCAGCGAGAAAGTGCACCAGTTTTACAAGACTCTGTGCGTGTGTGTGTGTACACACAGAGAGACAATTTTTAAAAAATGAGATCCACTAATAAGAAAGTCTCACAAGAGTAGTTTCACATCTCTCCCGCAACCCCTCTTCTTATTTTCTTTCTAAAGAAGGGAGGCTGAAATTACATTTGGGGAGGGGGGGGGAGAACCCTGTGCAGGATATTGCCAACGTGACTTTAAAAGTGTGAGAAACGTGGGGGGGGGGGGAGAGCGAGAGCGAGAAGGCAGATAAGCCTGTTCTTCTGCAGCTCTTATCAGTTCGTAGCCATATACTTTCAATATAGATATATATTAAGGTGTCATTGGTTATGCAAACAAGAGACAGCGTCGTGAGGTCCTCAGTACTTTTCGGAGGAAAAAATCCGCCCAGCGATTTGAGTCAAGTAACGTTTTTTTTTTCCTGTTTAAAAACTCGCACATACAGAGAGAGAGAGAGAGAGAGAGAGAGACAGACAGAAAACAAAACCATTAAAACCGAGTGCATTCCCTCTACGGGTCATGAGTCATTTCTGAAGATGTAATACTTGTGTGTGTGTGTGTGTGTGTCTGATCACTGGTGGTGGAGGGGGAAATAATAATAATAATGTTAATAATAATAATAATAATGGGAGGTATTTTGTCTGTTAAAAGAAGAGCATGCATTTCAAGGAAAGAAAGACAAAAGTCACCCCCACCCCCAGCCAGACACTTCCGAGGAAGGGCGAAGGGAGAGCGTGTGTGTGTTTTTGTGTGTGGCGCTGCGTGGTGCGCAAGGCGAGCGCTGCTGTGCGCGGCGCCTGGGCTGCTCGGGGTGGGGGTCCTTCTTTTGTGCAGGGTGGGGAGGTGTCGGGGTGGGGGTGGGGGGGTTGCCTGTGGGGAGAGCCTCTCCGCTGTGTCCGTGGGCTCCCTTTGGCGCCGCGCGTTTGAACGGGATCTCGCCATGCCCACCCGGTGCCTCTGTTTGGTTGCTCCATAGAGTCTGCGTGCTGCTGAATCAGGGAGTCGAGTCCATGCGAGCTGCCATCTGATCCACTCTTATCAATGAAGCAGCAGATCATGGCGGATGGCCCCAGGTGTAAGAGGCGAAAACAAGCCAATCCAAGAAGGAAAAACGGTAAGGAGAGAAGGGAGCCGCCGGGGAAGGGCAGAGCGGGGGAGGGGGAAGCCCTCCATCAAACTTTTTTCCCTTCTTCATTTTTTTTCTTTTTTTCTACTTTGGGTCCTGGCGACACTTCGAGACGATTGCCGGCGGAGTGGGGAGGGGGGGAGGGTTTGGAGAAAAGGCAAGGAAATATGAAGGGAGGTGTGCGTATTTGGACGAAGCGGGGGATGTGTTGCTAGAAAAAAAGCAGCAAAAAGCCCCCCTAACCCCCCCCCCCAATGCCCGCGGTGGGTTTGGAGCAGGGCGATCGCTTGCGCCGCGGCGGAGAAAAGAGAGAGGAGGAAAGGGGGGGGGGGAGACCCACCGAGAGAGAGAGAGAGAGAGAAAGAGACGGAGGAGGGCGAGCTAGTGATCTGTCCGTCTTGTTTGTTGTGTATTTCTGGAGCGGAGAGAGCGAGAGTTTCAGGGAGCCCGAGAGAAAGTGAGTGGCAGAGAGGATCGGCGCTGGGGGATCCCAGGGCGTTGCTATTCCTGTGTGTGTCTGTGTGCCCCCCCCCCCGCGAGCGCTCCTTAAGATTTGGTTCGCTTCACACACATCCTCCACCCACCTCTTTCCTTCTTTTTGGGGGGGGGGGGGAGAAGTCCGATCAAAGTAGGCAGGGGGGGAGGTCCCGGGGCTTCCTTGGAGGAGTTGATGGCGGAGGGGGGGAGATTCCTTAAGGAAGCGGAGCGGGGGTGGGAGACTCCGGGCTCTGAGAGGAAGGAAGAGAGAGAGGAAAGGAGATTCCTCCTCTCCCCCCCCCCCTTCCAGTCTCCGTCGCTTCTCTTGGCTCAGGGCGTTGGGAAAAGCAGAAAGTTTCTCGCCTCTGGGACGAGTTAGCTAACGGTCCCGGCTGCTGCGCTCCTGCGCCGGCGAGATCGCCCAAGAAGACCCGTTAGATTCCTCTCGCCCGCTCTCTTTCCTCTTCCCCTCCTTCCTTCCTTCTCTCTCTCTCCCTCCCTCTGGCCCCGCCGTTGTCTCTTTCTTGTTTCCCTTTGATCGCTGCCTTCACGGCCACAATCACCTCTCAGCCAAGCCAAGCCAGCCTTTCTCTCTCTCTCTCTCTCTCTCTCCCTCCACCCCCCTCCTTCTCTCACAAGACCCAGGAAAAGCAAAAGAGCTGAGGGTGAGAGAGAGAGAGAGAAAGAGAGAAAGAAAGAAAAGAAAAGGCACTTTGGAAAACGTCCGGTAGTTTTCACGTTGTCATGACCAGATCCTTCCTTGTGTTGTGGGAGGGGGGGAGCAGGAGGGAATGGACACACCGCGAAAGGAGGGGTGGATTACAGGGAGGGGGGCGATCTTTGAACAGCTCCATTAAAACACATACGCAGGAAAACCTCAACCGCTTAGCCAGACCCTGGGAAAAGCAGGGGGGTGGGAGGAGGAGGAGGAGGGAGAGCAGCGTGAGAAATCTGGAGCCGAGCGGGCGGAAGAGTTACTTTTCGGGGGCGGCCAAGGAAACTCCCTCTGTCGGGCAGGCAGCAGTCGGGAGGGTCGTGCGTGTCTCGCGCGTGGCCCTCTCTCCTCTGATCGCGGAAGAAGCGGTCGGAGAGGGAGGGGGGGTCCTACGCGGCCCCGGGACATATCCTGCGTCGGATGTTTGGGGAGGGGGGTTTCAGCTGCCCCCTTTCTCTCCAGGTCCTTCCTTTCTTATTTGACTCACAAGTTCCAAGTCTCTCGCCCCCCCCCCCGCGCAACTAAACACTCGCACACTCCAGCCCCACACCATTCCTTGGCCCTCACTCTGAGCAACTTTTCTCTAGAGTTGAGGGCGGGGGGGGGGCAGTGGAGCATGAGGAAGACACTGGTGTAAAGCCGAACCGATGTTACTTGCAATATTTTTGGGCTGGCGGAGGGGTGGAGGACAGGAAAGGAAAGGAAACACAAAGAGAAAGCTTGGTTACAAACAAATGTGGGCGAGTTTTTGTGCGTTTCCCCCGTCGCTGGGGAGGTGTGAGAGAGCGACTTTTCAGGGCAGAAAGTCCTGGCCAAGTGCGCCCCACGGGCTGCCGTGTCTCCACTCACCCCATCCCACCTCCCCGGGGCTGCTTTCCAAAAAGGCAAAAAAAAAAGTCTATATATTCGGGGCATCTTCTTCTCTCCCCCCCCCCCCGCTTTTCCGCGTTCCCCGCCACTTTCCCTTTTAGCCTGGTGCCTGCCGTTATTTAAGGTGGTCCTGGCGAAAGAGGCACTTTTCTTGCCCACCCTCTCTCACCCGTCGCTTGTAATTTAGCAGACGTTTAAAAGCACTCCTTTCACCTCTTTTGTACGAATATTATTATTATTATTATTAAGCTGATTTGCTTACAACCACTGTCTGCTGTAGGGGTTTCCTCCCACCCCCCTTTCTATCCTTTACAAAAATGTTAAAAGAGCAAACCTTTTATGTCAACAATGCCGTCCTCTCCGCCGCCCGCCCCCCCCCCTCGCGCGCCACACACACAGGATATGTTAAATATCACATGGAATGAGATTCAGGCTTGGCATTCTTGATTATTGGGAAGGGTGATGTGGTTCAAGTCACCTTCTTTCTCTTCCCCGTGCGCGTGTATAAGACTGTTAGCTTATCTCCTGAAAGCGTGTCCAGTGTGGTGTGGTGAATATCTGCATGTATGATCTATCTGCATGTTCAGTGTTTCCTCCTGACAGTTTGTTCCAGGAGACAGAGAGAGAGAGAGGTGACATTAGCGGCGTGGAGATCAGGCATGAGATGCATGCAGGAAACACAGGCATCATTAGAGCAATGCAGAAAGACCCCTGAGGAATAGTCATTCTGCTTCTCCTCCCACCCCCCACCCCCGACATTCTTCTGGGTGTCTTGAGAGAGAGGCAGGGAGCGCCTCTTGCCAGGTGAAAGTAACCTGTGTCTTTTAGACTCTGCAAACTTCTTCTAAAGTCTAACCACTGTTTGACTCCAATTGTCAAACCTGCGAGGATGGTGTTGCACTTAAAACCAACCCACAAAAAAGCAGACATCTTTCTCTGCTTGATGATGCGCGTGTTTTCTCGTTAAGCCATGTCTCAAGTGAGAACTATTCGAATTTTGAATAGCAGGTAGATCCATCGGGGTGTGTTTTCTTCTCATCCTCCTCCTCCCTCCTTCCTTTTCATCTCTCTCTCTCTCCTATTTTTTCCTCGACAAACACGTATTGGCCCCTTTGGGATTTGCTGGGGATTTATCTGAACGGGAGTGGATTTCTCTCTTCCACCCCCACTCCCTTCTTTTGGATTCCTGGAAAAGATGTCACTTTGCTGTGGTTGTGTTTTTCCTGATAACATTACACAGAACGGTGCTAATCGAAATCAGGGAGAAGAAATTCAGGGGCAGCTCATGAGAATCAAAATATTTGTGGCTTCATTAAAAAAAAAAAGAGGGGAGAAGCTTTTTTTAAAAAAAAGCATAAACTAGACTGATGGAATTTTATTTATTTGTGCAAGGTTTGCCTCCCCCCCAATTATTTTTAAAGCAAGGGAAAATCATGATTGGCAGAATGAAGACCTTAAGCAGAGGTCCGGAAAGCATTCGGGGCAGTGTGTGTGCACCTATTTAAGTTTTAAGATGAAATGCTGCTTCAAATCATGATAGGCTTGTTGTTGTTGTTCTCAAGCGAGCAAGTTCCTAAATTGACTTGGAGGAGAGAAGGAAGTGGCGTGGGAGTGTGATGCGGAGATGCCCAGATTTGTGTGGCTGAAATGAGGGCAGAAAGGGGGAACCGTTTCCTTTTAACGTGGTCTCCCTCCAGAGGAGCTTGGCGCTTGTAGGAGCTCAGAAGAACCCGCAGCAGTCCAGGAATGCCTGTCGGTTTTTCAGGAAAGTTCAGTCAGATGATTCCCAGTCGCCTGACTCGCTGTGAATTGAAACACTTTCTCTCTGCGAGCAGGAGGCAAACCCCCAAGCTGCCTTTTTTTTTTTTTTATTCCCTCTCCCTCTCCAACCCCCACCCCACCCTCTGCGTCCCCCTCCCCTCCCTTCTCTGCCCCTGGGAGATCCACCACCATCTCCACTGCCAGGAGAGCTGCAAACTTCCCCCAAGTTTTTGCTCTTGCTGTGGCGGCTGATGCTTAGGGTGTTATGGGCCCCCTTTGGAGAGGAAAAAGATGCTGCGACTGATGTGATCACGGGGTGACCCCAGTCCTCTCCCCATCAATTTTCTCTCCTGTCTCCCTGAGAGATGGTGAGGGTTAGCGTTTTGGCTGGTTTGAGGGTTTGGTTTTGGTTTTTTTGAAAAAGCAAAAGAGCCACGGGTTGGGGATTCGGATGGTTCTCTGCAGCGCAGGAGCTTGGAGCAAAAACCCTGGCAAAGTTGACTTCCTCCGCCTCCTTTGCCCTTAGTGAGGGGTCCCTTCGCAAAGTTCTTCCCGATCGCTTGGAGGAATGGGAGCAAGGCCCGAGTGTCCCCTCTCCCCATCCCCAAAAGGGCAGGCCAAGCAAGCGGGCAGCCTCGCTCATCTCTCGCGTCCGGGAACCAAACTGACAGCAGCCTCGACAAGCCTCTCTCTCGAGAGAGAGCGGCTTGCCAGCTCCCCAAAAAGATGGGGGGAAGAATCCCAGCCACATTCCTAGCTGAGAAATAACATCGTGTGTGTGTGTGTGTGTGTGTGTGTGTGTGTGTAGGGTGCAAATCTGAGGGCAACGGAGAAAAACAGTGAGAGCGAGTGGGATGCTTTTTTTTGGTTGGTTAGTTGTATTTTTTAATTTTTTTATTACTTTCTGGACGTTTCAGGAACAGCTGGGGGAATGGTCCCGAGGCAAGCCTTATTATTATTATTATTATTATTATTATTATTATTTTACAAGTGCGAAAATCCACAGCAAAGGGATCCTTTTATTTTGAAAAGTTGAGTGATCTCTGAAGATACTGCATTCTCCTCCTCCCTTTCCCCCCCAAACCTGGCTCTCGTATTTGTGTACTGCAGACCCACATATATGCGTGCTTCTGTATATAATATATGCATCTCTGTCTATATGAATGACACACTCACGTGTGTGTGTGTGGCACTCCAGAGAAGAGGCCAAGGTGTGCACCGCCTGTCATCCTTCTCACACCCCAGCAAAGCGAGGCGCCCGGAGAACACAAGGGGCTGTTTTCCCCCTGTCAAGGTGGATGTATTTATTTTAGTTTGAGGTTCTTGGCGGGCAGAGATGGAAGTCCTCAAGAGAATCTGTTAACTCTCCTTTCCCGTAGATCAAGTGCCGTCTAAAAACGTGTCGCCTCAGAGTTTGGGACTCGTCTTAGAAAGTCACCCCCCGCCCCGTCTAATATTCCCCCCACCATTTGTCGTATATTCTCTCTCTCTCTCTCCAGTTCTTACAGATGAATCAGGGAAATGGAGTAGAGCCTTCTTCTTTTTTAAGCACGTAGGGTTGGAAAATCACAGGGGAGTCTAAAAATCAAGCTTTGTGTGTATTGAGGGGCAGTGGCGGGGGGACAACTCCCTAAGGGCTGGAAGCGAATCTCTCTACCTCTCTCTCTCTCTCTTTCTGTCTCTCCCTCTCTCCTTTAAAAGTGGGAAGAGTGTTGATTCCCTGAAAGGCATCAGGCATGTTTGGCCTCCACAGCATCTGGGCAATCTGCATTATCCGCCGTTTGCTTTTAAGGTGCATTTTCTCCTCTCTGAAAGGGACGCCTTTGTCCTCTCCTGCCCACCCCCCCTAGCCGCAGAACCCCCCACCCCACCCCCGAGCCGGTTGGGCTTCCCAAGGTAGACCCTATTTTGTGCCTGTCACGCAGCGGAGGGAGTTTGCAGGTTCGCAAGTTGCCCACAGACAATTGATTGTCTGCCCTAATGTGTTTCATTTACATGTTTATAACGTCAATAGTGCTGGGGTGTCCACCGTACCATTCATCCAGGCATTCTCACAAGGGTACAATTGTCTGAATGGCGAAGTCAGACACCTTTTTGATTGCTCTTTAGTTGTCTTTTTTAGACAACTAGAGCGGGGGGGGGGAGGTCTCTGAGGCAGAAACACTAGTTGAAAACGTGCAGCATTAAATGTTACCAAGAAACAGATGGGGAGGGGAGGGGGAGGGAACCCCCTCCGATATCTAAACGAAACCAACAATTCTAAAGGGGAAAAGGAAGGGGATAAAACCATGACACCCCCCAAAAAAAGTCTCATTAACTATTTTTGTGCGCGCGTCCGCGCCTGTAGTTTCCCTTACCGTTTTAATTATTATTATTTTTAATCAATGGATGTTGACACCCGCCCTCCCCGTTCTTAAAAGCTTAAGGACTATCCTGGGGAAGGAAGCATCCCTGAACTCCGAAAGGTTTGCTTCAGTGTAAGGATTTGGCTGCTCCGCAAGCCACCCCCCCGCCCCAAATCAATGCACGTGTGTGTGGACTGTGGATACATATTTAGCGATAGCAGCGCTGCTGCGCGCTGGGCCGGATGAGGAGGCAGCTTCTGTCTATTTAAGCAGCAGAAACTTTGCGAAGCTAAGTTCCCAGTGGTTCCTCGTGGAAAAGCCTAGGAAGAGCCTAGGCTTTCTATTTGGATTTATCGTTGCAGAACGTAAATTAAGCGAAGTTGGGGTTGGGTCTGAGGCGTTGCAATGGCAATGCAAACCATTATTATTATTATTATTATTATTATTATTATTATTCTCAGGTGTGTTGGATCATTTCATCTTCCCTTTCTCCACCCCACCCCCGCCAAATGCCACGCTGTCTGTTCTCTCCTGAGGTCGCTTCTGATGGAGGCGAGACTGGATTAGCCTCCTTTGCCTCCACCACTCAGCGGCCCTATCTTCTTCATTCATATCAATTAGATGTCTAATGTAGCCCTATAGAGCCCATATGGAGGCACCAAGGAAAGGCAGGTTTCACATTACACTCCGAAGAGAGGAAGGAGGCGGAGGGGTTGGGTGGGTGGGCGCCATTCCCTTCCACCTCTAAAATTAAGACAAAACCAGAATTATCCACCAGCTGAGAAACAAGGTGGCTTATTTCCTCTCTCTTCAAGTTTGGAATTTTATTTTATTTTTTTCAAGTCAAGAAATCTCAAACTTTGCAAGAAAATAAATAAATATTTGAGCTGTAAAAACAAAACACCATGCCTGTTTTGTGGACGGCTTTTTTATTTTTATTTTCTCGTATGCCTACCAGGGAAGACACACACACACACACACACACCGAGGCACACACACAGAGCGAGTAGCTGCACCGTTAGCTGAACCCCTGACACGGCGGTCTTTTGAATGCCTTAGGTATGATTTCACTTTCGCTCACATCAATGCTGACCTGAATGCCTTTCATATCTGATCCGCTGTGTCTCTCCCAGTAAACATCCCCTGAGGGGAGAACAAAGAAAGGGTCTCTTCTTCTTCTTAATCACAATTCAGTCCATTCACCCGCCGGCAGGCTAGATTTGCATTCTGCAACAGAAAGCCAAGATGAAAAGAGAGAAAAGAGAGGAGAAAGAGAGAGGGAGAGAGGAAAGGGGGGAGGAGGAGGAGGAGGAGGAGGTGAAGAAGAAGAAAAAGGAGGAGAGGAAGAAGGAGAAGAAGAGAGGGGGCAAGAGCAGAAGGGTGGAGGCTGAGTCAAATAGCTGAGGTGTTTTGTAGCTGTTTGTTGGGCTTCCCCTAGTTACAAGCCTTATATAGCTGCCCGGCCTTCGCTCTTCTGACAGGCAGATAGTGTTACAAGATGGCATGCGGGTACTATTCATGGCCACTCGCCGCGAACACTTGAGGTAGAAAGTGTCAGGGAGGGGATCAAATGCCTCTCTCACCCTCCATGGACAAGGCTGCCGGCAGTCTGGGGCTGCAGGGCAGGTGGGCGCAGGTCGCCACACGTTTGGCCCTGAGGGCTCTCCGAGCCTTTGGCTGCCTGGCTTGGTTTTCCCTTTTCCGAGTTGGACTCAAACCTGGGCGCACGTTTCCACTCATTCCCATCTTAGTTTCACCTGGTCGGGAGCTTCTAAGGCTGGAACCCGAAGCAGTTGACACCTAGACCTACCATCCTCTGCATGTTCAGTCCTCTCCCCGCCCATCTTCGCGGTCCCTGGGACTTACTCCCCACGGAAGCGTGCGCTTTAGCATCGCAGACTTGGAGGAGAAAGTTCTGCGCGCGCGCAAAATAACTCGGTTGCTTTCGGAACATCAGGGTGCTGCTACCTGCAAGTGAGGACTGCGTTGTGTGCAGGATCCGTGGCTCCCACCCCGAAGTCATTACCTCGGAATAGCAGCCACAACGCAACCTGATATTAATAAACGGGTTGAGGATAGGAATGTGGTCGCATAACTTCCTCGGAAGAAATGCCCGTCGTGTTCCTCGTGGCATTGCTTGCAAGCAAACGCGGATGCATTTTCACGCCGATGTCAGAGGTGTGAACGATCCTGTTCACTCTACACGGGATTAGGCAGGAAATCTGAATAATTAAGGACTTGCTTAAATCAGTCTAAGGGAGCCACGATTGGGCCCTAGCCTGCTTACTGGGAAGTCTATCCCCCTGGGATTTATCCGGACCTAATCGGCGAGGCTTTGCATCCAAAGTTTGCGGCCTAATTCCACTTCTAAGTAAGTTTCATTGAAAGGAATTGCACCCCCATTTAAGTGTTCAGGATGGGCTGTTAAACTTTCTAAAAGTATATTTAAGATTGGTTAAACATTCACCTGTAGATCAGTGAGATTTGTCCATATAATGTGGGGGTGCCAGCCCGACTATTACACACACACACACACCCCAATTTCTATTTACAAAAATTAAACTTGCTTTAAGCAAATCCATTGACCTGTTATTCCCCTAAACACACATTCTGAGAAGCTGGCTCTGCTGAATTGAGTGAGACTTGCTCCTATGCAATGTCCTTTTGGTTTGCAAAACTAGTTTGAATCATCAATTAAATGCGTTAGTACTGTTCGGTACTGAAATTCTACTTTCCCCAAACCGATTAATTAACCCAGTTGCTGTTGTTTTTTAACCTACAATAATAATCCGTGACTCTCCACTGAATCGATTAATCTCTTTTATTAATAGATGGATAGAGCACAGCTAGCTCTTACTGTTCCTTCTCCATGAACTAGGCGAGATGGGTTAGGGAGAGAGATGTCTGGTCCATAAGAGGGGAAGAGGAGCATAACTTGCTCCTACTTTCAAGCCACAGATAGTGAACGGAATCGAGGTGCTGGTCAATAGACACAATCATAGTATTAATGAAGGGGGCTTTAGCTTGGCCTGTTGTTGGTACATAATCTCAAATTTGCAGCTGGAAAGCACACGGACAGGTATCCTAACTTTCTCATAACTTATTGTGACCAGGTGCTACACTCTAGCCCAATCCCTACTTTTGTTAATTTTCGAAAAATATATTTATCTTTTAAAATCGATTTCTATAACAACAACAACATTTTGAATGTTCCCAAGTTATCGTTAGGTTCTAGTCACACACACACACACACACACACACACACACACACACACACAGTTCTTTACTAAGAGAGAGATTATTTATAACTCGAACCTGCTTACTGAGAAGTATTTAAGCCCTTTCAGGGAGAGCTGTCAAATTTTGCCTGTGTTCTTCGCCTCCATTTGCAGCAAGTTTTAAAAAAAGATGGAGAGAGGAGAGGGGGGGAGGATATGCAACTGCTAGGCTTGAAATAACTGGGCTAGAAGAGCAGAAATCTTAAGTGACAACTTTTCAACCACACTATCTCTTGGCTACCAACCTGTCATTTTTCAGGGCCACCCCGCCCCTTTTGGTTGTTTGTTTGTAGCGGTTAAAAAAAGAAAGATAGTAACAGCTTTTCCTCCCTCCACCCCAATATCTCATCGGCAACTAGATTAAACGTGCTAAAGGAAACGAGAGAGAAAGAGAGAATATGTTGGAAGAGTGTGAAAAGATTTCTCCTTTTTCTTCGAGGTGCTGGGGCGGCCTTTCTCTCCCTCTCCCAAAAGGAGCGCACCCCAACTAGGAGATGTTACCGGTGGAAGGAAGGAGGCATGTGACACAGATTCCTGATTTACACCAAAAGATTTGCAGAATTTGAAAAAGAGATTATCTCTGCACCTTCCACCCCAGACTTTCACCCCTCCTCTTTTTTTGTCCACCCCTATGACCCAAGCTGTGGAGGATTTAGGCAGATTTACTTCAGTAAACACCTTGAACACTTGGGGTGAAAGCATGAGCCTGTTTTTTGGGGGGAGGGAGGGAGGCTTTTGTTAAATGAGGTGCTGGGATAATGCTTTGCCAAGCAGCTGTGATATTAACTTACCCAGAAGCGAGGTTTTCTCTCTTTTTTGGGGGGGGGGGAGCTGTTTAACTCCTCGCGTGCCGTTCACTTGCACTCATCAGATATGACGGCATGTTCTCGGGACTTTTATCTTCGAGCTATGACTGTTCATAAATGACAGACAGAGGGAAAAGCTTGGCATATTCCCATGCACTCTTAAACCAAGAGCACTGCACACTTACAACACAGTAGGTGCAGCAGCAATCCTCGCTACACGCTCAGCTGGGAGCAAGTTGCGTTGGATTCAGTGGGACTGACTCCTAAAGGACTCATCCCCTAGGATCGCGCTGATCCACGTGGTGTTGGTGTGGATCTGAAGTTCCAGTTAAATCTGGGATCACTAAAGCTTCCCGCAACCCAGCAAGGGAATCTGTGGCAAGCAACTCCAGCCTTGCCCTATCGCCAACTTCCCAAAGGCAGGAAGGTGCTTGTCTTGCATCTTTAACCTGTTTCCATGAAATTTTTTTTCTTAAAGTTCCATTAATTTCAGGGGAGCTTCTCAGCTTGCTGAGGTGCCTCAGCCTTGGGAGCAGAACAGAACCTTGACTTCTTCTCCTTCTCAGCCCCTCAGAATCTTCACTCTGGTCCCAGAGAACGAGCGGATTTGGGTTCAGGCGTCTTGGCCCCGGAGAGACACGTGGGAATGTCACTCCTTTCGAATTCAGAGTTGCTCTCGACTATCAGGATGCGTAGATTTTGTTATAGTTTCTACAGGTTATTTTATTTCCTTCTTCCTTTCTAAAAAAAAATTATCACCAGGTTTCTTTCTCTCCACCCTCCCTCTTCTACATTTTTTTGGGGGAGGGGGGCATAAAAAACCCCTGTAGGTGTCAACGTTAGAACAGCCACAAAACGTGTGAGAAAGTAAAGGGTATGAGACATGACAGAATTAAAGGTGTTTGCTATGTTGTTACCCGTGTGTCAAGTTGGCAAACCTCCCTTTTGTCACAGCCTCCTGGTGCTTTCTGATAGCGTGCCGATCATTTTCTTGCTTTTCTTTCTAGGTTGATGCAGCAGTTTTGAACCGGGATGCGAGTGGGATTGTGCGGGCGGGGGCCTAGAGAGAGAGAAGGGGAATGCAAAATATGGTGCACGCGTTACTATTCCTGCAAGCCTGGCTCCTCCATGTCGAGTCTCTCTCTCTCAATCTCTCTCTCCCCCCGCCCCAATCCCTGACTCCAGCTTCTCTCTCAAGGAAGCCTCCTTCCTTGCCTGCTTTTGCCTCTCAACCCCAGAGCAGCAGCAGGCGCGTTTCTAGGATCTGGCAATGGAGCGCAGCTTGGCAGGAATGCCAACTGCCAAATCATCCCATAATTATGCTTTATGTCGTTTTAGATGAATGACCGAGCATGCAGTATTCCTTTGGAAAGGGGTGGGGTAGGGGCAGAAATATCTGGAAAAGCAAGAGCTGTTTAAAACAAGACCTTACCTCAAATCTATCTATCTATCTATCTATCTATCTATCTATCTATCTATCTACTAGACTTTCAAAAACCTGGTCAGGGTCACCGTTGGAGAGCTGAATTAAAGTGATCCCATTTGTGATCTAATTGAGGTTGGCACCGTCCGTTGCGGTAGCAATAAGCGCAAGGCAGCAACGCGTCCGAATCCCAGAACCGCAGCAATTGCGATCTGGCGCTGGAAACCTGAGCTGCAAGGGGGGCGGGGGCTGCTGATGGTGATGGTGGTAGACTACTGAGATGTGAAACGCAGCTTCGATCCTTCACCGTCCCCTGCGCACCCCAGAACCACAAGGCCCCTCTGCCCAGCTCTTTTAACTCCGCGCGTCGCGGTTTGAAAGCGGGAAAGTGGAACGCGCCAGGACAGGCGCGCAGGCAGGGGCGGTTGGCCGAGCAATTTGCGCACCGCTTCTCCTGCCCTTAGCAAAGAGTCCAGCCAGGCGCTGGTCCCTGTCTAGACTGCAAAAGTATACCTTCCCTCCCCTGAGCCCCCGATTGAATCAAGAGAAGCGGCTGCAGAGCCGCGTTAGAACAGCTCTGCCTAAACAGGAGCAAGCCTTCCCTCTCTCCAAAAAAAATAATTACCCCCTATCCTATATTTTAATCTATTCCGCGCGGGGTCCAGGAATGCATATTATGGGGGGGGCGGGATCGAGGAGCGTTTACATACGGGAGGATAGTGGGACGGGTGTGCGTGTGTTGTTGTTGGGACTCTCTTGGCAGCGTGGAAAAGTTGCATCTCGAAAGAGAGACGAGAATGTTGCCACCTGCCTCGGCGTGGGGGAATCCGTTGTGACTCCGTATTCCGATCCGAATTTAAAAGCGTATTTGTGGGTAGGGGAAAAAAGAACTTATACAAATACTGTGCTGTTTGCAGCGAAGGGTGACAAGTGTTGGATGTGTGTGAAAGGAGTTCAGCGTGTAGCGTCCTGGAATTGGGACTGATTTTGAAGAAGCCTGTTTATACGGACGCCTTTGAAACAGGAGCACATTCGGCGCGCTGGAGTTTTCCAAGCGTATTGCTACCTTTAGTCTTCTTAGATATCCAGTGATTATGTGGAGAGTGTTGTGCTATGTGCGCTGGTCTCTCTCCCCCCTCCCCTTTTAACCCACCAACGCACACTTAACATTCTTATTCAGTGGGTGTTAGGCTAGTTCGACTCTTTCCACTTTCCAGCTTCACTAACGAACCAGAGTTGATAGGGTGTGTATGGTTGCGAGCAAGCAATTAATTAAAACAGAATTGGAAGTTCTTTTACTCTTTGTTATTGGGGCACTGGAGGAAAGGGCGGCTGGGGGTGGGGGCGCGGAGAGACGGGAGAAATAAACTGGAATAGATTATCACCACATCAGGCAAGAGACCAAAGTGAGCTCGGCAGAGAGCGCTTTTTTCTGGGACAGTCCGGCAAGAGCCTTTCCTTTCTGCCACCGCGGGAGCTGGGCAAGGGGTGCATCGCTGTGATACTTGGAAACGTGGCAGTGCGTAGTTGTTCCGCGGTCTATACTTGTGCCTCTTCACATTTTCTCTCCCGCTTCCTCCAGTCGCACACGCCATGGGTTTGATTTTGGGTGGGAATGAACCCCAGGCAAGGTGCGAGGCAAGAGAAAGAATCAGTACCAGGACGAGGAGATGTAGATGCTGTATTGCAGAGCCTCTGACCTGGATGGTTCCGTCTAACAAGTGAGTGGATTTCAGCCACGTCAAATGCTTCAGCAAAAGACTCGGCTGGCTTCAGGTGGCTCCACCCAAGAGCCATTAGTTCATGGGATCCAGAGCAGGGTCTCTAGCTCTTCCTCCGGGCTTGGCTTGACACATGGTGATGCTGGCCGGCACTTCCTTGGCAATTGCAACAACAGGCCAGGCCAGGCAGAATTTGTCCCGCTGGATCCTTATTCTGGAAGGCAGTCCCACAGGTGTTGATGACAACCCAAGCAAGATTTCTTTGATTTCTGCCTTATTGGCCAGTCATATGACAGCCGAATTATTCAGGCTCCCATTAATTTCCCCTTCCTCTTTGGGGATTAAATGTAGTGATACTTCTTCTCCTTAACCTCCCTGTGCTTCAAAAAGGCATAAATGCCAGCCCTGTTATTCGCTGTGGGTTAAACCACAGAGCCTAGGGCTTGCTGATCAGAAGGTTGGCAGTTCGATTGCCCGCAAGTGGGTGAGCTCCCGTTGCTCAGTCCCTGCTCCTGCCAACTTAGCAGTTTGAAAGGACACAGTGCAAGTAGATAAATAGGTACCGCTCTGGCGGGAAGGTAAACAGCGTTTCCGTGCGCTGCTCCGGTTTGCCAGAAGCGGCTTAGTCATGCTGGCCAGAAGCTGTCTGAGAACAAATGCCAGCTCCCTTGGCCAGTAAAGTGAGATGAGCGCCGCAACCCCAGAGTCATCAGTGACTGGACCTAACGGTCAGGGGTCCCTTTACCTTTACTGGCCTCTTAGGCTGCAACTATGTACACTTGGTGTGAGGAACCTCCTGATGTGGTTGGACTTCATTTCCCATCAGCCGCAGCCAATGCCTAGGGATGATGGGAATTCCAGTCCAGCAACATCAGCAGGGCCACAGGTTTCCCCATCTCTGCTTTGTACGTTTCCCTGAGAGTAAGTCCCACTGAAATCACTGAGGCTTACTTCTAAGTTAACATGTTAGGGGTGTGCAGGGATGTGCAGTTAACCTGATTTTCCATTTAGCTCACAAAACAAGCAAACAAAAACATGAATTGAAATGGAGTGGAAGGCTGTAGATTGCATGAGGACTGGCAACCCAGTTTTGAGCTGTGTTTGGTTGCAAGGGAAATCTGTTGATGCCCATTAAATTCACTTTCAAGGAGGTGTGCTTGCATCCGAATCCCGTTTAAATCTGTGCAACTGCATGGGTTTAAGCAGGCTGAATTTGCAGTAGGTTTCATGTATGGGCAACCAGGGTAATTAAAAAGTAGCAGAAAGGGTGAATCCTGACAGCCACACTGCCAGGCATGGTTACAGTCTGCGTGATCCATCTAATCTGCATTCTTAACTGGGAGCACCTGGAAAATTTAGCAACCTGTATTATTTGATTGGGGTGGAGAAGAGCATGCGTAGATGCCTTCTCTGCTGTAATATATAGATGTGGCATCTGCTGTGGGATATACCTGTACTGTATCTCTAACATCAAGTAATATTTGTAATCTTGCATTCAATCATATATACATAACAAGTGGTTTGGTAGGAACTATAATTATGAAGACTACCTATGCTTTAGGGACAGGGAAACTGAGGCACAGAGGCCTGGTTTAAGAATACTGTACGTTTAAAAGAAGTTCTAGTTCAGGCTATTGGAGTAGAGGCAGGTAAGAAAGGATGAATGGGGAGTTGGAGGTTCAGGACTAGAGTCAAGTAATAGAATTGTAGAGTTGGAAGGGACCCCGAGGGTCATCTAGTCCAACCCCCTGCAATGCTGGAAACTTTTGCCCAACGTGAGGCTCGAATCCCTGAGATCACGCTCCACTGACAGGCACGGTCACAACATGCAGAAGTATAATAATAATAATAATAATAATTTATTATTTATAGTCCGCCACTCTGGGCGGCTTCCAACAAAACACTTAAATACAATAACCTATTAAACATTAAAAGCTTCCCTAAACAGGGTTGCCTTTAGATGTCTTCTAAAAGTTTGGTAGTTATTTTTCTCTTTGACATCTGGTGGGAGGGTGTTCCACAGGACGGGTGCCATTACCGAGAAGGCCCTCTGCCTGGTTCCCTGTAACTTGGCTTCTCGCAGTGAGGGAACCGCCAGTATGTGGTGGTGGAGAACCTGTGGTTACTCAGTGGAGAGGGAAGGTATTCTGTGTGCGCACTAGGGCACATTGCAAGACCAAGGCCTGAAAACTTGCCATGGGGTGCAACTCGGGCTCCAATTCAGTCCCAGAGAGGAGTCTCGGTTCTCTTACTCATCTGGACAACAAACAAGCGCCTTCGAGTTGCTGTTCCAAAAGGGAAGTGATTCTCTTTGCCCCCAATTTGCAGGAAAGTTGGGGACCATAGCACTCAAACTACGCAGGCGCAGAGAAAGAAGCCCAGCCCAGGTATCTAGAATGAGGGGCGGGGATCGCCTGGCAACAGCTTCTCTGATTGGCCAGGGCGCTTCTCAAACCCTAACCCTACACCGCGCCCCGCCCCTCTTCCCACGCCCTTCCTGCTGCAGATCGGAGGCAGATCGTCAATCCATCCATCTATCCCTTCCCTCCTCTTTTCCCACGCGGATCGGATAAGGCTGGTTCAGCTCTTTTAATTCTTTGTCTCTCCGGCCAAGACAAATAAACCCAGGCGAGTTTTCGAAGTTTTTTAGCGTGGCAAAAGTACGTCGTCCTGGACGGAGGTGATCTGGTCTTTTTCAAAAAGGGAGCAGCTCCCCCACTTTTGTGTGTGTGTGTGTGTGTGCGCGCGCTCGCAGACAAGGAGAGAAGGAGGCCAAAGCGGCTAATCTGAAGGTCCGACATGACCCCGGACACTTCGGGAAACGTGCGGAGTTTTACACTTGCGCGCAGATAAAAGTGCGAGGTGGTTGGAGCGCCCCCCCCCCCCCGCTTTGTGAAACCCGGGCTCACGAATGATACGTGTCAGTAGGTTCTTTGATAGGGCTGCTGGCCAGAGTGTTTTTGTGCTGTCAAGCTGCGATGTCGAACAAACACCTCCTCTGGGACAGAGTGATAAATGCAGAGACAGGCTGGCTTCAGCCAGTCTCTGCAATCTCTCCATCCCCGCAAACTCGGCCCCCTCCTCCTATTCAACACCCTCTCCTCCTCCCCTCTCCCTAGGAGCCAACACACACACACCACACACACACACACCACACACACACACACTCCCTTCTCTCTACCTGAGATTGACGTTTGCAGCCGAGGCACCTGGGGATTTCTGGCGTGGCAAGCCTGAGTAATTATTGCTACTCACGCCCCCCCCCCGACCCCCAACAAGTCTTGATAGGAAACTAGCAGCTTGCTTCTTGCCTACCTTGAAGCCTCTAGGACTCTTCCTGAGTTTGCAACCCAAAGAACTTTTTGTCTGCTTTGGAGGTCTACTTTTGGAATTCTCTCCCCCGCCTTTTTTTTGGCCTTGCTCTAATAATTTCAGACCTAACAACTCTCATCCCCCTCTCCCTTCCCATCTCCAGCCGCCCAAACAAACTCTTGCGCTGGGGTTGTGTTGCGACACAACACTCGACTTTGTTGCTTTTGGCGTGCGTTTGTGGTGGCTGCCGGGGTTGCTGTTGCTGTTTAGGTTCCCAGTTGCTTTCTACTTTTCACTTCCAAGTCTTCTTTTAAGGGCTGGGGTTTCAAATGTGTCCTCATCTTAACTATCCTCTCTCTTTCTCCCTCTTATTCCTCCAGCCCATTATTTTCTTTGACTAAAACCTATTTACTCGCCTCTTTGTGTGCGTGCGTTTTTGACATTAAACGAATTTCCATCTCCAGCTCCTGCAAATCTCGAAAAAACAGATAAACCATTATATTCTTCCCCCCCTCCCCTCTCCTTACAACCTCCTCCCCCCCCCTTCCTTGCTAGTATTTTAAAGCAGGGGATCCTGACAAGCTGTACTATTATTGCACTTTATGTTTTAGTAGATGTTTGCTGTTGCTAGTTACAGCAACACTTATCATAAGACAGCAAGAAAAGAGTAGTCCCTGGTAATTAAAGTAATGAAATATTCATTTACTCTACCTTTTCAGTAGTCTCACAAATTAGGCTGCTGCATTTAATGCCTGCACTGCCTCTGTTTTTATTATAATGGCAGCTTTCGCATCTGCAATTAGGACTAATTCTGACAGTTACAATTTCTGAGGGATGGTAAACAGCGAACGAGATGTGCAGCAGTGGTATTACACGTGAAAAAGCCCTTGTCTCTTTAACCTTGTTGTTTTTTTTCTCTCGCAGAGGTTACCTTTTCCCGATGGTGCAAAATCGACTTGACATAACTGTTCATCAGTTTCAGGGTTTTCCCTGGAGGTATTTGCATCAAATCAACCCAGTCAAGCTTCAAGTTGAAATTGGCAGGCCAGAAACTGACAGGGTAGCGACTGGGAAAGAGACAGCTAAAGTGCAGGCAGTAAACTGACAGCAGCAGAGTGAAAGACACACACAGAGAGAAGCTTTTCAACTTTAGTGGGAAGGGGTGGCGGCGGCTGGGGGGGGGGGCTGCAGAGAGAGAAACATCAACTCTAAACCTTTTTAGGTCTTAATAGTACTGAATGCAGGCAGCAGCTCCTGAATTGTGTTGGGAGACCCAAAGGTGTCTCCGCTCAAGTTCTTCGGACCAGGCAGCAGTACTAAGATCTGGTTCACTGGTGTATAAACTCTTCTTGCTTAATGTGATAGGATGCCTAAAGAGGAGTGGTCAGCCTTAATTAGATCACAGTGAAAGTTCCTGTGGTACCTCCTATGAACTTTCCAGAGAGATGGGGAAGGGTGCAGTGAAATAGAAAAGGAAGATCCCTACCGTAGGCATCCAAGGAATAAATGAGAACCAAAGGTTGGGTTGCTGTGCAAGACTGTAGCTGAAATCCTACACAGGGGCAGGTTCTTTTCAGTGCCATCTAACTGTTATAGGAACAGTCCCGTCTATATTCAGGGTTGCTGCATATGTGCATCTATCTATCTATTCATATGGATGAATATGAGTACCAAATTCTAGTCCTACCTTCATTCTGCACCACAGGTAAACTGTTGAGAGACTAGACACATTTTTATGGGATACAAGGGAAGACATATATTGACTTGCTGAGTGCAATCCTATGCATGTTTACTCAGAAATAAGACTGATGGTGTTCAGATGAGGCTTGTACTCAAAGAGTACGCAGGACAGCAGCCTAAAATACAGCCCCACAGAAGTTTCCCTTTCAGCAGAACTAAAGCAAATTCTTAATTTCACGGAACCCCTTTCAACGAAATAGACTCCCTCCCCCCAGATCACTCAATAGCGGTGTGCTTTTATATTCCTGTTTTAAAACATCATTGCCTGGAATAGATTTTCTTAAAACAGTAGGCTGTGAGAGAAGATGAAACCTTGACAAAAATCTGACATCCATCTATTATCCTGGATTAGAAAGTTCAGTTAATTCAGGGAGATCTATTTCCAAGCAAATATGTATGTAGGAAGCAGAGGTGCTCGTGAAAACCTCATCCTCCTTATATTTACTTAGTGGCAAACCCACAGATTTCAAAGAAACTGGCCTCCCAATGAAGTCTGGGAGCAATGCAATCCTAGCTGCGTTTCGTAAGAAGCGTCTCACTGATTTCAAGTGAGACTTAATTCTAAGCACTGCAGCCTATTTTAAGATCCCTTCTGATTCTGATTTAAAGAACTGAAAATAATATGCAAGAATATGAGAGTCACATTCATGATGATTTCTGCCACCCGCCCCCCCCAAAGGGGGAGAAGTAGCAAAAAGAAAACCCTTCCTCATATATGAGGTATAGGTGTATATATTATGCATCTGTTATGAATGCAAGTATGCACAGTTTATAAGTTCCACATTTTTGTTGTTGTTTTTCCCCTTTTCGGCATTCGCTCGCTGATTTATTTCTTTTTTTGAAAAAATCCTCCTCCTCACTTTCCCTAACCAGACTTCTGCTACAGTAAAGCCTTGCTTTCAAACAGTTTTTCAGCCCTACATGTGACAGGCATTGGCTGATCTGCTGATGCCCATTCGACAGGCACTGTTGAGCTAAAGTAGTGTGACGGCACAGTTTTGTTAAGCTGTGAACAAAGGACTGGAGATGCCTCAGTAGCATCATCCATGTGCATATTGGCCTTGTCACAGTTTTGCTTGATTTAATGCTCTGTTTATTCCTAGATATTAGAAGTTAAATTCCAAACAATATGTTTTCCCATATAGAACAAACTTTAGTTTGAAGGCTTCCGCTCCTGAGGATGGCAGATCCATTTTGGTCTGACCAATTGCCATACAGCCAGCCTTGAAAACTCAGTATCTTGGATAAGAAGGGCTGCCAGCCTTTCCTTTGCTGTTTGTTATCCATTAAAAAAAAGGAGGAGGAGGGACAGGGCAGGTGGGGGTGGGGGGGAAGACAGAGGAGAGAGATGAGATTTCCTTAATTTTGAAAAAAAAAGCTTATTTTTTTTTTCCTTTGATCATTCATTGAGAGTTGCTATTTATTGCAACAGTGGATTTTCTTATAAGCTCCTAAGGAACGGGTTACCCTCGGCGCAGAAGAGGGGCAGGCTGGCTGGCTGGACTTTTTCAAATGACATATCACCCCCATGGTACTGCTGTGATAAAAGGAATCTTTTTGCAAATACCTGTAAGCACTGTCAGGAGGCTCAGCAGCCAGAAATAAAGATGCCAGATGATGGAAGGTGAACAGGAATGAAGACGAAACAGGATTTAAGATAGTTTGGAGGGAAATGCTCATTAGGAAAACAGAACTTTATAGAGAGGGAGCTCTGACAACAGAGGAACTGAATGTAGGGGGTGAAATCCAGGGCGCAATTCTGTTGCACTGAAGAGAGGTGGTTGCTTTTTTTGAAATGTATTTTTAAGGTCTGCTTCCCCCTCCCCACCCAGCCACCTTCAGGTTTGTGCAAGTGTTTGTTAGGAGATTAGCAAGCAGACTTATGCAGAGGATGTAGCCATGGCAAGCTGATTTTTGCTGGAAGGAATGCTCCTTAGGTCAGGGTGTGAAGACATAAGGAGCAGCAACGAACTGGGGTCGGAGAGCAGGTATTTCCCTCTTTCTGTCTCATGCCAAAGACAAATGTTGCTGGTGGAAAGATTGGTGGCAAGGCATCAAATCCCAGCAGGAGCACAGATGTTCCCCCTTTTTATAGGTTTCCCAAGGAACACTTTGGCTCTGAGCAGTTTATCCCAGTCTGGGTCTGCATGTGCATGGACAGGCAGCCTGGTTTGTGTGTTTCCCCCCTCCCGGCAGGGTCAAGCATAGGGTGGCGGGGCAAGTGCGGGTAAAGCCAACTGTTATCTGCAGCAAACCACCCAGGTGACCGTTTTTGCATCCTGCAGTATCTGCCTGGGAAGTACTGCTCCAAGCTGAGGACTCCCCTCAGAGCTGTGCCTGAAGACAGAGTGCTGTGGGGATGCTCTGCGAATTAGCTTTGGCCATATTTTGGCTGTGCAAACCATGTTGGCTAGGAAGGACAAGCTCAAGGCATTAGGTTTCTCCACCAAAAATGTAACATCTGCTCAGTGCCAGAAGGGGGAAGGAAACTACGGGGAGATATCCCATGCGATAAAGATTTCCTGGAGTGGAACCATAATGTGTAAATAAGATCAGTGTGTCTGAGTTTGATGTTGTAAAAGATTCTACCAATCTCTTGCAATCCTGGGCAATTTTGCCTCATTTCTCCTTCCGTAAAAGAGAGCTGTTCTTTGAGGGCTGCGAGTAGGTGGAGTGATGGGGGGGGGGGGGAGAACACTCAACAATATGGAAGAATCCCTTCTCCTCACAGTTCATTCGAGAGCCTGCATCTGAAATTGAATCTGCCGGACAAAAACCTGTCCCATTTTTTTTCCTACCTGCCCTTAGCCTGCCTCCTTTCAACTATGACAGTTTTACTAACTGAAATGAATGGCTTTGCCTTCCGTGGTACTTTTCTTAGTACACATTTACATCAAGGGCTGCAAACAGAGAGCTGGGTGATAAATGTAAGGGAGAATTTGCAGAGAATAAGCTTTAGTGCAATGTATATTTATAGAGAGAGCAGTTTTTTCAAATGCCAGTCCTTAAAAAGCTACTCACTGTAGTCGGATCACAAGATGTGACATAGTCTGTGCTGCTCTTGAAGCACAAGAGGTTTATGTGTCTAGGTCCCATAAGAGTTAATGGAGGATGTGCATGTTAATCTCCACAACTGTGAGATAATAGGGGCCTTTTTATGTAGGGATGAGATGGGAAGCTTATGAAATTTCAAAAGGAACCCAGCGTTAGATTTAATGTATCCTATTAATACTTTATTTTAAATATTTATAAAACAGACAGGCCAGAAGAAAATAAGATGTAAGACCCTTATTAATAACCCAGCAGCACACCTGGTCCTGCTCTTACTGAGGCTAATGGCAAAGTGACTCTGGCTGCGCACAGCCAATAGCTTCTGGGAGACTCAGACGCAGTTCTGTGGGTATGTCATCGCCTGTAGTACGTAAGTCAATAGTTTGCATTTCACTTTAGTTGCTGGTAGGAATGTTCAGGGTTCCAAATTATACCTTCAGAAAGCCAAAACTAGACCCGGGGTGACAACACCTCCACACCAATTTTGTGTGCACTGTTGTCATAATTGATCCTTGGGGTAAGTGTCCATGGCAAGTTGCATTCTTGCACATCCCCACCCCAGTACCCGATGCACTTTTTGGCACAGTTTTTAAATTCCACCAACTTACACACATGCCCATGCAGTTCCTTCCCCAAACAAAGGCCACATTTCCCCTTAAGGCTGAAACTGACCAAACCCCAAGCTGCTTGGAATCTGGTCCGGCAAATTCAGCGTATTCTCATACTGTGAGACTAGGAGGAAAGACTCCAATTAGGAAAACAGAGGGAACAGGATCCTATTCTGTAAGAGGCACCTTTGCCCCATTATATCTGTATCATTTTCAGGCTGCCAATACTTGAACAGATCCTGACTGTGGTGCAGCAGGGGAGGTTCCTCTCTCTCTTCATACTATGGAAGGCAGGCTAGGAACTGGGCTGCACACAAGTGCCCTGTGGCTGACAGGTCTTGGCCACAGCGAACGAGAAAGCCAGTTACCTCCTGAGGTGGAGAGGATTCCTGTGTAGGAAGCCCTGAGGCTTCTTCCTCCAACCAGCAAATGCTGAGGATTCCTCATACTAAGGGCTGCATAGAGTATTTCAGCCATGTGAGCGCTGTAGGCAAGTACTCATTTTGTAAGGCTAGCATGAAACAGAATTTCCCTCAATGTGCCTACTGCAGGATAGTGGTTTGGTGTTTGGTCCAGTCGCCCAAGTGTTGCCGGAATGGGGCAAGTTCTCAAACGTTTTCTTGCTGAAACAGGAAGGAACGGGCCCTTCCCTCCCACAGATAACACCTTTGAAGTTTTGAAATATAACTTGAAAGGCCCGTATCTGCAATCTGAGCCTCTGAAAAGAGAATTTATCCTTTAGTTCATGTGCAGCAAGAGATAACAAGCCAGGCAGAGCGTGTGTGTGTGTGTGTTTCAGAAAGGGACTTCGAGCTAGTTTCCTGGGTGCCATGCTCTCTGACCTGAATGCCTTTCTGCATGTTGCAAGTTCTGTATGTGGAGGTCACTTGTGGCAACTTAAGGGCGATGCAAAGGCACTCTGCATGTTCTCAAAGGTGTTCTTCTATAGGCCTGAATTCTGGCATTGAAAATAGCATTTCTAGAGAGGCAATAGAGAAGCAGTCTCTCCCCTCTGCTTGTCAGGCTACGTGCAGTATTCCTCGGGGGTATATCTGGGCTCTGGTTATCATGAACTGTACAGAGGTTTTAAAAATACCTGCAACAAACTCTCTTTAAATATGCTGTAGGATTAATATCTACAATATAACCTTTGATATACTGAATAACAGTATATTCCTCTATCTCCACTTGTTGTAGACCTAAGCTTTTGGTCCAAGAGCCACATACCATTGCATCAAAATCTGCAGCAGAGGGTGTCTTCACAGTTGCAGCAAGGTCAGGAAAAAATGTAGCCCTTCCATCTCTTGTTTGTGATATGTCCTGCACATTTTCCTGTGATAGCTGGACGATCTTTTTTAATGCACTAGGCTCTAGCACCCAAGCTCAGCTTTTCAAAAGTCATCAAATGTGGACTATTTGGTGAAATGTGTTGGCGTATCAGAATGGTGGGATGCCTGTTGTCTTTTGATTGTTGTGTCACCATCCCTGAGTGATGGATACCAGTTTGTTCAAAGAAAGCTGACTTCAGTTACACTTGATTTTCTGATTCCAAAAGGGTACTGAAAACTCTATGCCTGTCTAATTATATTTTATGCCAGGCTGTGCAATACAATATACGTGCCACAGCAATCAGCGAGTTAATGGTATCAATCAATTTGTAAACAGATGAAGTCACTCATTCTCAAACTGGTTCCCCCCCCCCCAAACAATTACTAAATTACAATGGTGCGGGGGGGGGGAGAAGAGAAATTGTACAGTTACTGTATTTGTGTGCTGTGTTACAATCAACATACCAGGGAAACAAAACAATTTAATGCAGAAAAATCATCATTCATCTACATTATAATTGCTTCTTTTTCACATCTACAGGGCGGTTAATTAAAATTGTGATTAAATGCGGTCGCGCTGCCTAAGATGTCTTGCCCAAAACAGGTGGTACAGAATTTAAAAGTAAAAAAAATGTAATTAGCATTGGAAATTGAGAAATTGCCTGTAAGAATCAGTGTTAATTTTAGTCAGTGATGAGGTAATTTATAAATGAATGCAGTGGAGGCTGTGCAAAGGCACAATTGCCTTCCTTCCCATTCTTAGCATTCTCAGCATGCAGGTGAAAATGTTTTCAAAATATTGAGGTAATTTGAAAATCAATCCATGCATTCTTCATCTTCTTCCTTTGGTGTAGGAAATGCTGCCATAGATGGCACAATATGTTGGCTTGGCACCTTCTGAAAGCAGCGATGCTGCCACAGCATTGGGTTTGGGGCATCAGATTAGACAATGACAATACAAAATGCCTGGATCCCTTTGCCCAGAGGCCGCAAATATCAGGAAGTGCTCAGTCATCCAAACTGGGGGGGGAAGTTTTCAGATGCTGTATTTGCTTAAATGATCTTGTGTTGACTTGCTGTCTCCTTCCAAATTAAAAAGAAGACACTGTCAGCCAAATCCTGTACACATTACTCCAAGTAAAGGGTATGCATGGGCTTGCAGCCTAAATTGCCTGCACTGAGTTTAAATAATACAATTCAGATACTGAAAACTAAAAGCTATGCTAACGTGCAGTGCAGATCAGTTTGACTTCTTCTTTAACGTCAATGCAATTCACTCTGAAGTCTCAATCAAGCTGATGTTTCCTTTAAAATATTTTCATTTGTTAATATTTAATAGACGACTTGTTAAAGAATCAGCAACCAGGTTGATATCTTTGCTTATGCCAGTATTGTGCATTTGTAAAACTTGTATGTATCCATCTAGCAGCAGCCTGGTTCCTTACTCAACCATTTTAGTTGTCGGAGCCACACGCGTGTCTTCCTTGGCCGTGATCTAAGAAACACCAGGCCTACATAACAAATGACCGAATAAAACTCCCATATGCCTCTTTATGCAATTGGAACCATCACCTCATTTTTGTCAGTCTCTAAAACAAAGCGTTATTTATAGCAATGCATGAATACATTTTAGCACCTGCATTTGTTTGTTTGTTTGTTGGCTATTTGCGACTCAGACAGAATGCGTCTGGATGCTCAGAAAGGGGAATATTGAGGTGATAGCAGGTTCCAAGGCCTCATGCACTTTTAAGGCAAGTCAGACTGCCTACACTTAAAGGGACTTTGAATAACTTGATCACTGCAGATTTTGCTCTGTTTGCTGGACTCTAGTATGGCAGTTAAGTGATGATTGATTTCCCCCTTTCTTATAATCTTCAAGCATCACAACTGCCTGTTTAACCTGCCTGTTTATACAGTGTCTAGTTCACGCTGCATCAGAAAACAGTTTTTTTTTAAAATACTTAGAGGCAAGTAAGTCATTGGGTGAAGATTTGGGTTCTAATTCTGCTGCCTCCTTCTTTTTGAGATAGTCTGAATAAAGCCTAAGCAGGTGAGAAGGCTGTTAGTCGACAGAGAAAACGTAACATGGATAAGAATAATACCGAGTCCCATGGTAACTTCAGAAAGTGCTGACTTCGGTATCTTGGTTTATGAAAAGAAGGACAAAGCGTTATGCTATTCATTTGGCTTTTGTGCATCTCAGTTTTTACAACTTCAGAGGCTGCCAAAGTGTGTGTGGGGGGAGAATGTTGTTCATCACCTAAGCTAAACGATTTATCAATATGATTTATAAAATGACGGTACTAGAATGTTAAAATTTATCAATCAGGAGCATGCAGTACCACCAATAGATTAAAATCTGGCAACATGTGATTAAAACAAAACACATGCACAATAGTTTTCTGCTCTAATTCTGTTTTGTGGTAGCAAAACCAAGTAGTCAAGGCTTGAAAACAAAAGTTTGGGATTTGTGGTGCAGAAATCTGGCTCTCCAATTGTGAGCTCAATTACTAATTTTCTGTGTACTTTTCTAAAATAACAAATCAGATTTGTTTCTGAATCTGCTGATCCCAACATAGTTCAGTTATATCCAATATTCCAAATCTCTGTAGGAATATGTCTTATTATGTACGTATAACACATTTATTTCCCCCCCCTTTCCCCACTGCCCAATGTTACTGAATGAGTGGAACCCATTTCTACTGAAGTAATGGTGCTTTTTTTTATTTATTAAAAAGATCTTCAAGCATGAGCTGTTACAGAGCACTTAAGGCATGAATTGTTATGAGGTGGGCTTTTTTGGCCCACTTTGAGTGCTTTTCTGCATAGGCCCATGTGGGCTACAGACACGTGTTCCTTAGGGGGAAGGGCGCTGGAACAAATACCAGTTACTCCTCAGTACTTTTGGACTCTTTTCCCAGGAAGTTGATGGAGAGAGAAAGGGAGAGGGAGGTAGCGAGAGAGAAATCTATATTCTTAAAAACAAGAAAATATATTTCTTGCAGTTCAATTCTAACAATGCTTCGTTGAAAGAAATTCCTGCTGAGTTCAATGGGAGGTGGGTTTCCCTCAGGTAAATGTACTTAGGATGTAAGCCATGCAGTCCAACTCTATACGTGTTTACTCAAAAGTAAACCCCACTGCGTACAATGGCAATTACTCCCAAGCCAGCATGCATAGGATCAGAGACTTTGGATTCCCTTTGGAGTTATACGGCAATCCGATGCACATTTACTCAGATGTAAGCTCCCATGTGTCCAACAGAATATACTCCCACGTAAGTGTCCATCGGATCGCAATCTTAAAAAGGCATTTCGGGTGCCTCTGTTTTCCTTTCCTTTCTTTTTTCTTTTTGGTGGAACGAGGAACCTCGGCCTGTAAGATCCATGCAAATCTTACAAGCTCCCTCCTGCCCTCAGAGTTCCCTGCAGCCTCATCATTTTGCCCGCTGCGTTATCTTTGCCTTCCTATGGCAAGCCCCAAAGCCTCAAACATTTTGTAACAACTATGTGACAAATTGTGGTGCTTTTATTCATGTCAGACATCTTTGCCAGGATTGCTTGTTGTGTTTTCTCTTTGGCTGTGTCATGGGACCAAAGGTGGCTGCTTTTGTACAGCATGTCAAATCTGGTTAACATGCAGCCATTTATCTTTAAACCCACTTCTGAACAATGGCACTGGTGCGCTAGGGCCACTGGTACACACAGGGCTCTCTGCTTCAAACATCCTTTTCTTTCTCTAGCTGGCTTTCCCACCCACCCTTCTTCTTCTTCTTAGCTCTTTGCTTTTTATTCTTAAAGCACTGTCCTCTCTGTATGTATGTGTGCACCTCAAACTGAAGCAAGCTGTCTCACAGGTCATGCGGCAGTTAAGATGTTTCATAATTTTGGAAACCTTTTAGAGACAAATTGTACGGTGCAAGTGTAGTGTAACTGAACTGCTGGTTGTCCACTGAAGTGGAGCAAATCAGAAGCAGCACGGTATTTTTATTATTATTATTTTGAGGCGGGGAGGAATCCAGCCTCTGTACATACATCAGAATTTATAAGAAACTATAAGGAGGAAGCCACAATCCCATATGGTGATTTTTTAAAAAAGAAATGGGCAGGGTGATTTCTCTGTTTTATGCATGGAGTGAAAACTCTAAATGCTTACTTGCCAACCTAGACAAACATGATAATGCATGCATATCTGTCCAGGATACAACATGTTTCTAGTTCGGATTATTTTTGCATATATGTCAAAGGAAACGTTACATGCTTGCATTTGGCATATACATGGTTCTGTCCGTTTAATGGATTGTAGGGCATTTACTGAAGAGTCAACAAATAGGCCTAGCCATGCTATTTAGAAATGTTTCTCTTTTTCTTTTTTAAAGGCTTTTCCAAATCTAGTCACTTTCCAGCTATTCAGATCATGCAGAAAACTTTATAATGACTTTGACGCACCGGAAGATATGGTGATTATAATCTACCGTTGCTATAGAAATTAAAACATTGCATTCAAAAGTTGAAAATAATAAATCCTCAGACAAATCAAGGTGATGCCTTGCTCCAGTATTTAAAGTCACCAAATGGGTTTGCAATGAATGATTTCTTGCATGGAGCAATTATTATATCATATAGTGCAGTGAGGTTACTTGAAAGCAGGGGGCAGGGAGAGAGAGAAGCTATACACATTGTTTTGTTTTTATTTCTTTTCTCTCTTTTTTTGAGCAAAGGACCCGAGAGATTGCTTTTCACTTTGAAAACAATCCCTAATATCAGGGAAATACTCTGTTTGTTTATGCGTACATAATGCAAGTTTGTCCGCCTGGGAACTGCAGCAAATGGGAGAAGTATGCATGGATTTCACAGGTAACAGGATTACGTGGGCACATAATTGATCCATTTGGAAGGGGGAGAAATGACAGTGCTCTAAAGATGCCTAGGCTTTGGAGATGGAGTTTATGAAACAGGCATTTGTAAATTCAAAGGAATCAATATGTCAATTTTATTACATCTCAGGACCAGCTGGGCATTAAAGGAACAGTGGCCTCCCCGCTCCCCCCCCACCCTCAAAATTGCAGCTGCGTCTTCCTGCATTGTGTACCTCTTTTTAAAAGGCTTAGAATATTTGGAAAATGTACTTTTCTCAGAGATTTTGCACCTATTCAAGGATTGCTTCTGCATTGTCGGGAGAGAAAAGAGGAGAGGAGGGGGAGAGAGAACACAGTAATTTGGTCGTTTTTTCTTTTGGAAACAAAAGATGTGTTTCTGAAGCGGGTGCACATTTACAAAGGAGCCAGGATTGCAACCTTAGGTCTCTTGTAAGATTGGTAAACTTCCTTGATACTGCAATGCTTGCAACTCACCACAAAGGAAGATAAGAACTCTTCCTAGGCCAAATATTGAAAACATTTCAGAAGCTGTGAGAAATCTATACCTGTACTTTAAAAGCCAAGATTTTATCCCTGGCTGTTGGATTCAGTTACACAGCATCAGATACCTGACAGATCACAGATTAGGCATTCTCTGTCAGTACTGGCCGAAGCCAAATCTAAACAATATCTGGTGTTTGCCCTTGTTTTAAAAGGCATGTAGCTGGGCATTCGGAATGATTCAAAGCTCTGTCTCAACTTAAGTGACCTTTGGTTATCTGAAGGTACTGTTTCTTTCTTTGGAAACGAGGCACATTTATATGTCGTGGGGAGTGTTGAGATGTAGACAACTGAGATCTCTTTGAGACAGGCAGCTGCTGCATGGAGAGGAAGGTGAATCTAGGTGTAGTTCCCATCTGGCTGTGGCCTGCTTAGCTTGCTGCGCAACTCCTGTAGAAACCAGCAGCAGCCAAGAGCAATGTTTAATTTGTGCCTGTGCTTACCAGGGCTTTGGCTCAGCCACAGAACCGATGATGTCGTAAGAGCAAAGAATGTGGTGACGATGTACAGGACTATTGAACTAGGGCAAGAGTCACATGTGCTGCTACTGCTGCTGCTCGAATTTGGGCTGTATTGATCGGTCCTCCATTGAACCTACCACTTGCTACTGAGTAGCCATACTCATACGTTCAGTTATAGGGAATAATAGAAGGAATAATAGAGGGGGATAAGGGTACCAGGTCCCTTCTCTCTCTCTCTCCCCCTCTCACACCTAACCCTCCAGTATTCCAAGAACTGAATCCTAGAGAGTCCCCAAGTCTTCCTAGCATGGTAGGAAGGGATAGATACATTCAGATCACAGAGCATGACTTCTAAGTACTCAAGGGTGGATTAAAATGGGTTGGGGTTGAATGTGCTGAGGTTCAGTGTTAGCTCAAGATTTGGGGTATATCTTGACCTCGATGCTCTTGATGCCCAGCTGAGGACCAGGGCACCCCAAAAGTTGAGCTTTTTAAAGCGAAACCTGGAAGTTGTTGAGGGTTGTTTTTTTTACAAAAACATCCAAAAATGTGATTCACTTGTCTAAGATCCAGGACAAAGCGCAGCCTTACGGAAATTTCCTGACATCAATTCCACCTTTGAAATCCCGGTCCTGGCATATACTTTTCAAGAGACACACGCACATGAGTTCCACTTACATCACCCTGAAATTTGATGTTGTAAAGCCACGATGAGTATTTTCATTCCTTTATGTTCCTCTATTTATGAGAATAGGACCATCGGAAGCTGCCTTATAACAAGCTCTTATTTGTCCATCTAGCCAGTATTCTCTGACTGGCAGAGAAGCGTCTCAGTCCCATCATTTCTGCTTGACATTTGTAGGATTTGAAAGCAGATTCACCTCAGATCATTTCACCACATTTCAGTAGGACATGGACACTTGTCGGACTCTGACTCCTATCAGGGTTCTGCTTATAGCATATTTAACATAAATAAGAGTTGCTTTGATGAATCCAAAGATGGAAATAGTCCTGCAACATAACTCTAGCAGCTGTTTCCCAGTTGTCCCTGTGAAGGAGGAGGAGACCAACCTTTATTCTTTGACCCCTCCCCTCCCAACATCTGGTAATTAGAAGTATTAATTACCAGGTATTAGAGGTGCAGCTATTAAGCAAAACAGAAAAAAGCAAATGATAGGCCCATACATCCATTAATTTCTCCACTCCTTTGTGAAGTTGAGTCAAGGAACGTAGGCACATACTGGAACCTGTTGAGCATTGTGCTGTGCTCTGTGTTAAATATACAACCTTCAGGTAGATCATGAAACAACTTAAAAGTGGTGGAAGTGATCACTCCTCTTTGCGTTGGATCATGTTCATTGCACGCGGAAGCTCCATGCTTCAATTATGTGTATATTATTTATTTATTAAATCTATAGACCACCCACTATCCGAGGATCACAGGGCGGTTTACAGTATAAAACCGCAAAAATACACAGCATAATAATGAACAACAATGAAAAAAGTAACACAAGGATCAGGTAGCGTGTGATGTGAAAGACAGAGACCCTGGAGAATTGTTGCAGGTCAAAGTAGACATGAGTGGGCTGGATGGAACTTCTCTGAAGGATTTTTGATCCAGCAGAGGTGTCCAAAGCTGAGAACACCAATGAAGGAAATTTAGGGTGATTCTACTTCCTCTGCAGTTCTCTATCTGTTCCCAAAGGTACCCCAACACTGGGGCAGATTTGGGGTGGTATAGAGGGCTATAGAGAGGATTGGGGAATGGCTTTCTCCCTTCTGCTGATGGAAGCATCTTCCATCACACAGTTGCATACAACCTACTGAATGTTTTACACTGGAAAGAGAAAATGTCATTAGTGCCACTAAAGATTCTTGATTCAAATTACATATTAGTAATTATGGAAAATGTTCTGTGTTTCTGCTCAATTCTGTTTTGTTATTTCTTACCATGTTATTATGGACTATTCCTATAGAGACAAATTAATTTGGCTGCAATCCTACATACTTTGACTTGGGAATAAGGCCTGTTGAACTCAGTAGGACTTATTTCCAAGTATGCATACTCTGTAATTCTTTGGGTTTGCCTAGTACCCATTAATGTTTTATTACCTTTTGCAAATTAGACCCCGCCTCCCTAAGCATCTAAAGGGCAGTGCTGGGGAGGGGGGAGAATCAGCGAAGGTAAATCACAACTAGAGATACTTTCTGGAAGTTCTTATCTCAGGTACTTCTTTACTTCTGCAGTTGCTTCCTTAGAAACAAGTGTGCTACTGCTTTTGGAAACTTCCACCTCAGTAGTTTAATTGGCCTAACCCACGAAAAGATTGGTTTGCAATGCGTAGGATGATGGCAAGCAGACAGTGGATGATAATGACTGCTTTGTTTTTTGCAGAACCCATTTTACCACCACAGCACCACCTCGTTACTGTCTTGTCATGCATTTCCGGAATCCACTTAGTATGAAATGAGTAACACAATGTTAGTTGCTTAGCTGGAAGTTTTTCTCCATATTTCATCCTTTTTTGCCCTTGGGCCCCAGTTATTTGTGTTCAGAATGGTTCCCTTTCCTCTTGGGAAACACAAGAAGTGGCTTTAAACCAAATCAGATTGTTGATGCATTTAGCTCAGTATTGTTGACATTGAGTGGAAGCAGCTCTCCACAGTTTCAGTCAGGAGTCCTTGGTAGGCCTACCTAGAGATGCCACTGATTGAACCTGAATATTTTGCATGTAACACGTGTGCTCTACTACTGACCTATGACCTTTCTCCTACACATCCTATCCAGAATTCCAGTGGCAAATTCCAGCTCACAGTCCCATTCTTGACATCTCAAGACGTTCATGATTCTGCACACAGTTCTTTCAGGTTTCCTTTCCCTCCCTGGCCATATCTTACTGAAGGGTGTTTCACTTTTGATTCTAAATTGGGGAAAGAGCTATTTTGACAGTTGACAGGCTGTGCAATGTCGATAAACAGAGCAAAAGATAATGCATCATAAATAGTATGTAAAATAAAGGTGCCACATAGGACAGCTATGCCACTGCTGAAGAATTAATTAAAAACTATGCCCTCAAATTGTACATAAAGCATCTAAATTTTCTCAGAAGCTAACATCTTGCAGAGTATCTAATTATTCTTTTATAGTCCTAGAGCATGTATAAAGTCCAACTTCATTCTGAGAGCTTTCTTTCCCAAAAGAACATTCCAACCCATTTCCTCTCATCTTCATAAGCCAAAGATGCCACAAAAAGGCGAGACTCATAATGTTTTCATAGGAATCTGTAGCAGCTCAGAAAACAAGGATGACATTTCATCAAACACGAACATTTATATATAATGTGAAACACACAGTGTGTTTGTGTTTGTGTTGGGGTGCGGAATCAAAATAATGCTGCAATTCTGTTACAAACCCATAAAATGCCAAGAAATTCAGAGGAAAGGCCTCTAAAGTTCATCTTGATCTTGTGCATATATCTTGTATATTGTCCCATACAACAATATAATTGCAATATTTGCAAGGTTTACATTGTCATTTTATAGTCAGGCATGAAGGAGGGAAAGCAATACACTTTCTCATAGGAGGCAAACCTTTCAATAGCAATTTCCCCCCCTTCAATTTCATAGATATTTTGTTTAATAAAACCTTTACAATATTCTGCATAAGTAGGTTGAGAAATAAGAGTACCAACTCATCTGGACTTGTATTGAACAAGAAATGTGGATCTTCTAATCTGGCATATTGACAGCTGAGATTGTCACCTGAAGACCCTCATGAATATTGTCCTCTGTGTTAAAAGTTTAGTCTGAAATACAAAGGCTGGTCTTGGATTAAGCCACAGTGCAAATCCAGCCATATAAACTCACTCCCAATAAAACACGCATAGGACTCTATTGTAAGAATAGTAGATTTCTGCTCTACTCTACATATCTGCAGACATCTAAAGCCACTCCATCAGCAGGTGCTATGTTTAAGTATGTTGACCTCTGTGGTACTACAATCTTAAAAAGAAAACACAGCACTGCAAAGATAAATGGAAGAGCAAAACTCTGTCATTGATCTGATTGATGAGTCTTGCAGCATGATCGTAACAGCTTCTTCAGAGACTTTTACAATCTTTATGAAAGAGCAAGAGGCGCTGCCAATATCTGCAGATCATTGTCATGATAGACCGTAACGGCTTCTTCAGAGCTGTTACGGTCTATCGTGTCAATGCGTACTTAGGGAGTCCTCAATGCATGGATCATTGACACGATACTACATAACGGCTCCTTAGAAGCCATTACTGGGTATCAAGTCAATGCATACTTAGGGAGTCTTTAATGCACAGACCTACGTAAGTTGACTCACTCTGAATTCTAACAATCCTTATGAAAAATAGTTAACTGCAAATTGTGTTCAGAGAGTATATCAATACCCAACTGCAAAAATAATGCACCCTAAGTCCTAAATACGGGGGTGGGGGAGCTGCACTTCACAAAGCAACCTGTTGCCGCATAAAAATAGAAGCACAGAACTTTAAAACGTGACACTCCCATTCTTCCCAGCTGGTAATTTCATTTTGGCTTTTATAAAGTATATTTCAAAAAATTATTTCAACTTTGAACTGAAGCAAAGTTCCAGCCCAACGCCCGTTATCTACTTGCATATAAAGTGCGGAAAGTATATACCACCAGTTGTTCATACTTATAAAGCAATGGTGATGCATGTTGTACCACCATACATGTAGCTATACTTCTCTATGCCCTATGCGCTATATGCTTGCTTCTTCTAATACATGTCTAGTATTGAACCCCAAATGATGGGTTTCCAAACCCCAAAGCATAGATTTGGTGCAAGCTATTTTGCACATTCCAAATGAGTGTCTTGCAATCAACTCAGTCTTCAAGTGAGTCAAGTGAGACTTTCCAACACATTGGCTTCCTTCATTTGTAAAATGAATGCCCAGCCATTTATATTCTTGCTGGAGAGATTTCACCGCGCTGGTTTGAAAATGGTTCTGAGTTTGCTGTTGTTGGTATTTTTTTTCCCTTTTGTGTTCCTCTTGCTGACTGACATCTGCTATCACGCTAAGCAGGTGTTCCTGTGTAAACGAACGTGCCATGTTTGTGTTTCGCTATCCTCGCTATTGCGCACCCAAATGAGCAGCATGATTAAGAATCCTGTAAATTTTTGAAAGGAAACGGATGGCTGCCCTACTAGAACATAATTACACCGTTCCAACATCCGCAGCTCACTGCTGCAGCCGAGTTGGAGAACAGCAGAAATTAATAATATATAATCGCATCGTTCTCGTAATTTATAAATGAAATAAAGTTGGAGTTGGAGATTCAGTGGATGCGTGTGTTTCTCGTGAATTCTAAAAGAGCAAGCATAACATTGGCGTTTTACTGGGGTGAATTCTGGCCAGCAATACCACAGCAGTTGCTACTGCCACAAGACCTGACTCACATTTGGGATTTTGTTTAGGCAACGAGTTAATATCCTTTACAAGGCTGGAGAAGGAGGCAGAGCAAGGCGGTGGGGTGAGAGAATAAGTACACAGATATCTCTATAGGCAGTCTCTGATAAACAGGTTGGAGGAAATCTCTAAAGATCATACCGTTCATTTTTGGCTCAGTTCATTAAAAGGTATTGCAGTAAGACGTCTATCCTTGGCTACATCCTGTATCTCCTCCACCTCGTCCCATTTCGACTAAAATAAAACATCATCGCAGGTCAAGTCCTCTGAGGAAAGACAGGATTAATCAGTTTAAAATGCTGTGTAGCATCACTTCAGCAACCCCCCCCTTCAAGAAACAGCAATGTTTCTGAAAACAATATTTTTGAACTAGAATGTGTCAAAAGGGGTGTATTGCAAATCACTGTTAAAGCCAGCCCTGAGAGCTTGTGTTTTAATTATGCCTCGCAACCCGGCTGAAGAAATGTGGCAACTTTTGTAGCAGGAAAACATATTATTTGTTAGAGCATAAACTAGTCTGGAGGGGGGGAAAAGCTTGGATTTTATTTTATTTATCTCTCTCTGCCCCCCCCCCGCCCCATTTCTCTTATGCAAGTGCTAGGAGTGCGGCCTAACTAATTTGCACAGGGACAAAATGAGTGGGCGAGTTACCAGAAGAACCATTGTACTATTCCCCCAGTATATTATATAGACAAATTATATGATATGCAACTGGATATAATTGTATGTGCAGTTTCAACAGTTTAGCAACAGAGGATCTCACAACAGTAACAGGTGCAGTCTTTCTTAATTCTAATAACAGGAGGGAAAACACAAAGCAGGCTTGTGATTAGTGATAAAAATGGACTTTTAAAACTTGCATATTCACACATGAGCTTGTCACCTAAAGGGCCTCACGGGCATTTCCTGTGTGTTCAAGTTCAGTCTAAAGAAAACGTATTCACTTAAGAGATTTATTTCATTAACAGGTATTTATGTAAGTTGGGTTCTCTGCATATAAAATCCCTGAGCAATTTTCTTCCTCAGGTCACTTGCTTCAAGTTGACTAATTTTAATAAGGCTTAGGTGCCTAAGGTTGTATTGAGTGCTTATTTTGATCAATATGGTTAAATTAAAATAGTGCAAAATATAAGCAAATGTACTCTAACAACTCTGTGAAAAATGAAAGTGCATTCTCAGCATTGATTGGGGTGCTGAAGATATATTAATTCATTGTTTTAAATACGTTGAGGCTATGCGGGGGAGGGGGGAGAGAATTGCACTTGACACCAAATACACCCACACAATCCAAACACCAATGCACCATATTCTATGCAGTGACTTCTTCCACTGACATACATAATAATGTACAGAATTTCATTTAAGGGTTATGGCCCATTTTATTTGACAGTCAGCCCATACAGTATTTATATGAGTTAGTTCTGTTTGGCTACTAGTGTTTCAACTGTGAAGACACCAATGCCTAACTAATGATAGTGCTACACAGTTAGAGAAACAGGCTGCTGTGTTAAGAGCTTGAGTCTGCCTTTCTCCTATAAACTAAGGACCAAACTGCACATGGCACAGGGAGACATGTTGGTCATTCACCTGCCTGCCCAGTTCACATATAAAGAAGGGAGAAGGGGGTGTTACAATTTTTAGCTTTTCGAGTCCTTTTCATGTAAATAAAAATCAGGTTTTCTGCGTATGTGGAAAAGACAAAAAAAACTTTAATCCTGGAAACTTGTTGAAGCCCTCCTATCACAAAACGGACTTCCCCTAATACAGTGGTACCTCAGGTTAAGTACTTAATTCGTTCCGGAAGTCCGTACTTAACCTGAAACTGTTCTTAACCTGAAGCAGCACTTTAGCTAATGGGGCCTCCTGCTGCTGCCGCGCCACCAGAGCACGATTTCTGTTCTCATCCTGAAGCAAAGTTCTTAACCTGAAGCACTATTTCTGGGTTAGCGGAGTCTGTAACCTGAAGCGTATGTAACCTGAAGCGTATGTAACCCGAGGTACCACTGTATAAGATTATGGATGTCTTAAGGAAGGCATTTTCAGGAATACTAAAACTAGTTGCATGGATAAAACCACCTGCACTAAATAGAGAGGTACATGGGCACATATACCCATCATACAATCTTCTTAGACCCTTTCATAACTGCTGAAGTGGGCTATGAAGTCACTATTACAATAGATTTGTCTCTTCAGTGATACAGTGGTACTAGCTATGGCAGTAGTTCTGCTACAGTTCAATGGAAGCATGCAGAACAAACTGCAGAGCAAACAGGTTGGAAAGTACAGACTGCCTCTGATTTCACATAGACCTCTGAAGACACCACAAATACTTGGACAGTAATTGTGATTACAAGTGGATATTAGACAATACTTTTATCTTTTTAAATAACCAGGCTACTCTTCTCAGGGTTGCCCAATAAAAGCTGATCCCAAATCAAACCGCTGTTGGCAAGCAGATTTCTGAACCAGGAACGTTGTTTTATGGAAAAAGTGGACCACAAGGTAGGTTTTTAAAGAAGAGAACATTTGAAGAGAACAACTAGTCTAAAGGAACCATTGCTTTCCCCTTAATTCCCCACCCCAATAACAACAGTGTTTCAAGTTCTCCTTGGCTTAAACTAGTCTTCATGCCCAGATAAAATTGATTCTTCCATATATTAAAAAACATTCTATCCCAGATGCCTTTAACCTTATAAAATAATCATTTTGTTTATGCAATGCATGAGGTCCCTTTCCTTCCCTAAGAAATCCAGGCCTGTCTATATTTTCTTTTTTGTTCCTGCTTAAGAATGGGGTTGCTGTGCTTTAATTTCCAGTATCGGTGCTCACAAGGTAGTTTAGAAAGTGCTTTCTAAAATGCCCACAATTGCACCACGGCAATTGTTTTTTATTATATCATTTTAAAAGGCTGCTTGTATCACTTTCAGCTTCGGGGCATGTTTTCTAACCTTACCTGTTGTGCGATCTCTCTTCCCACTATCTCTGATCTCCTTACTAAGCAATCTGTAAACTGCACTGTGTTTTCCAAGATAGCATCTCTTCCTACATGACAACAAAAATAATTTCTTATACTCAGAAGCTCATCTTATCAAAGGTAAATCAGCACACACCAAAAATGAAGACATGAGGCGGGGGGGGGGATGGGGAAGAGTAAAAAATAAAAAATAATAAGTGACAGGAAAAACACACCATTTTAAAAGAAAAGGACGTGGGTTTACAAAGGACTTGGGTTCTTCAGTTTAAACTGAGGAAATAGGTGTTTAAGTAGCCAAAGCATTTCACATACTTACTTAGAATTATTAGCAGGTTAAAAAAACAGCACAAACTCCTTAGCTCACCATGCAACAAAAACATGCTGCAAGGCTATGATCCTATGTACACTTACATGGTAGTTCCATTTAATTCAGTGGGACTTAAACTCTGAGTAACTGCAAATCAAATTGGGCTGCATATCTTCTTAGCAATCATCTGAAGTAAGTAAGCCTGTTCAAGTTCAGAAGACTTGACTTCTCCATTTGTAGTCACGCCAAGAGAAATGCTTAGTTTTTGCTTTGCCGCATGGCAATCTTGCCCCCCCCCCACTTCAGTGGTTCATGTGTTTTTTTGAAGATTTTAATATCAAGGGTATTGCTCTGTAAACAAGTGTATGTTTACCGAGGCAGCTTCTCTTACACTCTTCCCTTGTAATCAGATGTGAAAATTACACCCTCCTTTTTGGATACATGATAATTGCACGTTTCAACATACAAAGAATTGTCTCTGTTTCAGTTGGTGGAATGAAGGGAAGAAAGAAAGGGGAAAGGAGCCCAAGGCATTCAGCAATAAAATAAAATAAATTATTACGTTAAAGATCGCTGTCATTGCTCTTTTGGGGAAAAGTGAGGTTCATAATCAAAACTATGATCAATGTAGTTTTACATTAAAATATATAGATACACGCAGAGAGTGAGAGAGAGAGTGATGTTTCTGTACGCACAGAAGTGGAAAAAGTCACCCCTACGCCATTTCAATCAAGACCGCATGCTTCATTGAAACCCCGCCTTAGTTCTGTTCTCAGAGTAATTTTAACTCTGAAAGTATTATTTATGGGATATTTTAACCAACATTCCCTTATATTTGATCCATTTGTATTTTTTTATTTCCTCTTTGCAGTTGTATTTTACTTAGTGGTAGGTAGCCAGTCCTCCTTTCCTTCTGCCCCCCCCCCCCAGTGGTTTGTACCAATGTGTAGGAAATTCAGAATCTGATGCTTTGTTTGAGGTAGGTTGGTGAGAGTGAAAGAAAATAATTGTGCGTGCAAGAATGACACTGACAAAAAGACAATGTTGCACCTCGATCGTTTCATGACATGCCTTCGAATTACTTTTAATTTTATCAGCACACCTTTTCAAATATGTCCCTCCAGCAAAACAAAACAAAAATCTTTTTTTAAAAAAACCTAATAATTTACTGTTTACCTCAAAATTTGGCATCATGTTGACAGATAAACTTCCATATCGAGTTGTGTCATTTGTTCTGTACCACCAGGAATTAAGGAAGAAAGTAGCTGTCAAGTTAAACTATAACCAAGAAATAATGACTTATTTAGCTAGATCAAGCAACTATTAGCAACAACAAGTTTGCCGGTTTTGTGGTTCTCTTTCCCCACTGCTTGCAATCAGGAAGTGCATTGTGACGGCTAAATCTGCCAGGAATAATAACTCACCAATAGGTTGACTTTAACTCAGTGGTTATGTCTCATCTTCACATGGGACATATTCCCAAGCAAGCATGTACAGAACTGTAGCATCTTGATTGTTCTTTTTGATTGGTCCCCAAAGCCAGGAAGTAGCTCTTTAATGCGCATAATGCCAACTTTATGATGTACACCAACTCACATGCCCTCTCCTCCGGTCTGCTCAATGTAAAGCCACTCTCAGGTATTTCTAGTGGTCATCAAACATGGCTTATAGCTAGAATTGCACATGAGACTGCAAGGTCACATGATGCTCATCCAGACAATATTTAACTGAACTGCTGCATTAAAGTCATCCCAAGAAAACTATTTAAGATGACATCCTAGCCCCCTTCCACCAGAGTTTAGGATAGAAAGTGAATAAGAAGAGTGTGGCCCTTTGAGTCATCAAGGATGAAAACGCCAGATAATTACACCAGTTTGAGCTTTGCTAGGCACACTTACTACTGCAAAAAAGACTAAGGTATCTATAGTAACCCAAAAGGCCTTAATTATACGGTGCACAGGAAAGGCAGCACCTGCAGCTGCACAGCACCCTTCAAATGCTATGTAGCTCCTTCTGGAATAGGATTGACTCAGAGGAGAGAGTGCCTCCTACTGAGTCATTAGCACACCCTCTGTTTCCTTTCCAGATTTCAGGAATCTTGTTTTCTTCTGGAGCGGGGTGGGTGGGTGCGATCAGAAAGGAAAAGGCACAGGAAGAAGACAACAGGCAAAGCGTTGGAGCAACAATAAACCAAGTAGCAACATGCGTTGCACTCTCAAAGTTTCATGGACCCAATTCCATTGTGGGTGGACTTGAGGTCCATCATTTCTGTTTCTAGAGCAGCCAGAAAATGCTTTTAGGGAGAACTAAAAACAAAAATGCACCATGCGACTCGCCATAAATTGCGTCCACGGAGGAGGAGGGCTTGTTCTTTGGCGAGTGCAGAACCTGTGTATCAGCTGCTACTTGAAACCCCTAACAGCCAACCTTGCGAAAGATGTATGTGCAAGGGAAAAGGCTCAGAAGTGAGGAGACTTATTGGAGGGTTAAAACTGGAAGGGGTTTGTCAGTTTGATAGGGAAGGGAGCAGAACTGTAATGGGTGAGAAAGAGCCTGTGAAAAATGTTGGGAGCTGGTCTCATTTCTCAACAAGCACAGGTGAGGTAATCAAACCTGTGCCTGGACAGCATCATTTCAGACTACAGGTGTGAGGCTCATATCACTAAAATACTCCAAAATAGAAAAAATATCCCTCCATACATAGGAAACTAGAATGTGAGGGACGAATGCTATACTAGAACTTTCCCCCCTCACTTCCAGTTTCCTGTGTTGGTGTTTTGATTGTATGGGGAAGTATTCAAAAAAAAATATGCCCCCCACCAGCACCTTGATCCTGGGAAAAGGTTTACTATCATATTATCTGCTCTTTGTGAGAACTAATACTTAAGAATGGGGTAATGGGAGGAATGAAGAATTGGAATGAATAGTGGCCGGCGTTATGTTGCAGAAAGTTCTGTGTATTAAAGATACAAATGGCCACAGTAAGTAGCTACACCGGGAAGCATTTGCTCTTCCTCTATGCTTAGAAGCCATTTCTACCTTGAATAACTATTTCCATTTCCCTCTTATAGTCCAGGGAAATAACTATTTCCATTTCCCTCTTATAGTCCAGTTACAAGAGTTTTTGGTTTTGTAGGCTGTGGTGGCTGCAGTATTTCTTTTACGCAGAACGCTATACTAAAATCCGCTACCTACACTTAGCTCAGCCCTTCTGTTAACAGACTGTATTCCTCCTTCATTTCTAACTGCTGTTAAATGGGGTAATAAAATTAAAGATGGTGCATTTGTATCTCGGAGGTATGTAAATCGGGAGTAGTGCCATTTGATCCAATGGATTTGTCCTAGGGCAAGAAGAATTAGGCCTTATGTCACCAAGAATATGAAAATTTCCCTAGGCTAGAGCAGGGGATTGCTGATTTCAGCACAGAGGTGACTTTTTGAAATTCCTTCTTCTATATTTCAAAAAGACCAGTTAGCCCATTATCAGGTTATAGGATTACAAAATTAACAGTGGGCAGCTGGCTTCAGAAGCCCCTCTTAGCCACAGTTCTCAACCCAAAACTGAAAATGTCAACAAATGTGAATTTGTGACATTTTGATATTGGCTGCTCCACCAATATGGAAGATATTTTAACAGATCACAATCCACTGTAAATCTTTGTGCAGTCCCCATTGATATGAATGGGAGCCATGCAAAAACACTGTAGTATTCTTGCATCATTTCAATGGTGCTTACGCAGGAGAAATCTCCAGTGAGTTGCATTTAGAATGGATTCTGCTGAAAATTTTAAGATCTTGTTGTTCATTTGGAGATAATGCCAGAACTTCCCTATCTAACCAGAGTTAATCCAGTGTTAATGGGCTTAATCCATCTGAACAGCCATTTTATAAATATCTGCAGTGGGCAAATGTTTAACCCCTTTGCTCACTAAAATCAGTAGTCCAACGGAATTGCCTAAGTCTGACATCAAAACTGAGGCCTGAGCAACTGTGGGTGAATACTTTCAGCCCTTGTGTGAATAATACATTTTGCAGAACCCATCTCTTCTGTTTATAAAGACCAAAATCAAACACAGGGCCGAAGCCTATTCCAGTTTATGATACATTAGGCACTAGGTGTAAGTTTCTGTAAACTGAATTATGGAAGAAGTGGACTGCATAAGATATGACCCACAAGGCTGATCAATTTATGGATGAAGAGTGGTGCTCTTGTGGCACGCTGTGATTTTGTTGTGTTTGATTTGGTGAAGGTTTACTCTTTCTTTTTTGTCTCAATCAAATCTTGGATTGGGTTCAGCATGGCTTTTGCAGGCGGATCAAAAGAGTAGGCTTTAGCCTTCGCCATCTATCTGAGAGGCAGTTCTGTAGTTGGTGGATTGACTGTAACGCCAAGCGGAACCAAGTTGACAAAAAGAAACATTCACGTCGGCATTAAAGCAAATAGTGGACAGGGAAGCAGCAGCTTTGGAAAACTGCCCTTCTGAAAAGCCCTTGCTGATGCTCACTCCCTTTGCTGTCTTTTTGCTAGTCTTAGGAGAAAGAAAAAGTTCTAGCATTACTTTGGCTGCTGTGTGCAGAGTTAATATTCATTGGCTTTGACTGCTTTTGTGGGTTGTTGTTTTACTTTGCGGAAATGACAAAGCTCTCTGCTAACCTGCCTATTGATATACCCTTGTTGCCTCTTTTCACAACACCACAGAGGGAAATTTTTGGAAGAACCCCCTTTACCCACTAAAATCATCCAAACATGATTTTATTTTATTTTTAATTTTTTTAAATCAAGTTTCAATACTTGGTCATTAAGAGTGCTTCTTCCACAGCACAAATTTGTGATCTCTCTGGATAACAAAAGTTTGACATAATATATTGAAGGTATTTTTTTCCTCTCTCTCTCTCTCTTTTAAATGTCTTTCCCCTAATTTCATTTTATCTGCTGTTTACCATGCCAGTCTGACATGATATGATTTGTGCGTTGCAGGGTCACAACAAGCTACTTGCAGGACAATTTGCTGCATCAAGAGGGTGATTGTGTCTGGTGCCAGTCAGTCGCAATTAGGCCCAGGATCAGGGAGGCCCAGAGCTTGTGTATCGTCTTGGGCAAGCTTCATAGAAATCAGCTCACCTGAAACTAATTGTCACAACAGAGACCTTATGCAAATGAGCCCTAGGGTTAGCGTGGGAAAAGAAAAACTGTCGCAAGGATAGGTGACCTGCTGAGCGGGGGGTCTGTTGCTGGGGAAATCTTTGTTCAATGAGTTTAAAAAAATGTTCTCATTGTTCCAAATCCAAGAAAACCTAGCAAATACACTCGCTAAGAAAGCGTGGCGAGCACACTCATCTGAAAGGGGCAGCCAGTTTTGGAGCAGCCTCTGATAAATTCTTCACATAGCTAAGGCTGGGGAAGCAAAATTGCTTTTCTCTGCAAATATTCTTTTGAAAGTTTTGATTCGAGTCTGTAATCGATCATATCTTGAACATAACCTGTTGGCATCTGCTCTGCTGAGAGGCCCACATTGCCCATTATTGAAAGAAAAAAAATGAGATATATCAGGAGAAGCTGTATCTTTCCTGATGAGAGGAGTCACTCAGAATGTCTTGAATAAGTTGCACATGCGGTCATTTTCATCCCAGCTTTAGAGACAATGGCTTACATGGTGAAAGCCAGGCAAAAGGAACTCAGTCTGATTTCTGGCAAAACTTCCTTTCTATAGAAGTTGGAGCAGTTTGTTTCGCAGCCTCTCCTATTGGATGGGCCTGGTCGCAGGCAAGTAAAGAGTGATTTATGAATCTAAGGCCATGGTTGCTAACATTTGAATGTAAAAGCTGTCGTTTCTGATGTGCACCTATTTACCTCCTCTCCTGTTCTCTAACAGATAAGAAGTAGGTTAGAACTATACGACAGTTCGTTCTTGCCTTCAGACAATTTTATGGTGGTTCTGAATACATTCTTTTATAAAATCTGATATTCAGAACATTGCCAGACTGCTTAGGTTTCTGTTTTTGCTGTCAATGGTATCAGAGCATGTGTGACACACACACACAAAAATACACAACCCTTCTGCAATAATCTGAATTTATTATGCTATTATAAACAGTTCTTTAGCTTTGCACTCAATATTTTCCACAGGATGCAAAACAAGTATATTCTTCAGCAAAAGTATTGTGCAGGCTACAGAGACAAAAGTAGCTTATTAGGATCATCACCCTCAAAAGAATAGTCATTTTCTTCAGCTCATAAATTGATGGTTGCTTTCACTGTTGCTGCTGTGAAAGAGAGGGCGTTTGGGCATGGACCAGTTCAGCAAGCAGTGAAGTTGACTCGCTAGTCCCCAGTATCACAAAGCAAGGATGCCTTAAAATAGTGCCGCTTAATCACTGACTTCTCTCTCTCTTTTCATCTCTTTTGTCCCTTTTCCTCTGTCTGAAATAATTTCCACAAATAGGAGACGTTTCACAGTGGGCACGAAGTGCTCAGCTTTCACTCATCAAACTTTAATCGGAACTGCATTTTAGTTTTTGAATAAAGAACACTTAAAAAATTTAGATGCAAATTATTTTGCATTATTCATGCTCTAAGTGTCCTTGTAGATTTAAACACTTCTGAGGCCACCTTGATTCAAGTAATTACCTAGGCCCTCTCTGCTCCGTCATGAATAAGGTATTTTGTACAAGTAAAGTATGCACCCGATGAGCTTTTAAAGTGGCTTTACACTGAACTTGTGTATTGCTTCTTGTGCATGAGTGATTCGAACATGCGTCGCAATCTGTCTCAGGTGGGAAATCCTGGCAGGGCATCCATGAGTGACGGAAGGAAGCCTAAGAGTCTGAGCGCACACTCTTTCTTTGTCTTTCTCTTAAGAATCTCAAAGTGATTCTTTTTGCTCCGCATCTCACGGATTGGACTATGAAAATCTTAAAGGAGCAAGAGCTTTCTAAGGGGAAGGGAAGAGTGGGGGGGGGGGAGAGCGGCTTAACTCTTTATTTCCCACAGCTGTGCCCATTTTCCTCCAGCTCACACTCAGTCACTTAAGGCTTCACACACACACACACACACACACACACACACACACACACACGATAATGTAAGTCTTTCTACTTTTATGTAGCATTGTACATCTGTCTACCCATCTGTCTCTCAAGCCTCTCTCACACACCAGAACAAGGTACCACCTGAACAATATTTTTTCACACAATGGCTCACTTCTGAACAGCTGAAAGCTGCTTTGAAGAGGGAAGAACTGTGGGAGAGGGAGAAAGCAGCATGCATTTAGGTCCCTTTTTTTGGTACGTAAACATGTGCACGTCTCTAAGAATTTGGGCTTTCAACAGTTAAGTGTATTTTACTGAACTTTGCACTTCTGTATTGGCTGCCTGTTCCTTCCCCGCCTCCAGCCCTCCAAATTATGTTGCTTTCAAGAAATAGAGCCGTAATTTCTAATATACCGCTGGAGCCTTATTGGCAGTGATTAAAGCTACGGAGTTAATGTCGGTTTATGGGTTATGTTTGGATTTTATTTTTTGTTTGAAAAACACACACAAGGTTGTAGAAACCAATAAAAATAAACATACTGGAGCAGGCTGAACTTGCTGGTCTTTTAGTTTTTTGCTTAACAGTTGAAGTTTAGATTAAAACGAGCATTGCCGCTTTTAGAAAACTAGTTGACACTCCCACTTGATCATCTTTACTACGCAGTGGAATAATTAATATTTAAACATTCTAATAATGTGGATTGCTATACATGCACTTTTCAGCCCACACCACTATATATTTTATTGGGGAACCATGCCACTGTTTTGTTCAGGAATACAATTTTTAAAAAAGAAGAAGAAAGCAAACCAAAGTTTATTTTCCTCAGCAGGAGATGTTAGCTTTTGCAGTCATGGCGAGGCAGACCGCATTAGAACAAGACTAGTTCGGTTTATGATTAAAATTAAGTTGCATTAATTGGCAGAATAGAATACTATTTAGCAATCATTGGTTCAGACGGTGGGTTTGGCATGCATATATCCCTGCTATCTGCTGCATGGTATGATGAACTGTAATTTCTTAAAGTAGAATGAAATCCACTAGGGAGTCATAGATCTGTAAAACAATCCACTACTCTAACACATAAGCACACACACACACTCACTTGGAGCAAGAGATTGTTGAGGCATGATATTTTTTACTTGCAGCCTTCCTATAACTTTCTGATCTACAAGAGCAGGCTGTATTTCAAAAGCTTCCTCAATATTCCAGAATTTTGCAGATCTTTGGGCAAGAAAGTGTCTATCTCTGGACAACTTTATGCATTTAAAACTGCCCCATAAGAAGCTGGCTCATTCTCTGCTATGTGCATCTCACATGATTGAGTCCCCTATTTCTAGAGTATATTCTAGCATACAGAATATGACACTGTATTCTGGCATACATGCTAATTGTCCCATGTAGAAGTGCCAGTGAAACCTTTTGGCGTGCAGAATTTAAAGACGTGCTTTTCAGATCTCACTACAATGAAATACATCTTAGTAACCCTAGATTGACAGAGACCATATTACCCAAATGGAAGAAAACCATGGGCATAGAACTAGAGCTCAGTTGTCTGTATAGGAGAACTTCCTGTCGTAGGCTCATGAACGAAGGTGCCAGGGCAAAGATATTTTACTGTTACCTCCACATCTTCTTATTGTCCCTATCTGAATACTAGTTAGTTCATTTCGCAGCTAGCCTTATGAGACAAAAACTGAGTTATTAATTTACAGATCAAAGGAGGGCCAGCCCACAAAACCAACATTTTCTGCACATAGCAGCAGTTCAAGTGGTTAGATGTAGGTACACAACTACTTGTGATTAGTAGGTCCTTTACTTTCTTTTAATGGGGATACTGCATTTCTGCACACACGTGGGGTCCCAATCCAGTGAAAGTTAGCTGCAACTAAATCTTGTTGATATCAGTGGGACATGAAAATTTAACAGTATGCTTCTGTTCTGTTGGATTTCAGTAGGGCTGATTTGGGTTGGGTTGGTTCTTCCCTGGGTTGGTCCCTTAACAAGAGCAAACTAAAGGGGGGAAGCCTTCCCCATAGGCCTTCCCATTCAAGACTTTAACAAGGCAAAGAGCAAAGTTTTAACATGCAGCTCTGCCCCTTTGGAAGGTTTGGTCCATCTATCCTTTTAATCATGAGACAAATATGACAACGTGATGATGGCCATCAGGGTGGGGCTGGTGTGCAAGGGAGAGCTACGCACTCTTGGCAGGAATGTGGGATCACTGCAGACAGCACGGTATTTACTGTAATTTCTTCCATATCTCCTCTTCAACTCTGCAAAGCATTTCAGTTTGCGTTGTTTTGTGGAAAGCTCTACAGTGCTGAAAACAAAGTTGCATTGTGTCGGCAAAGACATGTGGGAGCTGCTATGCTGCCTGCATGCTGTATGCTCATAGGGCAGCGATGGGCGTGGGAGGTTTAAAGAAACAAATGAACTGCAAGCATGAAATCCATAATAAAGGCATTTAAAATGGGTTGTAATTTGGAGCTCCGCAATACTGTATGCAGGCACCCTCCACACACACACTAGAGAGAGATTTGTGGCCTGATTACTCGTAAAAGAAAGAAAGAAAGAGAAAGAGAGAAGGAGAAAGAGAGGAAAGAAAGAACACAAGAGGAGGCCAAAGGCATCCTGCTTTCAGCATCCTGTTTTCACAGTGCTCAACCAGTTGCGCATGGGAAGCCCTTGAGCAGGACACGAGTGCCTCAGCACTCTCCCTTCAAACTGGTATTTAGAGCCATACTGCTTCCACTGCTGAAGGAAGTACACAGCCATCATGGTTGGTAGTGGTAGTCTTCGATAGCCTCAACTGCCATAAATTAATTTCAAAACCATCTAAATCTATTTTAAAACCAAGTTTGTCACCATTGCTACATCATGTGCAGTGGTGGACCTTGGGGTCTCCAATTTCAATGGCACCCTGTGCCATGCAACCTATCTCTTCCCCCTATCACCTTCCGTTCTACATCACAGTCGCTGTGCCCCTGAGGCTCTGTCCACAGTGCGACTGAACTGGTCGCTCTCCCCTAAACCCACCTCTGCCATGTGGTAATGAATTCCATAGTTTAATTATGACTAAGTGATGAAGTACTTCCTTTGTCTGACCTGAATATTTCAACATTCAATTTCATGGGATGGTTTTGGGTTCTACTATTATGAGAGCAGGAGAAAGGCATCTCTTTATCCACCATACATAATCCTTTATTTATTTTTAAGCCATTAAAAATCCAATGTTGCAACCTTTCTTCATAACAGAGTTGTTCCTTTTTTATTACCCTTTTCTGAAACATTTTCTGCTCTAAAATGCCCATTCTGAGGTGCAGTGACCAGAATTGAACACAGTATTCCAAGCAGAGTAGCACCATAGATTTGTATAAATACATAAATACATATAAATACATAATGATACTGGCAGCTTTATTTTGAAACCCTTTCTTAATAACCCCCAATATGAAATTCACATTTTTCACAATCGCCACACACTGGCTTCACATTCACATTGAGATTTCTCTGCTATTTCAGGTGCCACTTATCCATACAGTTTGGGGAGCGCCTTTCCCTTTTTGTTCTTACCCACCCTGAACAATTTAGTATTATCAGCAAACAAAAGACTCCTCGTCCCTAATTCCATGCCACGTATGACCAAGATAAAAAAGCAACAGTCCTAGTATTGATGCTTGAGAGATCTCACTTCCTACACCCTCCATTGTGAGCACTGCTCATTTCTTCTGACTCCAAGTTTCCTGTTCTTTAATGAGTTACTGATTCATAAGAGGACCTGGCTTCTTATCCCATGACTTCTATGCTTACTAAGGAATCTTTAGTGAGGGACTTTACCAAAGGCTATTTGAAAGTGTATGTAGACAGTGTCTACTAGGTGACTCCTACCCATATGGTTATTAACGCTCTCAAAAAATGCTAAATGGTCAGTTAGTCAGGTCTTACCCTTTAAAAACCATGCTGGTTCTTCTTCAGCAAGACCTGTTCTTCTTCTATACACTTGGCAATTCTATCCTTGATCATGTTTTCCACAAGTTTTCCCAGAACAGATGTTAACCTAACTGGCTTGCAGTTACACCATTCCCTGTCCACCTTGAGAAGTTTGCATCCAGAGATAGTCATGCAGGCAGATAGTTTTACATGTGATCTTAGACGCAATATAGTGAATAGCACCTCAAAGCCACCTGTATTCCTGTTATTGTTGTTTATTGAGTTAATTGCTTTGAAGCTTGGGATTGGTTGGTTTTAAAAAGTGAGAGGAGCATAGTCTGTCTGGCCTCCTTGCCTTGCTGCTGAATTTGCTTGTTACCTTGTATCTACAAATAGTATAAGGTGGGAGCATCCAGAAAGTCAGTCCTTTCATATGATTTGCTACTGATAGTTACATGAATGGGCAGTGGCGACTATTTGGGGCTCTACTTCCTGTTTTTATTCCCTACACGAAAGCTTGGACCACACTGAGGAAGAGCAAACCTTCCTACGATTGGTTTGTACAGAAACTTCACAATGTCCCTTCTCCCAAATACTGTCCTAATATCCCTCCTTCATTATTAGACTTTTACATTTGCCTTTCAAAAGGAAGGAATGACTTAGTGCATACAACAAAGAGTTTGGGGTGAAGAGAGACAGAACTATTTGTACCCTAAAATGCAAATCTGACATGTAGGGAAGTGATATCGAAATCAGTGAGATTTAAGGTTGCTTCTTATATTCCTTTTTTCAGGTGTACACAGACTAGAATACAGGAAGGGCTATATTGGTCTGTCTTTCAGAAAAGAGGCATGCTTCAAAGCTCTTAGCTGGGCAAAGATGCATGCATAATCCTTTAAGGTGAGATATGAATTTTAAGACACATGCGTAGTAAGACATATTTAGGAAAATAACACCAGAAACAGTTTTTGTTTCCAATAACCCAGTCTCTTCACAATTACAGTTTTGAAGTAAAAAGAGTTTATTTTATCCATGGGGTTAGTACCGCCCATGCCTGGCCATAGGTTTATATATATATTTTTTAAGTCCACATGAGATGGACTTTTACTTTTGGTTATCGTCTGTTCATCTGCTTTTGCACCTGCCCATTCATATCCATGAGAGCATTCACAATCTTGAGTTATTAATCCAAGAATCAACATCAAAACAGATTGGTATGACCACTCTCTATATAATAATGGGCAGGAGTAAGCAGCACCGATAGATTTGTGTTTTTCTCCCCACCCTTGTCCCATGGCTGATGGCAAACCACTTTTGAAACCGAACAGAGAGCTGGGTGCAAGGCAAGGTGGGAGAAAGCATTTGACTTACACCACCACTGAGTGGCCGTCAAGGTTGGAGGAAGTCCCATTGTCCTTACTAGAAGGCCTGGCAGAACATTTCTGGCCATTCACAAGCTGTGCTTTCAAGAGTGTTGGTAGACCACAGTGCTAGTGGAGCTACTGCCAACCTCACCTGCCACCATTTATCCAGGTTGATCCTCAATCAGTATTTTTCTTACAACAGATGGTTGCTCATGTCATGTATTCTGTGATTCTTTTTTGCGACCATATGTCATGTTTGTAAGATAAACATAGGTCTTTAAAATCAATCAATCAATCAATCAATCAATCAATCAATCCATGGGCCAACATAAGCTCCTTGCCCTGGGGGTTTGCATCCGTTTGGATGTTGGTCATCATGGACAGAGGGAACAGAGGTTGGGGGAGAATCCACGGGCTGCAATTCTGTGCAGACTTACTTGGCAACACATCCCATTGAAACTGGTGGAACTCACTTCTGAGAGCACATGCTTAGGTTCAGGGTATGTGTATAATGCCCTTATCATGTGGTTATGTGATTGAGAAAGCAGCACACACACACAGACGAAAATGTGCAGGCTTCTTTTAAAACTTGATACTGAGGCCTTCAAGTACAGATAAAATGAGATGAAGCTGCTATCTCACTTGCATGTTTCAACTGATAAATTAAAAAACACACACACATTTCTTGTATAAAACCTAACATGCACAGGAGATAAATAAGTAGATCCTGTAGAGAAAAGTCAAGAAGTAATGCCCTGTGTATTTTAGTGCCATTGTGTAAGTAACGATGCTTCAGTTTTCTTTATCCCAAACAAGCCTTTTCCTTCTTCTTTGTCTTGAGCAACATTCTCCCAATTTAACTTCCAAGATTCTATGGGGAGGTGAAATTCAGCTTTGCGGAAAACAGTCTCGAAGCCAAAAGATCCTTCTGACAATAATGATCCCTCCTTAAATGAGCCGGTTTTATTTCTCAGCTGGGGGAGAGAGAAAGGAAAGCCTTTACAACTGTGGTCACCTGGGTTGTAAAATAAAGAAAATAAAGTCATCTTCAGCTTGGAAACTGGACAAATATTTTTATATCGTTATGCCAAGCATTCCTCCTGCTTTTTTTTTTTTTAAAAAAAAAACATGTTTTTCTTGTTGGCATACTTGCCAGTTCGGTTGTAAATGTATTTTAGAATAGATGTCTTTGAACATTACAGTACCACCACTTTCTCCTCTCCTGAAGTTGACTCAATATTTCAGTTTAAACGATTTACAGGAAAGCCTGCAGTCCTACAAATGCTTACATGGGAGTAAAATCTCACCGAAAACAGTAAATTTCGCTGCTGAGTAAACTTGCACAAGATTAAGTTGTATGACTGCCATCCCAGGAACATGCAGGGAAGGGTCAAAGGCGCCTTTGAACCCAGTAGGAACCCAGGGAGATCTACATCTGAGAACGTAGGCATAGGATCAAGCTGCACATCAGCTGAAGCCAAACTCAGTTTACCTGAACTGTTAAATCAGGTTGCTGAGTTTCAGCCCACATCCTCAATAGTTTCAAATTAATTCAAAAAGCCTCAGTGGAACTTCAGCGGAATAATTTTGGAGTCAGTGATTTGTAGCCTTTGTGATTAAGCAAATTCTCAGCTAGAAGGATTAGATTTCATGCAGACACAAGAAGAAAGCATGTTAACTATCTGTAACATATAAAGAAACCTATCAGGAGTTGCTTCAGAGCTAATGCACACATACACACACAATTCTGTGTGTGTGTGTGTGTGTGTGTGTGTGTGTGCGCGCGCGCGCGTGCGCACGTGTGTATTTTACTTCCAGAAAATGCCAGTCAAGATTTTATGGACAAATGTTTGTCTGTGAAACCTGAGGATGTTTATAGCATGTACGTAATAGGTTCAGGCCTCTGTGAGGGAGACCATGAACTAAGGCTTCCTGCTGAGAAGAACATAAGTTTTAGGGGGGGAAAGAGAAAAACTAGGAGTCTTGTTTCTTCCAAAGATTTCCTCCTACCCCTCCCTTCCTAAAGCCAGTTGTCACTAGCTAATGCCCAATAATTCTGTAGAACTTGAGAAGAGTAATAAATATGCAGGGCTGTGTTTTGTGTACTTTAAAATTATCCTTTAATTTTTGTAAACAGTACAACTGGAACATTTGTAAATTGTTATTACCAGCACCACCATACCTTGCCCCAGGGCAATAATTTCAAAGCACCGCATCACACACTATCAAAATAAATTTGTGAAAGAAGGAGTAAACAATTGAAACTGGGTCCAGTAACCAATTTGTACTATCGCTTGGCACAAATGCAGTTCCACAGGTTCCATTTCACTTACTTCAAATTTTAACCCCAATTCAAATAATGTGAGTTTTCTTTTGGTACCTTTGGTTCACGTGAGATTCCAACTCCCCACTCCCAACCCCCACAAATAATATTGTGGCAAGATGTAACCCAAGCCATGGAGCAGCACTAGATACTAATAGGTCAACATCCTCATCAAACATACTAGCATTTTCATCAATGAATTGGCGGAGATAGCGAGCAGCTTCCTCCCGCCCCATCCCCCCCCCCCGGCCATGTTCCATTCACTGTGTTTCTGAGTAAGGTGAGCAGGATTCAGCCCATTAGCTTTTATTTTCTGTGAAGAGCAACCAAAGCCTTACAGAGAGAGAGAGAGTCAGTCAATTTATGGCCAATAAACATAAAAGCCGAGACGGTATCAATGAAACATTCTTCTCTAAACCAGAGGTCACTAATTCTCCACTTATTCCATTCTGTGGTTTCAGAAAGTTTAATTTCAGGGTGAGGATGTGGGCTCTGGCTGTTGGTAAAAAGTTTTCTCTGGCATGGCGGGGGGGGGGAGGTTAAGCACATATAAATTTAAATGGGTGGAATCAGCCCCGGTGAATTAATTTGAGGACAAATAAGAGTATGTTTCCTTCTCTCCCCCCCCCCCCAGTAGTACACCAGCTGTCATTTTTTGATGAGGAGTGTGTGTGGATTGGGGAGGGGACCGGGATTTATTTTTGAAACATAACTTCGTGCCTGATTCATTGCGGTTAGTGTCACCAAACTACAGGCGAACGCGAGTTAGTGTGGCCATTAACATTCTTAAATTCTAGAACCTGTCAGGAGGCAGATAAGGTAGGGCAGGATCCGCACACCTCCCCAACCTCAATACTTGGGATGTTTGCAATATGTTTCTATTTTCGTCACACCTATGTGTGGCTATCCATCTGGTCTTAATCAATCAGTATCATCCCGGAGCTTTGCTGTTCTCCCCAGCTGAAATAATACACTCCTTCCATCGCAGGCTTCTGCCTCAAGGAGGGTCACTTCTCATGATTCCCCAGCCAAGGCACATTAACAAGGCTTACATATTTGTAAACATAGGTAAACCCAGGAGGGGAAGATGGGATGGAACATTTTGAAAGATGAATATTTTATGAATAAACCACTGTGATGTTTATTTAGTGATATTACATAGCAAAACTTGATGAAGTACCGGAGGTAAATTTGTTTTAGCAAAAGGGGAAGGCAGGGTACCCTCAGACGTGCAGAGACAAAGATAAGTGATGCAGGAATGAATGATCTGATGTGCCACCCCTATTTAAGCCGCCAAGGAAGCTTGTTTATAAAATATGTCCCTCCAAGTGCAGGGAAAGTGGGTGGCGAATCCTGTAAACTGTGCCATTTATTTATTTAGATTGCACATCAGGAGATAAAACAAATGAAAATTCCAACTTGTTAATAATTTACATTTAAGTGGAAAATTCTTCCATGCTGTTAAGATACCTCCAAGACCTGACACTGTAAAGGCAAATAATTTACATTCTTTGTGCACAGACAACTCGGCTCATTTTCAAAAGGAAAAAAAAAGTAGAGTGGGGATAAAAATGTGTGTTCAAGATACATTTACTGTTTTCATCCTTCTGCGTTTGCTGTTTCACCCCCTCCCCCCCGAAATAGATGCGAACTTCTTTTTTGAACTTCGCCTCACCGTTCATCAGGTGTTCCTTGCACACAATCCGCACAACCTAGGAGGTTCGCAATGTGAGAAGGAAGCTTTTCTTTTCAACACTATTACTTCCCACACCAACAGCTTGTGCAAAGAAAGTTTTTTCCCCCTCTCTGGGGTGGGGGAAGACGCCTGAATAAAAAATAAATAAAAAAGAGGAGTGTGCATAACAATAAATACCTCTGTTCTGGGGCTTTTGTTCTTTTTTTTTATGTCAGGGGACTTTTTAGCTGCGCTGCCTGGGTTACTGCTCTGGAAGGTTGGGAGATCTCTTGTTGAAGGAGGTTTGTGATTGAAGGCCCTCTGACACAACCTTTTGTTGGCCTGAGGTGTTTGATCCTCTTTTCCTTTTCTTCTTCTTTTTTAAAAAACCCAACCCCATCCCTTTAAAAATGGATAACCAGCACTTCTTTTACTTATTGTCTGCTATTGGAGAGAGTTACTGGGGGGGGCTGTATAAGTTTAACTAGTTAACCCTTTGCCTACTAATAGGTTTCAGACACATCACACTTAAAAACAAAACAAAAAAGTATGTGGAATATTTTCGTAGCTTTGCCAGGTATGCAAATCCTCTTTCCTGCAAAGTCATGTGCCCTGCATACCCCTGGACTTTAGGTTTCAACTGTGCTCTTGTAAAAAGGTTTGTTCCCACATCCCACTGACCCTACGCTCAGATAATTTAGAAACCCAATACAAGTGCTGAAACCTGCATGTTAGAAATTGGCTATCCTAAAGCACATTGATCACTGATATTGTGCCTGCTGGCATGTTTCCTAAGCTTACCTTCCATTAAGACATGAAGGAATTCTCAGGAGCACAAGCTGATCTGCAGCAGTTTCCTTGCACTGGAAAGGGGGACTCCAGCAACAATGGGAGTTACTTTTCAGAACTAAGTGTAAAAATCCGAAACTAAGAAAGAAGAGCATCTTAAAATAAAAAATACCAGTGTGTTTGCTTCCTAGGAGCTTTGTGAATCAAGGCTAGAATATCTCCACCCCCCACCCCCAAAAACCCACTGAAGAGACACAACCCAGGCTGTAGGCAAGGAAAGCAGCTTAAATGGATTATTTAACAAAAAGCAACTTATGGTTTCCAGATAGTGACCTACATTCGGCATACAAAGATGATGTTTTATGGTGGTGATAGGGTTAATAACCTAACATCATTCATGTAGTGTTTTTTTGAAAATTGAATTTTACTGCTACAAAGTAAATGTAACAGCCCTCTAGAGACAATATTACAGGCACTTTATTGTTTGCTAAGCTGATGTCATCTTTCTACAGACTGACTTTAAAACAAAGGCAGAACATTTATTACAAATATCACTGTGTGAAAGGAAATCTACTGAAATACTGTTTAGAAGGTGAACTGATAAAAAAAATAATTGTACTCAAGATTGGCTTTGATCATCTGCAGAGTTATGCTGGCTGGATCATTCTCATGTGATTCCCTACCCCCCACCCCCACCCCCAAAATCCTCCATATTTTCTATATTGGATTTGCAGTCACTAATTTTCTTAATATTTTTCATCTCTGAGCATGGGTTTTAATCAATATCTGGTTTTTTAAATTCCTTTAAAACTTTCTGTGTATTTCATGGGAGGATCTGATAGATGAATGATTTTTAATCCACCATTTTAATGCAGAGAGATAAATGCTGCTTATTAGCTTTAATGAAAGCACTTATCCAACACAATTTTTAACCCTCCACTGTTAAAAAAAGTGTGTGCATCCCAATATTGCATTATAGTTCCATACCCCACACAAATATGCGAAGACTAAAGGTATATATTTGGGCTTAGTTTTTTCATAATTTACTGATGCCTAGGGGCACGCTAATAAAAATGGCAGAACATCTGAACTCTTTAGAAGCCAAATTCCCTATTAACTTCTATGAGACTGGAGGGCTCAGCACTTCAGAAGATTCAGTAGTTTTTGTCAAGCTAGATTACATCATTTTAGGAACTTGATTTGAAACACTCAACTTTGGGCAGGGGAAAGGGAAGAGATGTCATGGGGACACACTAAAGCAGATCCTTGCTTTCAGCTACCAGACGGCTTCATTAGTTTCTTTCCTTGCACTTTCAAATATTACCCAAGCAAACTAACTTATTTTATTTTTAAAAGGCAAACGATGTGCTATGTTCTTTTTGTTTCTAACCCCTCCAGATTTCTATTAATGTTGTCAGATGCCAGGGGTGGAACAGCAAAAAATCAAAGAACTTTTTGATTATTTTTTTTTGAATGGCTAGAAAATGTTCATCTCTGTTGATTCTTCACATGAAGCAGAAAGCTAAAGGAAGAAAGCAGATGACTAGCAGCTTTGCGTAGCTCTGGGAAAAGGGTGAACATACAGGTGAAAATGAAGGGTGGCATATAGGCGAGGAAGAGTAAATAGAGTAGAAAAATTGTCAATATGTGCTATGAGTCAAAGGAGCTCATTTGATGGCTTTGTGGGTGAAGCATGTATTCCAAAAGCGGACTTTTACCTGCACTACTAAGCAGAGGTTTATATTCACGACTTCTTGTTAAATATGTAATGCTGACGGGCAGTGCCTGTCTAAATCACTGGGATTAAAACTGGCAATTGGACTGTAACAGTTCGTTTTCAATGTGCTCAGAGCAAAGTTTGCCAGTTGCCAACAATTACCCAAGCAAGTTTGACTTCTTTCGCTTAATGCTCATATGTTCTGATATTTGAATATTATTTTGCACATCAAGCAAATCTACATCTGGCATAAAGCAAGATTTTGCTGTGCCTTGTCTCAGTCGTGTCAACTGTCCCCATGCCTTTGTACTTGCTCAGTTGTTATGTTCGGAACCAGGTTCTCTTTGGAAAAGAAAAGCTTTACAATTTGGTTACGACAGATCTCCTTTCCATGAGCAATCAAAATTGCATGCCAACTCAGGTTAAAGATTTCGGTCCATAGAATGCAACACCTAGGAAGTCCTCCAATTATTTTAGATACTCACAGAACTATTCCTCCTACTGGTGACACAGCAGCCTATCTGGGAGCTTGTCAATTGTTCTAGTACTAGATTAAGGAAATAGGCCTACAATCATATACATTGGTGACTACCATTCCAGTATCATCTATTGAGCTGATGGGAGTCCAACATCTGGAGGGACCCATATTGGCAGCCACACTTACTTGGGCATAATCCTCATTGAATTCAGTGTTATGTACATCTGAGTATATGTGCATAAGACTGCGCTATAAATGTGACATTCTCTCCCCACCCCCATCCACAGTCCTTCGTCATCTTCCTTGCCCTTCATCTAAAAGCTAGCTCAAATTATCCCTTTAGGGCCTTGGGTTTTTTGTCATTATGGGTTAATGGGTGGGGTGGTGAGATTCATGGCAAATAATGGCTCCATTTCAGTACTGTACTTGTTTCCTCCAGTTCCTCAGAAGGGCCTTTGTTTAGAACGCATCGCATTCTTACTTGTACACTGTTTAATTTGAAGAAATTCTAATGAGAGCTTCTCTGATCAGGAATCTGAACAAGAGATTTAATTTGCTCTGCAAATCTCTGTGCGTGTGTTCAGTCAAAATGTGCAAATTCAACCGAGGGTCCAAAAAAAAAAAAAGTCAAGTAGATTTGAAAATAAGACTTTTAAAAAAGGGTTGACTGATTTGACCCGAAGAGGAAGTGACGGTGCTGTGAACCTGAATTGCTGGGCAGAAGTTGACACAGATCACCTCAGCTTAGTCTCACCTCCATCACCTGGTTGTATGCTTGGAACAGATGCAGTTCATTCTGATAAAGGCTTGTTCCACAGAGCATAACTCAAAAGTGAGACACAGCCAGTCAGGATTCCTGAATGAGTATACGTGTGTGATTCACATATTTGCAAACATGTGTTTGCCACATTCACACTCTACATTTTCAGTTGCACACTTTAAGCATCTCTGAGGGAAAGTAATTAGTGTGGGAAGTAGCCCAATAAGACCTGACATAAAGAAACGCAACGATGTTCCAGATCTTGAGCTATGTTGTCAAAGACCTAATGCAAAGACTGTTTCTAGCTTCCAATGGGCTTTGGAGTCACACAGTCTCATCTCCAGGAGTCAGTACTCTTACAAGCTCACCTTTTCTGAGAGGCAATTTGATGTGGGAGAAGTTGGCCTGATTCATGTAACTTTTTCTGACTGCTTTACTAAATGACAATATGAGAGTCGGTGCCAGCACCAATAGCCTCTTTTAGGGCTTATCCACACTCCCTCTTGTCGCACTGCTTTCCCCTGGGGAAAATGCTCTTTAGTGCTCAATCAGAGCAAACGGCAACTCGGGGTTCCGCCAGATTGACATTTGTTCCAATCTATCGCTGAAGAGTAGGTATTGCCTTATAAAGGAGCGGGGCAAGGGGAAAACCACTCAGGCCCATGCTTAGAAAGTATGGGTCCAGCACAACATGGCTCTAACCATGCTTGCTAGGCATGGCACAAATGGGAGGATGGACAAGCCCTTAGGTCTTTGTATCCACTAGTATCAGTAGTGAATCTGTGTTTGAGTTACCACTTACTTCAAATTTAACAGATGCCACAGCGACCTTATAGAGCAGGGGTTACCAAACTGTGGTCTGTGGACCACCAGTGGTCTGTGACCTTCATTCAGGTGGCCTGGGGGGTGTCTGCAAAGAGGGAGCAGAGGCTGGGAACGGTGGGTGCAGCGTGTTAAATATTCGTATTGATTTTTAATTGTGTTTTTATTGCTTCTTTCATTTCTCATATTGCGCCTTATTATTTATTGTTGCCTTTTATGTTGGAATTCAAATGGCAACGCTATAAAATGCAATGTAAGAAATAAAAGAAGCAATAAAAACCAATTAAAAATAATACAGAATCTAGCACACCACATTTCAACAGGCAGAAAAAAACAATAAGTGGTCCATCAAGACCAGGGGTCAGCAACCTTTTTCAGCCGTGTGCCAATCCACCGTTCCTCAGACCATGTGGTGGACTGGAATATATTTGGGGGGGGTGAACGAATTCCTATGCCCCACAAATAACCCAGAGATGCATTAAAAGCACACATTCTACTCATGTAAAAACACACTGATTCCCAGACCGTCCGCGGGCTGGATTGAGAAGGTGATTGGGCCGCATTCGGCCCCTGGGCCTTAGGTTGCCTACCCCTGATCAAGACCATCAGCCATTTTCAAGTGATCTGTAGCAGGGTGTGAAGTTCGGGGACCACTGCTATAGAGCACTGTTTTTGTTTGCATACCGCAAACATTTTTATTATTAGCTTTATTTCTATGCTATTCCTTTGTCCAAAGAGATCACAATAATGAATCCATAAGCTACAGCAAAAAAACTGTAAAATCAGAATCAAAACATTATGTACAATAAACAGCTTAATAATTCTGTAGTATTCTGATGTCTGACATGGCTCCCATTAATACTCAGACTGACTGAGTAAAAATGCCTCCAGCTTATGCTGAAAGATTGCCAATGAAGGGGATGATTGAACTGCCAAATGGAAGCAGTTCCACAGTCAGGGAGCCACTGCGGAGAAAGCCCTGTCCTAAGTAATTGCAAAACATACCTCTAGCAAAAGGTAGGACCCCAACAAGGCACAGGCCAGTACATATTGGAAAAAGCAGTCTTTCGTGTATTTTGACCCTGAGCCTTTGTGTGCTTTAAATACTAGTTTCAAAACATTAAATCCGGCCCTGTAATATATAGAAACCCAATGCAGTTTGGAACTATAAGCAACTGAGCACATGCTTTTTTTTGCCTCAGATGTTTTTCCTTCTTTTTGTTATCAGGAACTTAAAGAAATAAACAGCCACCGCACAGAGAAAACTTAATAGTTGCAAGGAATATGGCTAACAGTCTTGAAAAAAAAATTGTTTGAAACAGAGAGGTTCAGGCCAAGTCCTGGGCATTCTTGAATATTTGATGTGCTAAATCCCAGATCCAAAAAAAATATTTCTAAGTTGTAATGAGGTTGTTGGAAGTGTGGATCAGATTCTCTAACCTACAAGAGGCAAATATGCACCCCCCCTTTTTTTAAACCAGATGAAATGTTAGAACAGTGTACTGTGTGAAGCACTGCCCATTTTTCTGCACAATTTTAGTTACAATCGAATTCACAGAGGCTTTAAGAGGGAGGAAAAACAACAACAATGGGTATAATCACACACTGGAACCTAAGAATTAGGTTTTGATGAAGCGTGATGGAAGAACCAAAATCTTGAGGAATGCTTTCCAAATAACCAGAGAAAAATAAACCGTTCCTTATGTCAGTCTTGTTAGAGAGGGATTAAGAAACTGGCAATTATTTTGGCGACCTTAATTGTTGCTCTGCAGGAAAATATGTAATTAGAGCACGTTCGCAGGCCCGCACACCTGCAGCACATCCTACAGTATAATGTCAGCTTTCAGTGCTTGCCCGTGCCAGGTTCTATCACAACCAGTCACAGTGATGCTCTGAGAACATTTCGGACTCATGTAATGTGGCTTCTGTGTATGAAAGAAGCAGGCATTTACACTGGCATACAATGGAGGGCATTACTGTAACACTGGTTTCATTCTTTTCCAAACGCCTACCTTCAACGCCGCTCTGGTTTACTCAGTTTGAGGTTTTATTGTTACGGTATAATAGTCCTGTACATTTCTGAAATTCCCTTATTATACAGCTTATTAATACAGCACTGGCTTGATTATCAGGCGACAGTTGTGAAGGGGAAGATTCAGCGTGCGAGCGAAGCCAGAAGCTGGACGAATGCTAAATAAGAATAATTGTGTTCGGGGCATTTTGAGTATATAGAAGTGTGCAGATGCCAACAAGTGTGTATTCAGAGAGAGGACACACACACACACACACACACACACACACATTACAGACACATTTGTGTTGCAACAGACCTAAAACATAGGGACTTTTTTGTGAGGGTTTTTTGTTGTTGTTGTTTTGCTTTTGTTTTGCTGCAGTTTGAAAGGTTCTGTGCACCACCATCTCATGAAACTTTCCAGTTTTGCTCCACCTCTTCCCCTCCTTTATTACCTTTAATTTTAAAACTTGGGAGGTTTGAAACGCTAGGGTTTCTTTTTCTTGGAATAAAAAGGGGGGAGCACAGTAGAGGGAATAACTGTCTTACAGCTAAATTCAGTAAGCTGGCATGCTGATAGTTAACAGACTTCTTCCCCTAAGGGAGATACACTGTATTTTGCTATCTGACATGTTGTCATATATAAAGAAATCAATTGGTAATTAAATGATGCACCTTGTGAAGATGACAAAAGGCATTTGGTTGCGAAAAGAGAACTGGGTTGTGAGGGGTTTGTAATGAAGGCCTAATGACTATTCATAAGAGATTTTCAGTCCGTTGATCCACTTGACTGGAAAGTTCTGCCCTGGAGAGTTAGTGCTGTCAGTTTCTCTCACCTCAGAAAGCCGCCGCAATCGACGGTGTAGAGTATGAGCGAGAAATTATCTAGTTTTTGCTTCAGGCCTGTCTTAGGTCACATGCAGAAGGCACACATCTGGCTTCCTGTAGGTGCAACCTCAGGACATAAACTTTGACTAATTTTTAAACTATAAATATGTAAGACTGACACTGAATAAGTTACCTTTTATTCACATTTTCACGTATTTTTTGGCACATCAAAGGAAGATACCATTTTGGCCTCCCTATGCTACTCATATTTCAGTAATTGCAATATATTTCCTTCATGTGACAAAGCGTTTTGCATAGGAAGTTTCCATTTCTGTCACTGGACCTTTCTTCCTTTTGTTTCATTCTGTAGAGTCAACTAACCAGTTAGAAGTAATTTTTTTACAGTTACCTTGAGACTCAACAAAGAGTAGTGTCAGGAGGAATTACTGATCTGCCTAGTTTCTCTTGAGTAGCTTACTTTCATTTTGAGGGTTTCTCAGGTCACTAGAACATAAGCTGGCGATATGAGAGCCACCAGCAAGCTGTTCTTTTAAGGGTCTTCTCTGATGCATCGCCTCTTCAGTCAAAAGTATATTTTTAGATGGTCAGATTTTAAACTACAGTTCCCGGCATTCTTTGGTGGAAGCCATGGGCCTTAAATGTAAGGTGTGGATGTGACCTCACAGCACTGCAATTCCTGAGGCAAATCCTACAGCCTACCTATGAGTGAATGCTAGGAAACCCTTAGCAAACAGCAAGGCAGTGACATAAAGGCCACTACATGGTCTTGCATGGAACTTAGCCACTCAGGCGTCATCGCCCCTACTCTGTCTTCAGTGTATCACTTCAGTGGGGATTCACATGATGGATTGCTAATTCGTTAAAAAGAATATTCCACTACATTGACAACTAGCATGTCAGAGAGATGGGTGCCTTAGAAGATGCTAGGTTGGTATGTGGTGATGTAGTGTAGTCCTGATACAGGATTTACCACCTAGTGTGAACATGGCCTAGGATAAGGTGGAACTGGTGTACTGACTAGAAGATGAAGCACAAAAAAATCCTGCTAATTATAATCCTTTGGCAAAAGATAACAAAAAACTAAAGGAAGTGTTTACAAGTGACCAGGCACTGATGATTACTTCGTAGGACTTGGTATAACGACAGTATTCATTGACTCTGTACATATTTGCTTTTAAAAAGCAACTCTCTGGCTTATCTTGTCAACTCACCTTATCAAAGGCAACTTCATTCATCTCCCCCTCCCCATGGGTACTTGAGACTAGAATAACATTTGCAGATTAGAAGCCTCTTCACACAGCCATTGGCTATCTGGGAGATGCAGGAAAATGCACTCGAAAAATCAGAGATCTTGGTATGCTTAGAATTTTGAAGCCAGCTGATTTTGGTTGTGTGAATCAGCCACAAGGCATCACAAGCATTGCTCCAAACACGCATGGCATGAGAAAACAATATGGCAAACCTCAGAGGTTTCCATCTGCCAACAGTGGGATCAGCTGAGTAATTCAATACATTATGCAATATTGCAGAAGGCATTGATGGTGTTCCCGCCTTGTGTGTTGTGGTTACTGAGTTTTACCGATGTGTTTGCTGGAGCTGACAAAGTGAACCAACTGAATGGACAAATGCCAAAAAAACAATTATGTTTATTAATGTGCATTGATTACTTGTTTAGGATATAAGAGAAAATTTTAAAAAATGCATTAGTATTTAAAGCTTTTTATAGCTAGGCTAATGATTGCTTGTAATATAGTGTTTAGTAAAGGCCATTCTATGATACCTATAAGTCTCAGCTTTGTTGTCAAATTAGTTGACTTTGATTTACAGGGTTGTCACTATTAGTATAAATCTTTATTTCTTTAAATAGGAGTTACCTATTTTCAGTCACATTGAATAATATAAATCAGTGCCAGTATACCTGTTGATTCAATAGGATTGTTTCACATGAAAAGTATTATGGTTGCCAGATTCAGGCTTTTAGGTATATACAGCAAATACATCAAAATGTGGCCTACCCATCATAACAGATTGGAAGTCAAGGGTTAACTCTGACTTCTCTCATGTTAACAGTTAGGAGAGGACTTGTCTAAAATGCCCTACATTATCGTCTGTAAAGAGACTGCAGTAGTATCTCTGTGGCAGCTTATATGTGAAGGGAATTTGATCTGGTGCATGTAAATGTATGTTTCTGAGCATCCTGGCTAGGAAGTAAAGCCCCTTGAATTCAATAAGCCTTCGGCATACATTTGTTTTGGTAAGACCTTGCTACTTCTATGCTTAAAGTCTCTAATGCTCCAGTAACTCCAGATTAGACTACTGTCGTGTACTTTATTTTGGGCTGTCCTTGAAGACAGTCCAGAAGCTTTATTCATTTCAGAAAGTAGCTGCCAGGGTTCTGACTGAAGCCAGTCTTTCATATCATATCACATTGATCTTGCAACAGGTATATTGGTTGCCAGTTTGCTTCCAGGATCATTTCAAGATCATGGTTTTTACTTTTAAAGTCCTAAATGGCATGAAACAAAAATATCCCAAGGTCCTGCATGTGCAAAACTATTTTTTTCTCCACCGCCAAAAATATTGTGCACAAATAGCTGACACAGGGGTGCTGTCCCCCCACCCCACCCGTCATCTGTGACGCCCAAAATTTCAAAGCCTTCCAAGAGACATCTTCCTGACACAATCTCTGCTCACTTTTAGCCAGTAGCAAAGACAGTAGCCCTATTGGGCATTTGGTCTCCTTATGTATAAGCAAACCTATGAGGAGAAATGAGGGCATGGTGCAGAATCGTGCCCTTTCCAATATATCATCTGTACCCAGCTGAGAACCCCCCATGAGTTTAAGGACAAAAGTCTAGAGCTGATTCTACTTGTGCGGACTGTCTGTGTGATTAAAAAGGGTTTTGAGGCGATTGGACCTCTGAACAGGGCTAAAGTTATTCCACTTTAATTTCAAGTTATCCCTTTTTGTTTTATGCTGCGGCTGTCTTTCTGATTCATTTTGGTTTAGCCCATTTTGTTTGGTATGACTGTAACGGTTGTTTTATTATTGTTGCATCTTGTATTTATCATCTCTCTCTCTCTCTCTCTCTCTCTCTCTCACACACACACACACACACACACACATATATAGCTGAGGTGTACAATTTGTTAAGAAAAATAAATAAAATAAAAATATGCTTATTTCTGCTAACCCCATGAGCTGGCTCCCTCCCTAGTCCCAACAACGGAGGAGGAATTAGCAAAATTGAATTCATGAAACAGGGTCTATTGAAGTATGAAACCCAACACACAACACCCTTTTTTGTGGGTGCTACTTACACATTTGTTTTAGCGCTAACGTGTCAAGTCGCACTGCAGGAATCTCTTGTTTGAGCAGGTATTAGGCTGTCTTGCTATTCTTATTCAGGATTCCATTTCAGCCTGGTCAGGACTTATTAGAAGGAAAAGGTCAAGTAGTCCAGATCTCACATCATGTCCCCTGTCCAGCCCCACACAGATGAAACAGCACGCCCAAAGGGTTCCCTTTGAGGGACAATGTAAAGCCCATCTCAGTAACTTATCTGACATAAATCAAATGTAGCTGTATCAGCATGTGGCTTAATTATGTCTGGGTTCTACTCCAAAGCTGCTAAATAATTTCTAAAAGTATTTACTTTAAGCCTGTGCAAGGTGTCTGCATCAATGTAAGAAAAGGGCAGCGCTGAGAGTAACGGAAGTTGCCAAGTCATGAAACAGTGGTCATGTTGTCAAGCTTATGATCATAACATGACATCTAGCAAAACTAGGCTTTAGGGTGGCTATTAGAACACCGGATTGGAACCTGAACTATGTGTAGCATAACGTGGCTGTACTTGGCCCTCTCTCTCTCTCTCTCTCTCTCTCTCTCTCTCTCTCTCTCTCTCATTTTATTCCCATCCTTTCCCCCTTTCACTTTGGTTACATATCTTAACAAGAAGGCTTTGCATTTTAACATGGAATAACATAGCTGTTATCATTTTTTAAATTTAGATTTATTTCCCACCAAGGGTGGCTTACAGTAATTTTAAAATACAATATCAAAACAGTTTAAAAAAAAATTAAAGTCAAGGGAACGGGGTGAGTCCTAAAATATATATCTCTCAGGTGTTGCAGGCCAGGATATTTACCAGTAATATCTAAAAAAATAATAATAAATATGCCGATATATTTTAAATGTCACACTTCTGAGAAAGGGCAGTGTTGGTTATGCATTCATCGTTTATCTCCAGCTTTGGATTTGTATTCCCCAATAATGCACCTTGACTGATTTCAAATCAGCACCTGTTTCCCTAGTGCGATTTCCGGATGCGGCCCCTCTGAAAAAGCTACGCTAACTTCCCCAGCTTTCAAAAAGCCACACTTTGGAAAACGACACTAATGGAATACCCCTGTATAAAGTTCTTTCCACGGTGGCCATCCCTGTTGAAAGTAATGGGGCCTGACAGTTCCTTAGTTAAAAATCATACAGAAGGGTCACTTTTCCTTAAATTATCTATTGAATGCCAGCTGTTCACAACTTCAGCTGCCTCGCTCGGTTTCCGCTGCTTAAAATGTCTCCAGCTTTCGCGCAACGTTTGTCTCGGAAGATGTCACCCAAAAAGTTTGTGGATAGTAACACCTCGGTGGAAGTAACTCACTGCAAATGCACTTTGCATTTGTCCTTGCCTGTGGTGGCTAAGCGAGGCGGTGGTGACAGCAGGGTGTCTGTGTGGCGAGGAGGGGGGAGGAGGACTAAAGTCTGGAGAATGTTCAGGTTATTCATGCTGCCTGTTGCTGCACTTGAGTTATATCATAATTTCCCATTTGCTGCACAACTTTATTCTATTTTTATGCTTCTGAGTGATGGGGCTTTAAGTACTCACAATTGATACTTCCGTGGTGTGAGCCCTATCAGAGGCCACCTCTGATAGATAAAGCTCTCTTTTTCTCTCTCTTTTTTGCTGGAGAGTGGGGAATGGGGTCACAGTCAAGGGCCTTCCTTTTCTCTGCTCTATTAAAGCTATAGCCATTCTGGAGCTTCTCTCTCTCTCTCTCCCCTTCCCTTTCATGAAAGGAAACTACACTCAGATCATGCTTATTTCACTATCAAAGCTCCCACACTCAAATGTTTCTCATTACTGGCCAAAATGAGCAATGGTCATCTTTGGATCATAATTAGAAGCCTTACTCTTTTTTTTTTTAAAAAAAAATCAACACACATACAGAAGGCCGTAAGATGAAACATCACACATCGTTTCCTGATTTTTAAAAAATAAAAAAATGAAAAGTAACTAATTTCCATGGTTCCCGTGGTATTTAAATAAACCTGCCACCCTTATTTCCATAGATTAATGAACAGCAAAAAGATATATGGCAAAGGTTTACGCTCACACTCTTTCCTGCCTTATTGGGGGCATTCTCTTTAATTATAACGTAAGTGTGATTTAGTAGTTATTTTTGTAACCTGGCAGAGATACTGCCTCTGCAGACTTTGATTTTAGCAAATACCACTACACCAGTGTAACAACCGGTGACCTGTGCTAGCTATACTTCATAGCAATTAGAGAGCCCAGTTGCTGCAGAAACTTGATACATTTGGAATATCGATGTTTATCGTGAATTTATTTTAAAACATAACGGGCTGAGATGCACTCCGTAGCAGCTGGACAGCATCACATATTCATTGCACTCCCCCCCTCAACTCCCGCAACCCCCCACCCCACCCCCAGCCTGTCCCCCCCCCCCGGCTCTCTATTATGTGATCTTTCAGGGGGCTTGTCGCACGCATTAATATGCAACTGTTCTGTTTTCTTTCAGAGGGCTTGTAAACTCTTTAAGCAGCAGAACACAGTTTCCAATTGTTGCAGTGCTGAGTGGGTGGATAGGAGCCGGGGCTGCCGCCTTGTCCAGTTGTAGATAGAATAAAACTGACAATGATGCAATGGAGCTGGCATCTAGACAACTCCAAGGAATGAATGGTGTTGCTCCAGCAATCCCTCCGGTGGCCGTAGGTCTTGGAATAGGCTAGAACGAGAAGGGTGGGTGAAAACTGATATGCACTATTACTACATGTATAAAACCTAACACTGGGGCCATAGCACAGGTGGGGGGTTCCTGTTTATTGATTTTTATTACTTGCTCAGAACATACGCCTAATGCTTTTATACTCCGGGAGCCCCGGGAGTGCTCACCTCAGGTAATAAACCTTTCTGTACTTTGCTGTAGTAGTTCGCCGTTTACACGGGGGCCGATGTTCTTTCTTCTCCTTGTCTGCACAGAGCCTTGCGTGCGTGTCTCTCTTTCTCTAGTTCTCTTTTGTAGCAGACAGCTCAAAGGAGGAGAGGAAATAACTCGCAGTGCAAACATTTATTCTGAATTTGAAACACTGTCCATTCCCTGGCTTAGGGAGATGGTCCCTTATTTCTAATTACTCACATTTCCAAGAAAATTAGTCACACAAACTTATGCTATGTGTTGTCTCCGAGGTTGAAAGCAAATTAGGTTTCCAATAAGACAGTACATCAAAGAAAGTAGCATGTTCTTGATGCAGATGACTTTTTTTTTTTTAAGAATTATGGTTGGACATTTTTGGCAGACAGATTGTCTTTTACTCCATCAAAATGACAGTTTCTTTTGTAACTGCTACATTCATAATTAGAAGGAGAGAAGCAATCTGCCTGATTTAATATACTAAAGAAGTTTAGCGTCTTATGCTGGTAATTTCATTATTTAAAAATATGAATTAATTGTCTTAAAATAATATTGTTAGAAGTATAACTAGTAGGATTATGGAGCTAATTCTTTTTTAATCAACGCTTCCTATTAATACACTCCAGACTCTCATATATATATATATATATATATATATATATATATGAGAAAGTTTTCTGTCAGGTGTGCAGCTGTGTGATTCAGAGGAGAACACAGGATAAAACTGAATAGGAGAATCCTGGGTGGGGAATAAAATCACCCCAAACGCAGTAAATCATCATCTAAACAGAACCCCTGAGGGACCTGATCTGAGCTGGGATCCACAAACTATTTAATGTTCATGGCTTTTTTAAAAAATATGCATATAGCAGCTGACTGGGGCAGGGGCTGAACATTATTGGGGAATTTCAGTAGGGGCTAGAGAAGGCATTTTAACTCTTTCTTGCCCTTACTGTGGTCTTGATTAAAACCATTCCTCTGAAGGTACTTGCAACTGGGAGGAAAACCCACATTGGCACCAGTGGGGGTTTTTCTCCTGATGCAAATAGCAGCCTCAGAGGAGGGATCGTCCTCAGGGTTGCAGGATGGGTGGGAAGGCTTACAATCCCCATCCTCACTGGCTGCAATCTGATATTTCTCAGCCCCACCCCAGCAGGTGCTATATGCAGTTTAAAAAACAGTGCACAAAATAAGTGCAGTGGTAGGATGAAGAGGAAATATGGTCCTGGGAGTTAGACAAATCAAGTTCTGGGTAAAAGAGGTAGCTATCGGCTGATTTTTCTGTCTTCCTGTCATTCCCCAGTCCTCATTAACAAATAACTTACTGAACCTTCAGCTGCTCCTTTGTAAGGCCAGAAAGATCTGTTCATTGTTTGATCATGGAAGAAGGAAGTGACCTGGTCTGGAAAGGGAGCATTTCATGTTTTTCCAGAGCACTGTTAAGAAAAACACAGCGTTAGCCAGGAGCTAGTGTTGCTCTGTTCCGACCTTTCTCTGGATACCCTGTCCAGAGTCCCCTGTGACAAATTATCCCCAGATCATACAGAGAGGACCCCCTGGTTTCTCCTGTGACAGTGTGTGATCCCCTTTGAAAGGGACTAGACTCTGATTCTGTGTGGGTTCTCGATGCACTTGAGAAGCCCCAAACCAATGTATAATGTAGGCAGACCTCAAAGGTGTTACTATATATAGTTTGAAATGAAGGTTGGGGAAAACACTGTCATTGACAGGTATGGGTTTACTATACTGTTTTGTGGTTTTTTTCTAGCTAAAAAAACATGTGGGTTAGAGGCAATTTGTAGACAAGTTCATGATGGATCATGCTTTCAATGGCTGGTAGTCATCATAGCTATGTAGTTCAGAGGCAGCAGTATCAGTGCTATTTTTCTTGGAAAAAAGGTGCCGGAAACTCCCTTGTTCTCTTAGAATGGCAATGGCACCCACCTGAGAGGTGCTGGAACTGAGGTGCTTTGAGTTCCTCCTGGAAAAAAAGCCCTGGGCAGTATGATTCTGAATTCTTGGGGATTGTGAACAAGAGGCTGCTGTTGTGCCCATGCCCTGCTTCCAGAAAGATGTTTGGCGGCCCACTGTGGGAACAGAACGCTAGACTCGGTGGGCTTTATTCTGTTCCAGCAGGGCTCTTCTTATGTTTATATATTCAACGTTTAGACCCAGGGACACCTTCTGGTGGAGACACACACACACACAGAGAGAGAGAGAGAGAGAGAGAGAGAGAGAGAGAGAGAGACTGTTTAAAGTCTGAAACCATAGCTCATTTTTACTTCTGCATTTCTTGTTTCTGGATAAAGCATTAAACTGTCCTTTTTATATGGAGAAGAAATAAAACCTTTCAGCAAGCTGATTTCTATGACTGCAGGGGGCTGTACATATTAGAAAAGCCTTCAAGGCTTTGGATATAGCCTGAACCTTAGCTCACAGGGAACGCTGATGAGGCAACTGCCTCTCTTCTCGAAAAAGGACAGTCAGGGACAACATAGGGCACTAAGATGGACACTCAAAACTAGCACAGGAAAGTTTTTAGGGAGGTTTTTCCCTATATAGGGAAGTTTTTAATGTTAGATTTTTTTTAAATTAAGTTTTTATATCCATTGGAAGCTGCCCAGAGTGGCTGGAGCAGCCCAGTCAGATGGGCAGGGTACAAATAATAAAATTGTTGTTATTGTTATTATTAGTAGCAGTAAATCAGCTGGACAGAATGTGCAACATGTAATGGCAACTGGTCATCTGCATCCACTGTGCTGGTAGAGAACAGCAGAAGCAAAATCCTTTAATGCATGTGAACAATGAGGAATAGATGTGCAAACTGGGTATGTCTCAGTGACAAAATATCTCACAACTGTGTATATGCCATACAATTAAAGCACATGACGCCTACCCCAAAGAATCTGGGGAACTGTAGTTTGTGAATGGCACTGGGAATTGCAGCTCTGTGAGGGAAGTCATGTGCTTCAAATGTGCATTTAATGTATGGAATGTACGCAGGCATAAGAGTGAATCTGTTATTATTGAATGATACCAGTGACACAATATCAGTAAGTCAATTGACCTGGCTCCAGGCAGTGGCATAGGAATGGGGGTGCGGGCCAACCCAGGTGTCATCACATAGGGGGGTGACAAAATGTCAAAAATATGAATTTAATTTAAAAAGGGGGGGCTCATGAAACTTTTTAGTTCAGTCAACAAACGCAACAAACGCAGCGGGACCTGCAGCATGCCCGAACCACGTATCTCTCCTAGGAGTGACGTAGTGGCTTGGGCACCTGCAGGCTCCAGACGCTGCCTGAAAAGGCAACGTGAGGCTTGCGTCTGCCCACTGCCTCAGCCGCCCTACAGCTGAAGGGGAGACTGCAGAGAGGCTCCACGCAGCACACCCTGCCTTGGCTTGCCTCGCCCCCATGGGTGGCCCGCTCCACCCTGGCTGCAGGACGCGCACGCCACACTGGGCACCTGAGTGGCTAGCTATGCCACTGGCTCCAGGCACTGAGATTTGGTTCCAACAAGCACCATATGGCATCCTACAAAGGTCTTCCTCTTTGTAGGCAAATGGAACATCACCCACTTCTAAAGGATGGATTGCCAGGTAGGCAGTCAGTCATCCTGCAACTGCCAGCAGAAAAGCCACTTCATTAAAGTAGCATATGTGGGCTGAGGAACGGGGGAATCAGTGAGGATTTCCAAGGCCTATTTCTCAGTGTCGTTACTGAGAGGGATTCCCCCCACAGACAGGAGTGGCTGTAGGATTCCCCCTCTATCTCCCCTGCTGAACCTGTGAAGAGATGCTGGCAGAAGGTCAAGCAAGGGTGAGGAGAAGGAAGGAAGGAGGCGAATAGTTACTGTTTTCTCCAAGGCCTCCCAGGAATCAGACTAAAAACTTTTCAGATACATTTCAACTTTTGCACACCATGTGAGTGCAGGAAAGACACAGCCTAGTTCTTTTTCTCAATACTCTCTTCCCTATT